GGACCAGCCGCCCGAGCCCGAGGAGCCTGAGCGGCCGGGCCCCCAGCCCCCTCCCCCGTGGGTAATCACTACCAGATGCCCGGCAGCTGACGTCACCCCCAGGGCCGAGAGGGTCGTGGGACTCCGGGGAGCACTGGGAATTCCTGGACCAGAGTCAACATTCCGGGAGGAAAGGGGGAGCTGGCCCGTTCTCAGGGCCTGGCATCGGGCTGGGGTGCAGGCCGCACAGGGTGCCCCGGCTCCCCCATGGGGCACCACCTCCTCCGAGTCTGTTTCCTTCTTTTTAAAAAAAAAATAAAAAAAATATATATATATATATATATATATATATATATATTATTGATTTTTTTACAGAGAGGAAGGGAGAAGGATACGTAGAAACATCGATGAGGGAGAAACATCGGCCTCCTGCACTCCTCCCACTGGGGATGTGCCCTTGACCGGAATCGAACCTGGGACCCTCCAGTCCACAGGCCGACGCTCTATCCACTGAGCCAAACTGGTTTGGCCTCCGTTTCCTTCGGAACAGCCCCAGGGATGGGGGCGGAGGGGCCGGGTCTCTGCGGGGAGAAGAGGACAGTTGGGTGGGACCTTTGGGGTGAGCAGAACCGCACTCGGATCCCTCTCAGAGGAGAGGCCCGGTCACCCCAAGCCCCAGCGGCGCCTCCTGCGCTCCGGGCCGGCAATGGCCGCACAGCCACAGCAGGGCCTGCGGGGCCTGGCAGGCCTGAGGGTCCCGGCACCCATTTCCTCTCCAGCCTGTCTCCTACCTCCTCTCCCCAACCTCCCCAGCCCACCGCCTTGTTCTCAAATATGCCAACGCGGCCCCACCTGGCGACCGCTGTCCATGCCGTCCCCTCGGCCTGGACACTCTCCCCCCGAGAGCAGGAGGGACCATACCTCATCCTCTTTGTTTGAGCGTCATTTTCTCAGAGGTTTTCCTGGCTCACCTTCCTAGATTGCCACACCGGCCGCTCCCCCCAAGACCGAGTCCCTTACTTGGTTTAAACTTCCTTCCTAACGCTTTTCCCCTCGGACGGTATACCTCGCTTTCCCGTTCCTCCTGTCTCCCCACCGGCGGACGGGGGCTCCGGGAGACCAGCCCACTGCTGCCTCCCCTGGACCCGGAATGGTGTCTGGGCCACAGTGACTTCTCAGCAAATAGTCAAACTACGAAGATTCCAACTCCACTCACGGTGTGATCGCAGGCAAGCTGTGACCTTTACAAAACCTCAGCGTCTCCGTCTGTGGCCTGGGCTCCTAAGGTCTCTCCCGGGGTGATGGGAGTCGTTTGAAATAACGGTAGCGACGGCGCTGGAGCTTTGTACTTGCAGGCGGTCAGACATGGCCTCGTGGTTAGGAGCTTGGGCGTGGGGTCACATCTAGGCTCTGACACTTCATCTCTGCGGTCCCAGGAAAACCCCTTCCCCTCTGAGCCTCAGTCCCCTCACTGATAAAATGTGGCAAATAGAGGCCCCCCACCACCACCACCTCACACACACACACTCGCGCGCGCACACACACGCACACACACACACACACGCACGCTCACACATGCACACACACACACGCGCACACACACACACGTGCGCGGCCCATGTGGCAGACAGTGCCCATTGGGAACTCTGGACAGGGCCTGGCCAGCTATGAGCCAGATCTCCCTCACTCTGCTGGTGTCCCGGCCTGATGATCCCTGTGTGGGAGTGGGGGTGGGCGCGGGGGTGGGTGTGGGTGTGGGTGTGGGTGTGGGTGTGGGTGTGGGTGTGGGTATGGGTGTGGGTGTGGTGTGGGAGTCAGGGTGGGGGTGGGTGTGGGTGTGGGGGTGGGGGTGGGGGTGGGTGTGGGAGTCAGGGTGGAGGTGGGTGTGGGTGTGGGTGTGTGGGAGTGGGTGTGGGTGTGGGTGTGGGGGTGGGTGTGGGTGTAGGGATGGGGGTGGGTGTGGGTGGGGGTGGGGGTGTGGGGATGGGGGTGGGGGTGGGGATGGGGGTGGGTGTGGGGATGGGGGTGGGGGTGGGGGTGGGGATGGGGGTGGGGGTGGGTGGGGGGGTGTGGGAGTGGGGGTGTGGGTGTGGGGATGGGGGTGGTGTGGGAGTGGGGGTGGGGGGGGGAGTGGGAGTGGGTGTAGGGGTGGGTGTGGGTCTCTCTCCCCTCTCTGGTCTTGGCTCCCTCCTCTCTAACACGGACTGAGAGGGGAGGGTGTCAGGCCGGGCTCTTTCCCTGCAGAGGGCGCTGGGCTGGGGCAGACTGGGCTGACACTCCCCTAAAGGCTCTTCTTACCCTGCGTGTCGGCCCCTCCCTCCTTCCTCCTCATCCCATGATCTCACAGGGAACTGGCACCAGGAAACCCCTGCAGCCTCACCTCTTCCCCTTCCTTCCTTCCTCTGCTCCAGGTGCGCCTGCTCCCCAGGGTGGGGGAGGGACAGCCAATTAGGCTGCTCTCTGGGCAACCCCTGTACACACCCCCTTGGGGTCCCTTTTGGGACCCCCATGGGGCCCCCTGTGGGAACGAGACCCCCTATGGGAACGAGACCCCAGTCTTGCTCAGCGACCGTTCTCAAATGCCTTCCCCCCCAAGTTGGCTGGATCCTCAGAAACCATCCCAGGCCCATCTGGGCTTCTGGGGAGACTGAGGCCCCGAGCAGGCAGGGCAAGCCTGGGGTCACATGGGCAGAGCGGCGCTCCTGACTCCGCTGCACATGGGCCTGGGCTTCGGGGCTCCTGAACGTGCCCAGCAGTTCCTGGCCTCCTCCTCGGCAGAGGCAGCGTGGGACACTGGGTCCCAGGACACAGGAGGGCTCAACCTGACCTGCAAACCCACCCCCGCGGCCCCCTGGACACTCCAAACATTAGAGGCTGAGGGCAGAGGGCTTAGGCCACGCTTGATTCCAGAGGCACGGCCAGGACCCCCAGGCTCCGGCCACATTCCCAGGGCTTCTCAAGAGCATCCTTCTCCGAGGCCCGGGCCCTGCTGAAGGGAATGGGCTGCCCAACCCTAAGGGCACAGGCAGGAAGGCGGCGTTGGACTCTGGTTCTGGCTTCACTACTGCCTCAAACCGGGCGCAGCGCACCTCTCTTCCCTCATCTGTAAGATGGGAACTGTGTAGTGTGTCTCTCAGGGGCTGTTCTGAGGAATAAATGCCCAACTCGTTTGAGACAGAACAGGGCAGAGTCACACCAGAAGTCCCTGATGCTACGCCAGCACCGGTTTGCCAGTTGTGCCAGGGGGCACGGATGTCCCCCCCTCGGACCACCACGGTCCCGCCAGCCCTGCCCGCGGCCCGCTGGTCACTCACCCTCTGGGTCCTAGCGGGGGGCACCTCCGGCCCACAGCAGTCATGGTTCCCCGTCAGCAGCCTGAGGACCTCCCCAACCCCAGGGCTCCCTCCTCTCCCAGGCCACCCAGCTCCGGAGCCAGAGCAAGGCTTCGGGGGCGGGGCCTGAGGCTCAAACCACGCCCCTCCACGCCCCCGCCCTCTGCCGGCGCCGCTCCGCCGGCGGGGAGGACACGCCCTCCGTGGCCACGCCCCGCCGGCCTCGCCCCGCCCCCTCCCCACGCCTGTCAGCGTCCGGGGCTGGGAAAGCCACGCCCCTGACACGCCCCCTCCCCGCCCAGCCCCTCCCCTACAAGCAATCCCTGCTTCTCCACTCCCCAATGAGGCTGAAATCAGGAGGGAACGGCCGGCAGCGCACCCTGGGTGGGTCGTGGGGCAGCCAGGGATGGTGGAAAGCATTCCTTTTATTCATCATAAATGTAAGCATTCCCGTTTATTGTTTGTGGGGTGCCAGGCACTGTGCTAGGATTTTATAAGTATATTATTCTTGAATTGTCACCACAACCCTACAAGGTCGGGGCTATCGTTATGCCCATTTATCAGATGAGAAAACTGAGGTCCAGAAAAAGGAACAGACGTGTCTAACAGCACGCAGTCAGTTAGAGGCAGAGTCTGAACTGGATTCACGCTGCAAATTTAGAGTCCTGTTTCCCCCACCCCCCACCCCCCCCCTCCACATTGAAGGGTGGGTCTGTGTTCTGATAGCTTAGCTCACAGAAGCTGTGCTTTTTTGTCTCAGGGCAGAGCCGCTCCAGAAAGGTCCCAGCACCAGCCCTAGAGTTACTCTTGCTCAGCCATTTGTTTTTTCCTTTATCTCCGTGGGCACATCTGATCCGTGTGATTTACACAAAGGCCCTTAAGGTTGAAAAGGTCCCTTTGGTCGGGGGTGAAGGGGGTCTCCCAAGGGCAGAAGTACATGGCTATAGGGTTCAGAAAGTGGGGTACAATGGGCTGGATGAGTGTGCAGTCCCTGGAAGCGAGCCATTTCCTGTTCAAATCCCGGCTCTGCAACCTTGGCTGAGGCTCAGTCTCCCCATCTGTAAAATGGGGCTGATCATAGATTCTTTTACAGTTTTCAGCGAATAACAACTATTTTGACAGCCAGTTAAATGGGCGCTTACTAAATGGGAGCTGTGGCCATATCATCACTCTTGGTATTTTTGCATGAATTCAATTCACCCGATAACCAAGTTAATGACAAGTAGTTTTCCAGAGCAGGTGAAGCAGTGATGCCAGCAGAAGTGAGGGTGCTGATTTCCATGTGAGGGCCCTGGGCAGGGATCCAGCGATTGGGCTCGGAGTCCAGCCAGCAGCTGAGCCCGTGCTGGAGGCTGCCTGGGGCTTTGGCGTCAGGCGGGTCTTAGTTCAAATCCTGACTCTGTCCTTGGGTAGATGTGCTACCTGAGGGGAGCAGACCTGCCCTCTCTGAATCCGTTTCCTCAAATGGACAGAACCTATTCTCTCCTCCCAGTTTTGTTTTGTCTTTTCCTTGAAAAGTGATTGTGAGTGGGGGCTAAGCACAGTGCCTGGTTTGTAGTGGGCGTTGGTTAAGGCGGTTTACTCAGAAGTGTGTATGTGTGTGAGGGGATTCCTCTCCAGGATCTAAGAGCAGGAGACGGGAACCCCATCATTCAGGTCCCGCACTCACCTTCCCCTGGTGGCACCTACCTGTCTGGGGGTGCATTCCTGGGATCTGTCTCCTCTTCTGTGTCTGCCCCGAGGCCCTCAGGCTCTCTCGCGGGGCTGGCCTCCACTGCTGAAGGGCTGGGTTTCACCTCTGTGTCCTCCGGGGGGGCTCCGGTCTCCCCCGCCTCCTCTTCGGCTGCCTCCATGCCTGGGGGCTCAGGCAGGCCTGGAGGGTCAGGCAGGCCTGGGGGGTCAGGCAGGCTTGGGGGGTCAGGCAGGCCTGGGGGCTCAGGCAGGCCTGGGGGGTCAGGCAGGCCTGGAGGGTCAGGCAGGCCTGGGGGGTCAGGCAGGCCTGGAGGGTCAGGCAGTCCTGGGGGGTCAGGCAGGCCTGGGGGGTCAGGCAGGCCTGGGGGGTCAGGCAGGCCTGGGGGGTCAGGCAGGCCTCGGGGCTCGGGGTGGGGCTCAGGGCCGGCCTCCCCGTTCTCCCTGGCGGCCTTTGGGTTCTGAGACTTCTTGAAGCTGGGCCGAGGCATGGTGCCCATGTGGCTGTACATGTCGCTGGACCGGGCGTACGCCGGGGGGCTCTTGGGGACAGTCACCATGTCGTCCTGCGTGGCCTCGAAGATTTCGGGCGTTAGGTTCGGCCGGAGAGTGGCGGGAGCCAAGGACCGTCTCAGAGTGAAGGCCCGGGGGAGGTTGGAGAGACTCCCAAAGCCCTTGAACTTGAAGAACTCTGGCAGGGGAGAGAGAGGGGAAAGGAGTGAATGGCAATGCCAGCGGCAATAATAACAGATACGAGGTGCGCGCTATTGACCATGAGGGTTCCCGGAGGACAGGCAGCCACACAGCCTGGGGCTGGAATCCCTGCTCTTCCCCATCCCTGCTGTGCAGCCTTCGTCAAGGCACCTGACCCCTCTGAGCTCCAGTCTCCACATGAGTAAAATGGAGAGTATGACACCCACCTCCTACAGTCAGTGGGAGGATTGAAGGAAAGCATGTAAATGACATGCTTACCATGGTGCCTGGCACACAAATATCCCCAAGAAGTAATGAAGGGGAAAAAGAAGTAATGCAGCCGTAGCTGGTTTGGCTCAGTGGATAGAGCGTCGGCCTGCAGACTGAAGGGTCCCGGGTTCAATTTCGGTCAAGGGCGTGTACCTTGGTTGCGGGCACATCCCCGGTAGGGGGTGTGCAGGAAGCAGCTGGTTGATGTGTCTCTCTCATTGAGGTTTCTACCTCTCTATCCCTCTCTCTTCCTCTCTGTAAAAAAATCAATAATATATACAAATATATTTTAAAAAGTAATGAAGGGGGAAAGAAGTAATGGAGGTGCAGGTCATGATGGTGACGATGCTGCTGATCGCTATAAAGCTCTGCACGTGTCAAACTTGCAGCGCGCATCCCCTCACTGAGTTCTCAGCACAACTCCACAGCACAGCTGAACCAGATGAGGACACTGAGGTTCAGAGACGTGAAATGAACCCCACCCCACTAGTCCCACAGCCTGCAGGTGAAGTTGCATGTGTGTGGGCGTGTGCACGTGTGTGTTGGGGCATGGAGGAAGTGGGTGTGTAAGCAGGGGCGAGGGAGAAGCGAGAAAGGGATTGTCAACAGCCTGAGGGTCCCAGGCCCTGTGGGTCTCTGCTTCCTGTCAGCTGAGCCGGGTCTAACCCAGGCGGCTCTGCTCAGTGCTGCTCGGGTGATACCATCTCATCGTTTCTGCAGGGGTGGGGTGTGGATTCCTCCTTCTGGTTCCCAGCGGTGGGGCTGCCCCTTCTCGCAGCGGCCACCATCTGACCTCCAGTTAAACACAAAGGGGAAAACTCTAGCATCTCCCACTTCCTCAGCATCCTCTGCCTCCTCCGGTCCTCACAAGCACGCTGGCATTTAGGTAAGATGCCCCAGACAAGAGAGGAAACTGAGGCCCAGAGAGGGCAAGCGACCTGCCCAGGGTCACACAGCAAGGCTGAGCCCGAACAAAGGCCAGTGCTTCGGGGCTTTCTTCCAGCCCTGCCCGCTCCTCACTGGTATCAGCCTCTGCCTCCTGACAGACTCAGAAAACACCGGAGCTCTGCTCTCACAGAGCTCTGCCCTGGGCAGGACTGAGCCACCAGCCAGAGGGAGGCCTCCTTCTCACCCCGCTGACTTGTTTCCTGGGCACAGGGACCTGGAGGGAACAGCAGTGGGGCAAGGAGGGAAACTGAGGCCCCGTCCGGGGACATGAGACTGAGCCCCAGTCTACAGCCCCACAGGATCTCAGGCAACTCTCTGGGTCTCGTCTCTTCATTGTGGAATGCAGCCATGAGCCTTGCCCTGGACTCACACACACACACACACACACACACACACACACACACACACACACTGGGCTGACACAGGTCAAAGACACCAGGGCCCGGGGCAGGCAGAAGCCTGCTGGGTCCAGGAAGGGACTGACTGGGGGAAGCAGCCATGGGTGGGTGTGGCCCTTCCTTGAGTTGCTCTGGGTCCCAGGGTCCCTGCCGGTGGGGACATGGACAGCATCCCGTGGCGCACACACACACACACACACACACACCTGCCCTACCCCAGTACTTCCCCAGCTGAAACTCCATGAGGACCAGGCATAGAGATGGAGCGTGTAGCGGAGATGAGAGGGGAGATTGAGTCAGGGTAGGGAGAGACAGGCACACAGAAGCACAGAGATGGAGAGCCACGCCGGCCAGAGAGAGAGAGAGAGAGAGATAGAGAGCCCCTGGCCCAGAGTGATGGAGAGATGAGGACCTGGGAACCCAGAAGCAGAGACCTCTGGAGAGACAGACACGGACCGAAAGAGAAACAGGAAGGAGACGGAGCCGCGGAGAGCAGATGCAGAGAGAGGCTGAGATGGAGGGCAGGCGGCGGGATGCAGGGCGGCACTCACTGAACTTTCTGCTCGCCTTCTTGGGCTTCTCCGTCATCCTGTCAGCCGGGCAGGGCTGCTGGCCTGCGGGCAGGAGGCTGCTCGAGCCTCTGGACATCGACGCTGCCTCCTCACCTCGCCTTCCCCTTTCTCACCCTCTCACCCGCTTCCTCTGTGTATTTTTAAACCAGTGAAACTCCCACAGCCCTACCCTCCCTGCCCTCTCCGCAGGGGGCGGGGGCTGGGGCCTCCCTGAGTCCAGGCCCCCGGGGGCCTCCGCCTTGTCCTCAGCTGGAGGGGGTGCGGGGGGCAGAACACAAGCCCGTGGGACTGGGAGGTCTGGGGAGCAAACCACTGGCTCTGGGAACCGAGCCCGCTGGGCTGGGGACCGCTGGGGGCCTGCCAACAGCTGTCAGGGTCTGGTCTCTGGGCCGGGAGGGTGCAGGGAGTCAGGCCTGCGCGGAGGGCAGTTTATTCTGAGCTGCCTGGGGGTGGACTGGCAACAGTGCTTAGGCCTGTGGGCTCTGGGACTACCCAGGGCAAGTTCAAGTCCTGGCCGGCCACTGTGTCACGGTGTGATCCGGGCCGAGGCGCTCACCTCCCCGAGCCGTTTCCTCCCTGTGAGAAGGTGCTTGCAATGCCCACCTCACAGAGTCCAGCTTGGTGCAGAGCCTGGCACTACACTGGTGCCCAGCAAGGCATGCTCAGGCCTGTTCAAGCCACGAGGGGCGCAGTGGTCATTCGGTGCACCCCACTGATGGTACAGAAGTGGGGAAACCGAGGCACAGGCAGGCAGAGTGGTCACCCCAGGCCGTCCAGTGTGTTGGTGGCACAAACTGGGTTACAACTTGCCCTTTCGAGTCCCTTAGCCCACAGCCTGGAGCTTTCCACCACACAACCTGTGTGTGTGCGCGTGTGTTTGTGTGTGTGTGTATGTGTGTGTGTGTGTGCTCTCACGGGTGGGACAGAGATGAGGAAATGAAACCCCCTCAACAGGTGATGAGGATGGGGGGGCCACAGACCACGTGCTTCAAGGCCTACTTCTGTGGGCTACACACAAGTTACCGGAGCCTCTGAAGCAAGCACGTCAAACGCACAGGCTAACACGGCCCAAATGAACAAGGTTTAGGTGGATGTGGGCCGCAAAAAACAAACAAACAAAGGCTTCCATTTTCATAGAAACGTAGGTTTAGTTCGATAGAGACATGCTGAACACAAAGGGCTGAAATAAAAGAGTCATCGTTAACATAACATAATAGAACATTTTAATAAAAATTAATATTTTTTATTGAACATTAACTTACCAGACACTAACTAACTGCACAGATTAATAAGCGTCATGCAATGCAAATAAAGCTATTTTTCTTGTTCTCCAAAAGCGAAACATTTCCTGTTGCGCACACGAAACCAGTCAGTACAAGACTAATGACGTGGCCATCGGCTGCTAGAATATTCGCTGCTGGTATTAGTGGAGAGAAATGGTGCGCCTGTGTGTAAGGCACATAAGGGAGATGAATGCAGCATGATTATAGTAACCAGTCATTAGCAAACATTGTAGTTCATTATTAATAATTATGTATAACAGGATATTGTAAAAATCAAGTTATGAATTTTTTATTAAAACGTTTCTTACATACCATTATATTGGCTGGCCACAAAAATATTCCTTGTTTGGACTGTGAGTTGACATGCTTGCTCTGAAGCCTCAGTCACCTGATCTCTAGAATGGGCACAAATGCAGGATAAGCAGATGCAACCATTGTTATCCAGGCCTCTGGGGCTACACTAGGGCTGTGAGAAAAGGAACACAGCCCATGGGGCCAACATGCCAGCCAGGCATGGAGCTAGAAGCTTCCACTGTGAGGCATATCCTGGTACTGTCCCATTTCACAGATGAGAAAAGCGAGGCTAAAGAAGAGCAGAGACTAGACAGACATGCAGGCACCCTTGCTCCCAGGCTGGTGCCTCTCCCATTCCTAGGTTGTTGTTAGAAGAGGGAGAGGGGCCGGTGGCCTGGCTGAGGGTCCTTAGCTTCTCTCCCAGGAGGCATCCCAGGGACTTGGACTCCCTGCTGAGACCGTGGCATCAGCCTGTGCTGGCTTCCCGGCCAGGCCCACTCTTACTGTGTGATCCTTCCTGTGTGAGCGGACCTGACCGCTCTGGGACTCAGTTTCCCTATCTGTGAAATAGATCTCACGGCTCCGACTGCCTGGGGTGGTTGGATGAAAGCCCAGGCCAGCACGCTGCGGCTTCAGCAAACCCCGGCAGTTGGTGCTGTGGGACGGGAATGGGTGAGGCCGGGAAACCCCAGCCTCAGGCGCACGGTGTGAGACCCCGGGGTCCGGCCCCCGCGAGGCTGTGTTGGGGGTGGGGTTGCCTTGTCAGTGCTGGGGGCCTGGCGCCAGGGCAATTGCAACATCCCTGGGAGAATGAATGGGCTCAGTGTGGCGGCCGGGCTGAGCTCAGAGCCCCCTTTGTGCTGCCTCGAGTGGCCGTTGGGAGTGCAGCTGGGGACCTGCCGGCGGGTGGCTGTCCCGCAGGCCCTCCTCAGCCTGTGTGGAGGCCAGGCACACTCCCGACACAGTGCTCCCCTCCCTGCGGCCTCGGCCGGACCCACACCAGCACGCGCTCCCGTTGAGTCCTGCAGGTCTAGATGGAGCCACCCGGCCCCCGGGAGCCTGCTCCGATGGCCGTCCCCTCACGCCTCCCCCGGTCTGGGACTCAGCTGCCTGCGGTTTGGCCAGCTCCTGTTAGGCCTTTAACTTCACAGTCAAAGGCATGTGACCCAAGCAAACCTGAGTTCAGACCACACCCACATGACCTGGGGTGTGTCAGTCCCCTCTGAGCATCATTATCCCCATCACTGAAACGGGACAAATATAACACCCCTCGCATGTGGCAATGAAGTAAAACATATATATACTGAGTATCATCATATGACTTGTGTCTTTTAAAAAAATATATATATATATTTTATTGATTTTTTTACAGAGAGGAAGGGAGAGAGGGATAGAGAGCTAGAAACATCGATGAGAGAGAAACATCGATCAGCTGCCTCCTGCACACCCCCTACTGGGGACGTGCCTGCAACCAAGGTACATGCCCTTGACCAGAATCGAACTTGGGACCTTTCAGTCTTCAGACCGTCGCTCTATCCACTGAGCCAAACCGGTTTCAGCTGACTTGTGTCTGTATCCGCATGCTCCGGACAGACCTTGGGCCCCCCGAGAGGGACTGGTCTTATGCATGCACCGGCTCGGTGCCTGCTGCAGGTCTCCGCAGATTCCTGTCCAGGCTGGCCCCGGGTATCTGGTTTGGGGGGGCAGTGGAGGGTGATGGTAAATCACCCCAGCCTGTGAGAGGACCTGGCTTGGAATCCCAGCTCCCAGCTGTGTGGACTTGGGCAGGCCAATCACCGCTCTGAGCCTCAGTCTCCTCTTTTGTAACTGGGGCCCAAAATAGGAACCTCCTAAGAGGGGTGCTGTAAAGTTCTAGGGGTACAACCCATATCCGCACAGGGCCAGGGACAGTCAGGACCCGCCTCGTGGGGCCAGAATGTCCGGGGTGGTTTAGGGCTGTGGATACCACACAGCCATTCTTGGTCCTGTACCCCTTTATCCGGAGACCCCTCATCTCCCAGACATACCAGCAGCCAAGAGCAGCCCATTCCATGATGTAGAGAGCCGCCTGAGAAGGCACATGGACATTCTTTTAATTCATTTTTTAAAATATATTTTATTTATTTTTTTACAGAGAGGAAGAGTGAGGGACTAGAGAGTTAGAAACATCGATGAGAGAGAGTCATCGATCAGCTGCCTCTTGCAGCACCCCCACTGGGGATGTGCCCTCAACCAAGGTACATGCCCTTGACCGGAATCGAACCGGGGACCTTTCAGTCTGCAGGTTTATGCTCTATCCACCAAGCCAAACCGGTTTTGGCCATTCTTTTAATTCTTATCAGCTGAGCCCGAGGGCACTGGCAGAATCCTGTTTTCAGTACTGATTTCTTATCTTTATCCATGTGCTTGGAATGAGGAACAAATAGGACCTTGACTTACCCAGATCTTGATATGCTAAATCTTGTACAAAAAAAAAAAAAAAAAAAAAAAAAAAAAAAAAGAGGAGCATACCTAGATCTTGATGACACCCAGAACTCCTTTTGACCTTAAACTCCCCTTCAGAAGCCAATAAATAGGCTGTGTTGTCTGTGGTGAGTGTGACTGTCTCTCCATCAGAGAGATGGCGCCCACCTAGCGCCCAGCTTTATGAATCTATTTCTACCTCTTGTCTCTTTCTCTAATTTCTTCATCCGCAGCTCCTCCACTCAGGAACCTGTCGTTTTTCCGAGCGGGATGCAGGAAACAGAGAAAATGCCCACCGCACCATGAGCCAGTCTTCCCCTTCCCTCCGTACCCACCCCACTCCCCCAAAGCTGTCCCTGGTCGTGGGGAGAAGACAGAGGGTCCAGGCCAGGGTCTAACAGCTGGCCAGTAGCTCCCTTTCCTATCCCGTGCCTCAGTTTCCCTAGTCGTAAAATGGCAGCCAGACCAGAGGCTTTCTCAGAGTCTGGTCAGTCAGCACACGTTCACTGAATACTGGCCCCATGCCTGTCCCACTGGCTTAGCGGATCCATGGAAGCAGGAAACACTTCCCTCAAACCAACAACCAGTCAGTGAAAAATCCTCTCCAGGTAGAACCTCACTTCACTTCTTCTCTTCCGCCGGGTGGTCTGGAGTCCCCGCCTTCTGAAGGGCCTCTGACCCCTCCTGCCTGCCCTCCTTCCCTGCGGAAGCCTGGGGCACAGGGCCCCGAAGGGAAGTGACTGGCAATGTCGGGGTTCAGGCCAGAGGCGGTGGGGTGGAGGTGATGACACCACCGGAACTTTCGCTGAGGCTTCTGCCCACAGGATGTGACTTAGGGAGGGCTGGTGGGAAGCAGGCAGGGGCCCTGGCCTCAGAGCCCGCTGGTGAAAGCCACCCAAACCATGGCTGCTACTCTCCCCCCCATCAGCATCCAGAGCCCCCTTCCTGGTGCTGGGCCATGATTGTGCCCTAGCTCCACCCCCAGCCCACATGGGTGCGTGCTTGGGGTTTGTGCCAGACTGACCTGGTTCAACTGCAGGGTGGCCCCAGGCCGCTGTTTGGCCCTGGCCAGGGGATGGCACCTCTGAGCGTCCCGTCCTCGTGTGTACAATGGAAGTGATAAAAGTGCCCGCTTTCTTCCTGGGTGAGAATGGAGGTGATTCTCATAAAATGCTAAGTGTTCAGCTCAGATCACTTATGTTCCCTCAAGAAATTATAGACAAAACCGGTTTGGCTCAATGGATGGAGCGTCGGTCTGCGGACTGAAGGGTCCCGGGTTCAATTCCGGTTAAAGGCATGTACCTTGGTTGCGGGCACATCCCTGGTAGGGGGTGTGCAGGAGGCAGCTGATCAATGATTCTCTCTCATCAATGTTTCCAACTCTCTATCCCTCTCTGAAAAAAACAAAACAAAAAACAAACAAACAATAAAATGTTTAAAAAAAATATAGTTACTACAATTATTTTCTCCCCTCTTGCCCTCGCCACCCCTAATCTAGCATGGGTCTGCTTTCTAAGGGTGTGCCCCTGAGGCTGACCCCAGACCACACCCTATGTCACTCGACAGCTGGCTCCACACTACCCTCAGGAGAGGGCTCCCTGGCCCTCACCCCACCCTCAAGGCCCCCCCTGGAAGGTGTCGTATGTGTGTGTGTGTGTCCCCCCCCCCCCCCCCCCCCGCTCCCGGCCCAGAACAGAGTCTGTTGGAACCCCAGGGTCACCAGACCCACTCCTGCCTCCTCCTGGGCGGCTGCTTCAGGCCTGGAGGGTTTCCTGCAGGCCGAGAGGGTCTGGGGAGCAACCGGGGAGCGCGGTGCTGAAGGCAGGGAGGGCTGGGAAGTGAGGAAACAGGAGGTTGTGTGGGCCACGGCCCAGGAAGGAGCTGGAACGAACCGCCAATGTCGCAAACGGGCTTTCCCTGAAGACAGTGGAGGGACGTGCATGCAGACTCGCCTCAGAGTGATCTGGTGGGTGCTGTGAGGGGGAATGACGGGGAGGCCAGACTGGGAGGCCAGAACTAGCCCTCCGTGGACAGGCCTGGAGAGGAGGTACCGAACAGCTTTGCTGGGCTGGTGGTAGAGTAACTAGAGCTGGAGGAAGACTCACGAGGCCCCCGGAGCCAGGGAAATATCAGAAAGGGGCTGGTTGGGTCAGGGGGAGGGGGCACAGGGTCCCGGGGAGACCCTGGGTCAATGGTGGCTTGGTGGCTGGCATGAGGCCTCCCACAGACACCATTGCTACCTTCCTGGCCAGACTGAACAGCCTGGCTCAGGTGAATCCTCTTCACACAGACCAGGGGTGAGTCCCAGCTCTGTCGCTATGTACACTTGGTTGGGCAAGTCACCTCACCCCTGAACCTCAGTGGCCTCTTCTGCAAAATGGGTTTGTGATCCTAGGAGGCTGTTGGTGGGGGATTCAGCAGGAACGCCTAGCACTTGTGCACACAAGGCTGCTGAGTGAATGCTAGCTGTTTGTGATTACGGCCCCAAGGCTGGACCGGCTCCAGCGCAGCTCGGTGCGGAGGGCCCTGTGGTTTCCATCTCTGTCTCCAGAGAACAGGGGGGTCTGAGGCTGCAAGGCCCGAGCTTTGCTGGCTGGCCCCTTCCAGTGTCGCCGCGCCCCCTGGCGGCCATCGGTTGCCATGTCAACGGTGGCAAAGGCCCGGGGAGGCGGCGGCGGGGCCGTTCTCTCCTCCCAGGACCTGAGGCCGCTCCCAGGCTACCTCCCGCCTTCACCAGTGTGTGTGTGGGGGTTGGGGTGGGGGGCACTCCGAGCCGGGAGGAAGGGGCTCCCCGCGGCAGCTGGAGTGTGGCGGTAAACTGAGGCACGCGCCGAGGCGCCCCGCAGCCAGGTGTCGACTGTGGGCCCCACCTCCGAAGGCGGAGGAGGGGCCGCGGGCGGTGACGCGCCGAGGGCCGCGGGCGGGCGACGGCGGCAGGTGCGGCCGCGCAGGGCGGGAGGGAGGGGCGGGTGGAGGGGGAAGGGAGGGAGAGGGCTGGGCGCCTCCCTCTTTATAACGCGCCCCCTCCCGGGCTCTGGGGCCGCCTCCTCGTCGGCTCTTCCCGTCTCGCCCCCTCTCCCGGCCGCCCCGGGCCCGAGCCCGGCCAGGGAGCCCCCAGGCCTCGGCTTGGGGGCCGCCCCCCCGCTCGCCGCCCCGCGCAGCCCGGCGGAGGCGGCGCCGTCGGAGGAGGAGGAGCAGGGCACTGCGGCTGGCCCGGGATCGGGCGCCAGAGCGGCAGCGGCTTCGGCAGCAGCGGCGGCCCAGGCCCATGCAGCGGGACGCACCGCCCCGAGCCCCAGCCCCGGCGCCTCGGCTCCCCGCGCCCCCGATCGGGGTCGCCACCAGCAGTGGCGGCGGCGGAGGCGGGGGCAGCGGTGGCGGCGGAGGCGCCTCTGCAGCTCCGGTGCCTCCTGGCCTCCCGGGAACTACAAGTCCCAGGGGGCCTGGCGGCGGCCGACGAACGGAAGAGGTGGGGTCGGCGCCGCGAGGCCGGAAGTGGCCGTGGAGGCGGAAGTGGCGCGGCCGCGGAGGGGCCTGGAGCACGGCGGCGGGACCCGGTGCGGGAGCGGCGGCGGCTGCGGCGGCTGGGGGCGGCGGTGGCGCATTGGAGGCGGCCATGGCAAAGCAATACGACTCAGTGGAGTGCCCCTTTTGTGATGAGGTGACCAAATACGAGAAGCTCACTAAGATCGGCCAAGGCACTTTTGGGTAAGGTTGGGCCCGGAGGGGCTGGGTGCCTTGGGCCTGCACTCCTCAGGGCCTCCGACGGGATGCACGGTGCCGGCCCGAGGTGGTCAGGAGGCCTCCTAGCCCTAGACTTGTCTCCTGGTCTTGCTAGGCTGCGCCCCATCCCGCCTGGGCCCGACGGAGTTGGCTGGCGGGGAGGAGCCTGAGGCCGGTGATGGGAAATGGGGAGGGTTGCAGAGGGGAGTTTGCGAGGGGAGCAGATCTCCCCGAGAGCGGCCTGGGTGAGAAGAGACTGAGGGGAGGAAGTAGGGGCTCGGAGAGGGACCGCAAAGAGCTGGTGGTGGGTAGCCGAGTGCCCTCGATTCCAGGCCCCGCCCCGCCGGGGAGCCCCCTTTTTCCTGCCTTCCTCTCCTGGTGGGGGAGGGGCGGGCCCTGCGAAGGTGGCCTGATGGGCTTTGGATCCCCCTCTCCACCTGCAGGGAGGTGTTTAAGGCAAAGCATCGCTTGACCGGCCAAAAGGTGGCTCTGAAGAAAGTACTGATGGAGAATGAGAAGGAGGGGGTGAGTATGGGCCAAGTGGCAGGCAGCCGACTTGTTTCCACGTCGCTGCTTCTAGGATTCTCACGTGGAGACCGAACTTAGGCACAGTCGTGCGGGAATTTCCATAGTGCAGGCAGCTTGACTTGTACATTACATTTTCTAGTTCAAATGTATTAAAGCATTTTGAAATTTTCATTCTTAGGCAAATATGCTCAGGGCCAGGAGGGGGAGCCCATGCTTGCCCTGAGTGCAGGGCGGTTTATGAAATTAGGAAGTCCTGAAGTCTTTTTTCTTCAGCGTTTAATTTTGTGTAGTATAACATGAGAGATGCATGCCGTGGATTTAAAAGAGTGTCTAATGCTCAGCTGAAAAGGAGCAGGTCCCTCTCCCCACTCCGCCCTGGTCCAGTTTCCAGGGACCTAGTTCTTAGCAGACATTTCTTAATAACTCCCTTTGTTTTTGTTCATGCCCGAGTTAAACATGCACAGAGCTAAAATGTAAAGGTTACAGAAGCAGTGGCGCATTTAGTGACTAATAGTGAAGTGAATAAGTGTCACTTTCGATTCACTGTCTCAAACCAACTCCTTGAGGAGTGCATTACTACTTTACACCCGTTTTTCAGATAGGGCCCCTGAGATAGCTGATTTCAGAGCCCAGGATTTTCCTCTGGCTCCCGCCTGTGCCCCTTCGCACAGACTGAGCCAGTTCCTGGGTCCGCGGTGCGCTCACTCCCTCTGAGCCCTTGTCTGTCTTTCTCCCACACAGTTCCCCATCACAGCCTTGCGGGAAATCAAGATCCTCCAGCTCCTCAAACACGAGAATGTGGTCAACCTGATTGAGATCTGTCGAACCAAAGGTAAGTTGCTTGGCTCTTATTGCCATTTTCAGACGAAGACAGTGAGGCTTATCTCTTAAGGCTTTGTTTGCAAAGTTGGAACTAGACACGCTTCTCAACCCAGCAGACCTGCTATGGCTGCTTTCTCCGGTGCTTCCCAGGGGCTGCACAGCCCGGCCCAAAGGAGGCACCAGGACACGCTTTCCCAGCGAAGGAGCACGCAGACGGGTGCCGGTTGTGGGAAAATGAGTTGCAGATGGGATTCTTTACTTTCTTCTCACCCGCTTCCCTCCCTCCCATTCTTTCTGCCTCAGCTTCCCCCTATAACCGCTGCAAAGGCAGTATATACCTGGTGTTCGACTTCTGCGAGCATGACCTTGCTGGGCTGCTGAGCAACGTGTTAGTCAAGTTCACCCTGTCCGAGATCAAGAAGGTCATGCAGATGCTGCTCAATGGCCTCTACTACATCCACAGGAACAAGGTGGGGGGGACCGAGGCCAGGCTGACCTTTGCCCCCACTGCCGGGTGGGTGTGGCTAAAGGACCCCTGGGAACCTGACTCAGCCCTCTCGCCCTTCCTGCAGATCCTGCACAGGGACATGAAGGCGGCCAACGTGCTCATCACCCGAGACGGGGTCCTGAAACTGGCAGACTTCGGGCTGGCCAGGGCCTTCAGTCTGGCCAAGAACAGCCAGCCCAACCGCTATACCAACCGTGTGGTGACACTCTGGTACCGGCCCCCGGAGCTGTTGCTCGGTGAGGACCCCCGAGGGGGCGGCGGGGCCGGGGCTAGGCACTTAGCCTGGCCCCGGCCCCCCCATTGCCAGGGCTTCTTGAGCCACCGGCCCCGAGGCCTCGCGTCTCAGGAGGCCCTCGGGCTCAAGGGGCCCTCCTGGTGCCCTCTTCTTCCCAGGGGAGCGGGACTACGGCCCCCCCATTGACCTGTGGGGTGCCGGGTGCATCATGGCGGAGATGTGGACCCGCAGCCCTATCATGCAGGGCAACACGGAGCAGCACCAGCTCGCCCTCATCAGCCAGCTCTGCGGCTCCATCACCCCCGAGGTGCGTGGCCAGGCTGCCCCGGGCCCCTGGGCCCTGCAGGATGCAGAGACCAGGATCTCCCTGGCAGGGGAGGAGCGGGGAGTGGACAGAAGGAAAGCTCCTCTCTGGAGAGTGGCAGGTGGAGGTCAGGGCCTGCCTGAGAGCCGCACAGGCTGTCGGCTCCGTCTCCAGCTCTGTGGCTTGGGGCGAGGCGTTTGGACTTCTCACCTGTCTTGAGTTTCTCTTTCGTGAAACAACTGCCCGTGTCCGCTGTGGCACACGTGTTTTAGGCGATTTATGTAAAAGGGCCTGGCAATCGGTGCCAAACACGTGGTCACGGCTGCTTTGACCTTAGAGACCTCGGGTGGTGTGGAAGCATCTGGTCAGGGAAGTTTTAGTCCCTGCAGGTGCTTGGCCAGTGGACAAGCCACTCGGCTCCTGAACTAACGTCATCCTCTTCCGTGCCTCCCCCAGGTGTGGCCCAACGTGGACAAGTACGAGCTGTTTGAGAAACTGGAGCTAGTGAAGGGCCAGAAGCGGAAGGTGAAGGACCGGCTGAAGGCCTACGTGCGCGACCCCTACGCCCTGGACCTCATCGACAAGCTGCTGGTGCTGGACCCCGCGCAGCGCATCGACAGCGACGACGCCCTCAACCATGACTTCTTCTGGTCCGACCCCATGCCCTCGGACCTCAAGGGCATGCTCTCCACCCACCTGACCTCCATGTTCGAGTACCTGGCGCCGCCGCGCCGGAAGGGCAGCCAGATCACCCAGCCTCCCACCAACCAGAGCCGCAACCCCACCAACACCAACCAGACGGAGTTCGAGCGCGTCTTCTGAGCTGCGTCTTTCTCTCCAGCTGTGGCTCGGGCTTGGAGACAATGGGGCGTTGGAGGGTTTCTCCAGTGCAGTGCAGTGTTTTGTCTTATTCCCATCCGGGCACCGGGAGTGCCATCTGAGTGGACTGGAGTAAAGCTTTGGCTCAGTGTCCAGGAGGGCACTGAGGCCTCAGGAGCATGTCCAGAGGTCTCCACTTACGTTGGGACAGGGATGGTGTGCGGAGAGGTGCACCCCCCAGTGACTGACTTTCTAGGTTCCCAGCACGATGGGAGGAGGAACGGGTCCTGCCCATCCCCGGTTTCTGTCGCCTAAGAAACTTGCATGGGGGCCTCCCAGCCTGGAAGGGGGGCTGCCCGTGGCCTGAGCCTCGGCGGCACAGGGGCTGGCAGAAGCGTGGTGTCTTCGGTAGAGGATTTTATCATGTTTGCTTTATTCGGTTGTTTAAAGACATTCCTGGACACAGTTTAACCAGTTACAATTAAAGTTGACTTTTTTTTTTTCTTTCTTTTTTCACTAAGTGGCTGTATGCTTTGTTCTGTGTTCAGGCTCCCAGCTCTTACCCTGCAGCCAACAGGTTGGGCCTCACTGTTGAAATTTGATTTGTCAGATCTTAACTCAGCTTTGTCCCAGTCCATGTCCCCTGACATAATGGCACAGGACTTCTGTCCTTTTTCCCCATCTGGTCCCTTCCGGACTTGCCATCTCGTTTCCCAAAGGGCATGCGCCATGAAGCTCCCCGGCCCCTCTCCCTCTGTCTGAGGGAAGACAGGTGAGATAAGGTCTCCTTGGTGAGGGGACTGGAGAAGGTCTGCGGTGAGCTGTGTGGGCAGGTCAGCTGGGCACAGTCCATTATGGCTGACAGACAGCTGTGTTCAGACTTGACCCATGGGCACGGGTGAGGGGCGAGTGAAAAAAGCCCTATGGGTGGGATGATAACAGTTAGACCTTGGGGGTCTGCGGGGGCTTGAGGAAGGGGCAGGAGCTTGGATAAGGTGGAGGTTGGATCTTGGGGGCTCGAAGCTGGGACCCTCAGCAGCACGTCCTGAGTCAGGGGCAGGTGTGTTTGGGGGAATTCTGTATTCTCACCTGGGGGCGGCCCCTCGTGAGGGGCCCGGGTGGAACTGCTCTTGTGAAAACTGGCCCAGCTCACAGCTTCATACCAGTGAAAGTAAAAAGTTCTTGACTAGTGGGTTAGTTTCTTTTATTTTTTATTTATATTGTTTCAGAGAGGAAGGGAGAAGGATGGACAGGAACATCAATGATGAGAGAGTCATTGATCCGTGCCTCCTGCATAACCCCCTCTGGGGATCAAGCCAGCAACTCAGAATCAAACCCGGGATCCTTCAGTCCATGGGCCAATGCTCTATCCACTGAGCAAACCAGGCTTGGGCATGATTAGTTTCTTGAGGCTGCCATACCCAGTTGCCACCGACAGGTGGCTTACAATAACCTCCATTCTGTAGGATCTGGAGGCCAGAAGTCTGGAGTCGCTGTGGCTGTGGTTATGCTCTGAGGGAGCACACCCCGCTCCCTGCCTCCTTGGTGCCCTTGGCTTGTAGACATATCCCTCTCCTGTGTTCACGTGCCGGTCTTACCCCCTGTGTGCTCTCTCTCACAAGGACTCGCCATGACCCAGTATGACCTCATCTTAACCAATTCTGTCTCTGAAGACTTTCAAACAAGGCCACATCGTGAGGTTCCGGTTGGACATGAATTTTGGGAGGATGCTATACAACCAGCAATCAGCACAAAGCCAGCGAGGTGTCCTCAGCGACAGCCACAAGGTCGCTAGGCTTTCAATGACGTGACTATTGGGGAAAGCTCGCAGGGTTTTTCCTCTGAAGGATCAGGTTCCTATCAAAGGTCCATATTCTTGGGCCCAGCAATGCCACTTAGAGGAATGTCTTAGGAGCAGCTGTCCAGCCTGTTTGCTCGTGGAGTCCCTGCTGGAGGAGGCTAGACGTGGCCCAACGTTAGACGTTGTCCGGGGATTGAGGGCAATGGATGAAGTAAGTGACAAGTGAGAGAGCGTCGTGGGGACAGGGAGTGATCATTTCCGCAGATCCTGATGGTCCAGAAGAGAGGGTGGGCTGAGAGCCATCCGGTGGAGGGAGCAGGACAGGAAGCAGGAGCCCTCCCAGGGAGGGGGATTAGGAACCAGCGAGTCTTCGTAGGCTAAGGGAGCCCAAGCCCAGCAGAGAAGGCGGCTGTGGATTCTTGTCCCAACCAGGGCTGTACCCCTAACCTGTCCCTGCTACCTCCGCCCCTGCACCCACCCTGCAGGGCAGCCTGCATGCGGAAAGCGTGAACCTCCGTCAGATAAGAGCAGAGTGTAACTTCAGCGTATGTCCGAAGCCCCGTTCGGTGGGGGAGGGCAGCTCTAGCCGCTGGCGGGATCTGTGCAGCCCGGACAGGGCAGGCCCAGGATGGACTGCGGGGCGAGGAGGAAGGAGGCCCAGGTGTAGGCTCTGCCGGGAAGTGGTTCCAAAGGCCCTGGTGGGAAATGCACCGCCGGAGCTCATTTTACAGGAAAAACAATCACGAAAACTACCCGTGGTTTTTTTTTCTCCTGTGGCTCTTTCCCCCTGTGCTTTCTCATATTCCCTGAATTAGTGTTTTTATTCATGCATTTCAACCATATTTTAAAACAACCAAAGCAGGCCCCAAGCCCTGGAGCTTCTGGCTCCAAGCTCCCCCCACACCCCACTTCCCCATAGGACACCCCAGAGAGGAGATCAGGCAGGACTAGAGGCAGGCCTGGTCCATCTGCTTCAGCCTCCAGCCCTGGTGTGCCGGTCATCGCAGTCTGGAGGGAGGTATGTGTCCCAGAACATGACCCCGAGGCACGTAGTATCACAAGATGCACTTGTGAATCTCCAGGCAGTGAGTCAGGCAGAACCGGAAAGGTCTTCGCTAGCGGCTGTGTTTGGTCGGCCCTCGGGCCCAGTGTCACCCAGCAGGCTGCGAAATGGGTCTGTGTCCTGGCTTCTTAACCAAAAGATTTGGAGAACTACAGTTCTCACCCCTGAATTCTACTCCCCCGTGTTCAGGGACCCCAGCTGGGCAGGGCCAGGGCAAATAGGCCCTAAGAATAAGGAGAGAGAGGCTGTGATAAAAGGCCCAACAAAGCCAGCCCCTAGCGCTGCAAGCCTCCCACGCGCTGCTAGCCTCCCACGCATGCCTCTCCCGCAGTGACTCCGCCTGCCTGCTCACCTTTAACCCCACTCGGTTGTTATTTAACCCGTGGGAACCACACTCTGGAAACCTCCAGAAGGACCAGAGGGCCCTGGGCAGGTCCCAGGAGGAGAGCAAGACCCTATCAGGTGAGCCCTTCCTCTACACCCCGAGAGGCCCTGTGCTTCTGGGTGGGGAGGAGGAGGATTGTGGGTGTCCTCTGACTCCCCTCCCATCTCCAGCCCAGCTGAAGCCCGGTCAGAGCGAGCCTGGCCTGGCAGAGGTGGCCTGCCAGCACTGCCCCGTCTGAGTGGGGAGCATGAAAGCCAGGAATGAAAGGTGCCAGATCCTTCGCTACCTCCTGGTCAGTAGCTGAGAAGTTGGGGTGTGAAGCAACCATGGAGCAGCCGAGCCCACCCGGGGGGCCTGTCTTGGCTAAATCTGCCTCTTTCCAGGTAGGAGGGTGCTGTGACCTTGGGCAGGGCGCCTGCCTCTCTCAGCCTCTGTTCGTTCTTTTGTACAAATTGGTGTAAACATACCTCAGGGGACCAAGATCATCAGCAATGATAAACCCTCACTTTCAAGGAAAACCTTGCAATGATAAGCCTTGGCCTCAGTGTGGCTGTGGAGGGTCTCAGAGCAGAACCGTGAGGCAGGGCTGCTGGCAGAGGCTTCCTCCAGGGTCCTGTGTGCCAGGCATGTGTGATCTGTAGGCTGGTTTCAGCTGATGGAACTCTCAGGATTACTCTGAAGAGGACTGCTAGTCTCATTATTATTAACTAGTGGGTGCACAAAGTTTGTGTGTGTGTGTGTGTGTGTGTGTGTGTGTGTGTGAGGGGGTCCCTTAGCCCGGCCTGCACCCTCTCCAATCTGGGGATGTCCAACTGCTGGTTTAGAGCCGATCTCTATGGGGCAGTCGGACATCCCTTTCGCAATCCGGGACCCCTGGCTCCTAACCGCTCACCCACCTGCCTGCCTGATCGCCCCTACCCACTCTGTCAGCCTGATTGTTCCCAACTGCACCACTCTTCCAGCCTGATCACTCCCAACTGCCTTCATAGGTGCCCCCTTCACAGGTCCCCCCCCTCCCGCCAGCCTGATCTCTCCCAACTGCCCCCTCTTGCCAGCCTGCACGCCCCCACCTGCCCTCCCCTCCTGGCCTGATCGCCCCTAACTGCCTCTGCCTTAGCCCCACCATGGCTTTGTCCGAAAGGACTTCCAGAAGGTCTCCCAGTCTAATTAGCATATTACCCTTTTATTAGTATAGACAATAACAGCGCTGGCTGGTTTGACTAAGTGGATAGAGCATTGGGCTGTGGACCAAAGGATCCTGGTTCGATTCCAGTCAAGAGCATGTACCTTGGTTGTAAGCTCCTCCCTGGCCCAGGCGTTGGTCAGGGTGCCTTCAGGAGGCAACCAATCAATGTTCTCTCACATTGATATTTCTCTGTCTTTCCCTCTCTCTTCCACCCTCCCTAAAAATCAATGGAAGACTATCCTCCTGTGAGGATTAAAAAAACAAAACAGAAACGCCACTGATGATCTCAGTAACCTGCAAAAAAACCAATAACAATAAAGGCCACATGGATCAAGTAAGTGTTCACTACCCACTGGCCCTGTGCCCATTGTTATCTGCATCTTACAGATCTGAAACCATTATTGCCTGCAGCCTATAGATCTGGTAGGTGTGGTTAAGAGCCGTTAAGGACTTAGTTTGTTAAAGATTTCTAACCTTGGCACATGGGTGGAACCCTGGCTCCGTGCTCTGGCCCAGCACCCTCTCCCTCAGCCTCATCCAGCTCCCTGAGGTGGGTGCCACTGCAACCCCACTTTACAGATGCAGCAACAGGGCTCAGCGGGGTGAGGAGGCTCACCAGGCAGCGGAAGCCTTCCTGCTTGGCTGGGGCAGAGATGGGCTCGGGCTCGGGATGGGAACCCCAGGCTTGGCTACAAGGGATGAGATGAGCATGGATCTAGGTTCACGTCCTGATAGACACTAGACAAGCCACTTAGTCTTCCTCACCAAGCCGTAGTCTTCCTCTTCTGTTGAATGGGTGCCATGAGAAGGGGCCTCCCTCCCTCCCTGTGCAGTCTGAAGCCCAGGCGAGAATGCAAGGCTGCATGCCAGGCGGGGCCATGCCTCCCGAGTCCGCTGGATGGAACCTTGTGCCCAGCAGCAGAGGAGGGGCAGGCCCAGACACCAGGGCTTGGAAACAGCGGCTCCTACAAGGTTATCTAGACCCTCTCACTTTGAGACTGGGTGCCTTGCCCGGGTCACATGGTGTGGGTCCTCCAGGGGGAGAAAGAGCTGAGGGACGCCCCAGGGTCAGGTGAGGATTGCACTTCGCAGGGCTTCTCAGCAGCCCCAGGGCCTCCCTTTGAAGTAAGAGCTGGCCCAAGGCCGCAGCTCTGCTGACCAGATGACCAGGTCACCAGGTCGCCTCACTGGGCACAGCGCGGCGAGGGGGGCAGGGTCCAGGGGTCCCTTGGGGGTGGAGTCCGGTGCCCAGTGAATGATTAAGTCACTCCCCCTGTTCGGCCTTGGTTGCCTCCTCTGAGAAATGGGTCCTGGAACAGAACCTTCCCTGCAGGAGCGGGTGAGGATCCAAGAAGACAGGTGCATGTAAAGGGTCTGGAATGCACCCACATTAACTATTATTTAAGAAAATCCAAGTTACAGATGGAAAAAATTAGCCAGGGATTCCTTTAATTAGCTTGATCGGAGGAGCGCAGTCAGTAGTTACGGGAATCAGAGGAGCCGGGACAGAGCTGCACCTGCTGGCTGGTCCCCTTCATAGGTGACTCCCAGGTCCTGTTTCCGCGCCTGTAAAGCCGGCCCAGCACCGCGCCTGGCCAGGAGGGGGCTCCAGAAACCTTACCCCAAGGAGCCAGGTGCCGCGGACAATGGTCACAGAGGGTGAGATAACAACTAGGGGGGGGAAAAAAAAGACAAGCATTATTCCCTCTGAAAAGCCAGCTGCTCTCCGGTTCCAGCAGCGAAGGCTTTGCCCAGCTCCGAGGGAGGCAGGACTGAGCCAGCCTGTCTGTGGCCTGGCTATTGCACGGCCTCGCACCACAGGCCTGTGCCCTCCTAAGGGCCCCTCGTGGCCGTGGGTGGGGACCCCAGGAACCCCCGGGAAGCCACGCCAGGTTCCAGGGCGGTTTGGGCCCCTTGCTGGGCCTCAATGTCCTGACCCGTTGTTCCAGAAAATCAAACAAGAGGTACACCCACATGCAGCCGCTCAGAGTGGTAAGAATGGTCCGTCCTTTTGCCTAATTATGCCCTCTCCGGGGACATTTTATAAAACCCACATAAGCAAAAGGGGGCAAAGGTCACCTCTAGTCTGGCCACCTGGAGCTAAGCGCCATTACCACTTGGGGTATAACTTCCAGGCTATTTCTAAATTATTATTTTCACAAAAATGGGATCCCATTCTCCACCCTGTCTCACCAACCGGTTTATTCCCTTGAATAGTCTCATTTCACGATTCATACCTCTTGACTTTTCAAAAAAAAAAAAAAGCAAAGATACAAAGGAGGTGAACAGACTATAAAGGAAATACAAAAGGTTGTGTTTTGTTTTGTTTTTTAAATAAGATCAAGTGCTCAGCCTCCTTCAAATAAAATAAATGCAACCGATAACTCAAGAATGCATTTTTCCACACGTGATATTGACAAGGATCAAGGCCGGCTTTCTGTCTGTGTGGGAAGAAAGGGCTGGCTATGCCCGCGGGGGTGTGGAGGACAAATGGCAATAAGTATGAAAGTGTCCAGTGCAAAGCACCTCCAGCCCAGCAGTTGCTCATCTTGGAGTGTGTGCATCAGACACTCTGGCACGTGAAGAAATGACGAGGATAACATGCTCCCGAGGGAAGCACTGCTTGTGATGCCAAAATCCTGGGAACCTGCATGTCCTTCCGCAGGAGATGGTCACAGACACAGCGGTACTTCCACCCCAGGCAGCACTTCGGAGAACAGATCAGCGCATGGGGAGGCTCTTAGGTACGGACACGGCTCCGAATCAGGTCCAGGATGTAAAGGCAGGTGGTAAAGTACAACACAGATCCGCATGTATGGTCCACTACCAGTGACTATAAAAGGAAAAAAAAATATTTGCTTATTTCTCTGGAAAGATCACAAGAAACAGACCTTTGGTAGCTTTGAGAGGAGGGGAGTTAGGATGCTGGCGCCGGACTGGGAGGGGAGCAGAGAGGCTTCAGTAAAAATCTTGATGTTATGACGCGGGCCTTTGTGCCTCAGTTTCCTCACCTGTGAAACGAAGAAGGTAATACTACCACCTGCTTCACAGGATTGTGATGACTAAATGAGCAACTATGTGGGAAGTGTTTAGAGCAGTGCCTGGCCAGAGAAGTGCTACTTAACTGTTTGCTAAGTCCTTGTCTTAGAAGAATCCCTAAACACCTATTGTTGGGTAAGAAAGTGGACAAATGGGGGGGGGAGACATATGTAAAACTTTAGACAATAAAAAAGAAAGAAAGTTGACAGGAAATATTATCATCTGCATTGACAAGGCCCTATAGATATTTAGGCGTGTATTTGATTTCACGAGTGTAGACAACTGTGGGACACACGGTTGTCAATGATTTCCAAAGGAGCAAGTGAGGGGAGGGGGTAAGCAAAAGAATCTTAAAACATATTTATGATAATTGTTATGCAGTTACTAAGTTATATACATGAGCATGTATAGAGAGAGTTTCACTTATTAAAAAGAGGAAGAAGCCAAGAGAGGAAAGGACCTCTGTATCGTCTAGGTGCCCCACCTGGCCCTGATGTGAGGAACGGGAGCCCAGCCAGCTAATGAAGGAGCCTTCCCAACACCTTCTTTCTTTCTTTCTTTCTTTCTTTCTTTCTTTCTTTCTTTCTTTCTTTCTTTCTTTCTTTCTTTCTTTCTTTCTTTTAATATATTTGTTGATTTTTTACAGAGAGGAAGAGAGAAGGATAGAGAGTTAGAAACATCGATGAGAGAGAATCATCGATCAGCTGCCTCCTGCACACCCCCCACTGGGGATGTGCCCGCAACCAAGGTACATGCCCTTGACCGAATCGAACCTGGGACCCTTCAGTTCGCAGGCCGATGCTCTATCCACTGAGCCAAACCGGTTTTGGCCCTCCTTTGTTTATTTCAAAACCAATCTCTGATAAATAGTTACCCCAATGCCTGCAGGAAAAAGGAAGGGAGGTCCTGAAATTCCACATTTTCTGAAGGATTGCCTTTCACGTGTGGGAACTTCTCTCCAGGGGTGTTTGCAGCCACTCCCTACCCCCCTTTCTAGACCTCAGCTGTAAAAAAAGGGACTGTCCATCCTAATATTTCCATGGAGGCGAAAGGCGCTCCTCCACACAGCAAATCAAGTGCAAACCTAGCCTTGTCATCTCTTTTAAAACCATCTTATTGTCATCCAAATTTAAGCCAAAGTTCTTAGCAGGCTGCACGGCCCTGCTGGGGGTAGCATGCTGGCACTATGGGGCTCACCAGGTGGAAGTGCAATCCTTGGGGGCCTAGTTCTCTCTCTCCAATCGTTTGCCTCGCACGCATCGTTCCCTCCATTTGCCAGGAAACCTGTCTCCCATCCCTACACCTCGCCAACTCCCCCTTTCCCCCAGGTCTCCCTCCAGGATGTTGCTTTCCTCCAGAATGACTTCCCAGGCACCCCAGCAGCGTCCTCGCTTTTGCTCTGTTGGCCCCAAATCGGGCTGTCAGATTCGCGAGGGCAGGGACCGGCCCCCCGCTGCCTGTGGTCTCTGTGTATTTGGGACATTTGGGGCCGTGGTTCCGTGACACCTGAAGGTCCTTTCATCCGGCTCGGAGCCGGTTCGGAGCCGGTTCCGGCCCGGAGTAGAGGCTGAGGGATGCTAACGACGAGTGGCTCTCATGACGGATGTGGCCTTGGGAGGAGGGATGACCAAAGCGGTGCAAGTTCATTGAGGACGAGGCTGCCCGGGGGAACCTGCCCCGCACAAACATGGCCGAAGCCCTGGCCTCGAGAGACTGCCCCTCACAAAGATGGCGCCCGCGAGTTCTCATTGGCTCCAGTGGCTCCTTGGGCGGCGCTGATTGGCGGAGAGCGGGGCGGGGCGGGAAGGGGCGGGGCGGGGCGGGACGTCGCCGGCTCGGGCTCGGTGCGAGGCTCCCGGCCCGGGACTATGTCGCGGGCACACAGCCGCCTGCGCGCCAGTCTCCGCCTGGCAGCGGCTTTCCCGCGCGGCGTAACGACCGGGGTCGCGGGAGCGCGAGAGTTTAGCGCGCGGCCCGCGCCGCAGGAGCCCGGCATGGAATACCAGGTACCGGTACCCGCGGCGGGCGGTGGGCGGAGATGCCACGTGGGCTGGCGCTGGGCTCCCTGCCTCCCGGTGCCAGCTGCGGAGGGCACCTGGGAACTGAGCCCGGGAGCCCGGGAGCCCGGGGCCGGACGTCCTGGAGTCCCGGGGTGGGGACCGGGACCAGGGAGCTGGCCTGGACCACCATCCGGGAATTCTGATGGAGTTGGAGGGGGCGCCCCGTGATGGGACCCAGAGGTCCAGCGGCCCAGCTGGCCGGGGTCCTGGTGTCCCAGAATCTCCGGAGTTAGGGATCGGGGGCAGTGGAGTGGGGGTGGGGGTGGGACAAGAAGCTGCAAAACAGGAAACTTTCACCTGACTTCATGCCAAAGGCCAGTGGCCAGAGACCAGAACCTGATGCCAGCCGGACAGGTGGCACCAGTTGGATGGAGTGGAGCCTCCAACCAACCCTTAGGGTCCCCGAGGGAAAATAAAGAGCACCCCCACTCTTACCTCCAAGGTGGACCCTCCTGAGGCTGACCTACCTGCCTTCCTGGCTGGGTGACCCTGGTCACACCCTCCCTCCCACCTGCCTTCTCTTTTCCATCTGTGGCTTCAAGCAGCTCTGCCTTCTTATTCTTATTCTTATTCTTATTCTTATTCTTATTCTTATTCTTATTCTTATTCTTATTTTTTTTAAAGAAAGGAAACTGTTTCTTTTTTTTCCTTTTTAAAAATATTTTTATTGTGTTTTTATTTTATTTTTTAAAATAAAGGAAACTATTTCTTTTTTTTTCCCCTTTTTAAAAAATATTTTTATTGTGTTTTTACAGAGAGGAAGGGAGAGGGAGAGTTAGCAACATTGATGAGAGAGAAACATCGATCAGCTGCCTCCTGCACACCCCCCACTGAGGATGTGCCCGCAACCAAGGTACATGCCCTTGACCAGAATCGAACCTGGGACCCTTCAGTCCGCAGGCCGATGCTCTATCCACTGAGCCAAACTGGTTAGGGCTCTTATTCTTATTCTTTTTTTTTTTTTTGAGAGGCGGGGAGTGGCACAGGAAATTTATTATTTTTGCACACATGAACACAAAATATCCCTGCAGGGCCCCCCCTCCCCCCCCCCCCCCCGCCCAAAACCCCACCAAATTTAAACAACCATCACCTTATCCCACCCTCCATTAATAGTGAGAAACTACCTCATATTCAGGCAGTTTCACTTTTGATTTGGATATGGAATCTCAATCGTCAGGGTTAGGCATGGAAGGAAGACTTTAGGAATTCCTTATGCTAATTCCTCCTGTTCTAGACCTCCCATTCCAGAACCTTCTGTGGTTCTAGCCCCACCCCAGTAGGGGCCCAATGTAGTGGGGGACCCCATTGGAGGGAATGAGCGCAAAGGCCCCGGGGGTGCAGCCGGGGGAACTGGCACCAAAAGCAAGGCTAACCCCGTTACTCCTGTTGGCCGCCTCGCCTGGCACTCCCTGGGTGGGGCTGAGCTGCCTCAGGCTCCCGTTGGTGCCAGAGCTGGAACGATGCCACCTCTCTCTCACCGGTGTCTAACCTCAGAGCTGGGCAACAGGGCTGGCCCGGCAGGCTGGTGCACTGGCCTGGCCTTAGGTAACTGGGGGCCTCTGTCCCCGTGGACCCCAAGTGAGCCTTAACCCGCCACCGGGGACTGTTATTGCCAGGATGCCGTGCGCACACTCAACACCCTGCAGACCAACGCCAGCTACCTGGAGCAGGTAAAGCGCCAGCGGGGCGACCCCCAGGCCCAGCTGGAAGCCATGAAGCTGTTCCTGGCCCGGAGTGGGCTGCAGGTAAAGTGGGCAGGGCCTGCGGCCACCCCCCCGTCTTTCTTGGCCTGTGAGCTCTGTTGCTGAGTGGAGGACCTCGTCTTTCTGTTCCAGGTGGAGGACTTGGACCAACTGAACATTATCCACGTGACTGGGACGAAGGGGAAGGTGAGGGGCGGGAGCCGGGGGAGGGAGAGCGTGCCCACAGGTGGGGTGGGGCCTGCCCAGACAAGAACTTTCCTTTCTAGGGCTCCACCTGCGCCTTCACGGAGCGCATCCTCCGGAGCTACGGCCTGAAGACGGGGTTCTTTAGGTACGAGGTGTGGGGGGACGTGGTGCTCCCCGCTCTCTGGGGGGCTGTAGAACCAGCCAGCACCTAGAATATGTTTTTGGAGAAAAACCCAGGCTTCGACCAGAGTCTATGCAGCCTTGTGGGTCCACCCAGGGATGCACAGCGGGGCCGGGGCACAGGGAGCTGTCGAGAGACACGGGAGAGGAGAGACACAGGCCGGGAGCATCAGCCTCACCTGGGCCTGGGAAGCCGCGTGGAAAGCTGGGATTCTCTCGAGGGCAGGGGGAAGGGTTTTCAGCAGGATGGTGACACGATCAGATCTGTGTTGCTGACAGACAGGTCTGACAGGGGTTGGGGGAGGCCTGGGGGGGCCCCAGCAGGGAGCCCTGATGACCTCGGGTCTCCCGGCAGCTCTCCCCACCTGGTGCAGGTGCGCGAGCGGATCCGCATCAACGGGCAGCCCATCAGCCCCGAGCACTTCACCAAGTACTTCTGGCGCCTCTACCACCGGCTGGAGGAGACCAAGGTGTCCACACAGGAGGGCTGGCGGGGGGACAGGAGCGGGCACTGGAGCGGGCGGAGGGACCCAGAAGACACTGCGCTCCCGGGACCCCCCTCCCCAGAGCAGAGGCGGACGGACCTCAGGCCCTGGCGTGTTCCCATCCACAGGACAGCAGCAGCTGTGTCTCCATGCCTGCGTACTTCCGCTTCCTCACGCTCATGGCCTTCCATGTCTTCCTGCAAGAGAAGGTCTGTGCCCGCTCCCTAGCACCCTGTGTCTAAGGCCTTGGGGAGGCTGGGGGCTCCCATGTGGCCTTCAGGTGCCCTGTACCCCCTGCCATGCCCTCTGACCCTCTGCAGGTGGACCTGGCAGTGATGGAAGTGGGTATTGGCGGGGCTTATGACTGCACCAACATAGTCAGGTGAGGGCGGCTGCTTGGGGAGAGGGATGATGGGCCGAGCCCAGGTGGCCCAGGGTGGGGGCATCACGGCCCTTCCGTCTTCTGCAGGAAGCCTGTGGTGTGTGGGGTCTCCTCTCTTGGCATCGACCACACTAGCCTTCTGGGGGACACGATAGAGAAGATCGCATGGCAGAAAGGGGGCATCTTCAAGGTGACTGGGCAGCCCCAGGGCGGGGAGGTGCATGGGCCTGGCCCTAAAGCTCAGGGAAGGGGGCTGGGCAGGGTTCTTGGTATCCTGACTCAGGAGGGTCTTGGGCATCAGCGGGGTCTGGGTTCTCAGCTCTGCATGTGACTGAGCAAGTTGAGCCTCATCTCCAATCTTTTTTTTTTTTTTTTTTTTAAATATATTTTATTGATATTTTACAGAGAGGAAGAGAAGAGGGATAGAGTCAGAAACATCGATGAGAGAGAAACATCGACCAGCTGCCTCCTGCACACCCCCTACTGGGGATGTGCCTGCAACCAAGGCAAATGCCCTTGACCCGAATCAAACCCGGGACCTTTCAGTCCACAGGCCAACGCTCTATCCACTGAGCCAAACCGGTTCAGCTCGTCTCCAATCTTAGTCTCCCCATCAGGTGGTTCCCATTGGTACTCTGGGGGAGGCTGAATGGGCCTCTCCGGCCCAGGAATGCAGAGGCCAGAGATGAAGGTGGAGGACCCTCAGCAGCCCTGTCTCCTCCTCTCTGCCTCCACAGCGTGGCGTCCCCGCCTTCACCGTGCCCCAGCCTGACGGGCCCCTGGCGGTGCTGAGGGAGCGCGCCGAGCAGATCTCGGTGAGTGCCGGGAGCTGCTGCTTCACCCCCATGGGCCGCCGCTCGCCCAGCGGGAGCACTCGGACCGGGAGCAGGGCTGGCTTCTGGCTGGTGGGAAAGATGGAGGAGCTGACCACATCGGGAAGGGCCTCCTGCCCAGGGAGGCGGCAGCAGCTCCTCTGACTCCTCTGCAGTGTCCCCTGTACCTGTGTCCATCGCTGGACGCCCTGGAGGACGGGGGGCCCCCGCTGACCCTGGGCCTGGAGGGAGAGCACCAGCGGTCCAATGCCGCGTTGGCCCTGCAGCTGGCCCGCTGCTGGCTGCAGCGGAAGGACCGCCACGGTGAGTGGGAGGGACCCGCGGAGCCTGCCTCTGAGGGCCCTGAGAACACTCGGCCCACACCGTCCTCCCTTACCCCCAGACATTGGGGAGCTGAGAGTGTCCAGGCCGAGCCTCCTGTGTCAGCTGCCTCTGGCCCCCGTGTTCCAGCCCACGGCCCCCATGCGGCATGGTGAGTGACACCCTCCTGCCCAGCCGGTCCCTTCCGATGTTCCTCTCACTTTGCTTTTTGAGAGGACGGGTCAATTTGACATGGTGCCCAAGAGAAAGGACTCTGACATCAGTAATCATCCTTGACCTTGAGTTCACGAACTCTCTGTGAGCCTCAGTTTCCCCACCTGCCAGGGGACTGAGCCCAGAGCCTGTCCAAATGGAATAAAGTGCCCAGCCAGTGGCAGCTGCTTTCACTGTCCTCCTTGTCATCGTCATCACAAGACCATGAGATTCATAAGAATGGTGATATTTGTCAGGCTTCTTCCCCCACAGCTTTCAGCACACAGTAGGTGCTCATGGCTGTCAAACCCCTTCAGCAAATGGTTCCAGTGTGCCCACTGTGTGCCAGGCCCCATGGCAGGGCCATGAGACAGCTCTGGGGCCAGGTATATCTTGAGTCACATCCCAGTCCCAAGACTCATATGCTCTGTGACTTAATCTCTCTGAGCTAAGGGCCGTATAAGACATAGCCCCTCTGAGGGCTGCCTAGAAGATTCCATCAGAGGAGGCAGAATCGCTGATCCCTCTGGCACCGGTCTCAGGCTGCTGGGCTGGTGAGCTCCTGGGAGCGCTCAGACAGGGGTGCGGGTTATGATGGGAGAGTGAAGAGCTGCCTTGCCCCGTCCCCCAGGGCTTCGGGACACGGAGTGGCCTGGCCGGACGCAGATGCTGTGCCGCGGGCCCCTCACCTGGTACCTGGACGGCGCGCACACCTGCAGCAGCGTGCAGGCCTGCGTGCGCTGGTTCCGCCAGGCGCTGCAGCGCCGCAAGAGGTGAGGGCGGGGCGGGGCGGGGCAGGGGCGGGGCCCGGGTCCAGGGGGCGGGGCCTCGGGGAGGATGGGGCGGGCCGGGGGGGGGGGTAGAGGGAGGTAGGGAAAGGTAGGGGTGCGGCCATTCCCCGCCTCCCCTCTCCTTGCAGTGGGCCCGAGGTGCGCGTCCTGCTCTTCAACTCCACGGGTGACCGGGACCCGGCGGCCCTGCTGAAGCTGCTGCAGGTGAGAGGCAGCCCAGCCCCTGAACCTCCTTTCCTCAACTGCAGAATGGGGCGAATGCCTGGCTTTGGAGCTAATTCCTGGTTTAGTAGCTACGCGACCTTGAGCCGTAGCCCCGCCCCCAAGCTTCTGTTCCCCCCCCCCCCCCCCCCCCGTACCACAGGGATGGGGGAGCTGGCGGAAGGGGTGGCACTGAAGTGCTGTGGCCGCGTGTATGCAGCACCCCCCAGCGGAGGGCCTCTCCAGAGGGGGGACTCCCTGTGCTGCGTGGACGACAGGGCGGGGATGGGCACCCTCTCAGGGCTCTGACCCTCGCTTCACCCCCTGGCCTTCCAGCCCTGCCAGTTTGACTACGCTGTCTTCTGCCCTAACCTGACAGAGGTGTCATCCGTGGGGAACGCAGGTGAGCGGTGGCAGCATGGTGGGCGTGCCTTGAGGGGGCCGCCCTGCTGGTGGCTGCGGGGAGGGCTGGGGAGGAGCTGGATTTGTCTTATGGTAGAAATAGCCTCTGGTACGTTTTGCATGCGGCTGCAACACTGGAAAGGAATTGTCGGGGAAACGTTTTTCAAAATGCAGGTTAAAACCTCCTGATGGTCCTTGAGATCAATTAGTGAGTCTCACCAGCATTTTCTACTTTAAGTGAAATCAAATAGAAAATACCTGTGTATCTTGCACAAAGTAAGGGCAGGTACTGTTTTTTGAAGATTCTGTTCCAGATAATAATATACACATATGTGAGTCCTGGGTTGCCATTGTAAAATGTATTTCTTTTTTACAATGGGTCCCATTAAATTTTTTTTGAAATAATATAAAAAATACAGCTCCCCAGACCCCACATCAGACCTCCTGGGAGTCTGGAGAGCCCTGGAACCAGCATTTCTGGAAAGGCTCATGCAGGCCCGTGACGGCCCGTCCAGTGAGGACAGGGGCGAGGGTGGGGAGATTGCTCTGTGGGCAAACCAGCTCTGAAACACTGGGGAAGCCACCGAGCCTCCCTGAGCCTCAGTTTCCTCATCGTGTCCACTCTGAGGACCGGCAGTGCATGTGAAAGGCGCTGAGTTAAGCAGGGTCCCCAGCGTGCTTGCCCTCCCCCTCCCACCTCGATGACACGCCGCCCCGTGTCCTGCAGACCAGCAGAACTTCACGGTGACCCTGGACCAGGTGCTGCTCCGCTGCCTGGAGCACCAGCAGCACTGGAGCCGCCTGCAGGAGGCAGCGGCCGGCCCGGACGTCTGGGGCGCCCCCAGCCCGGGGGCCGGGGGGCTGGCCGCCCTGCTGCTGGCACCCCGCCTGCCCCACCCCCACGGCGCCAGCTCCCTCGTCTTCAGCTGCATCTCCCATGCTCTGCAGTGGATCAGCCAGGGCCGGGACCCTGTCCTCCAGACGCCCAGCTCCCCACGGGACCTCCTCACCCACCCCGTGGCCAGCAGCGGGGCCAGCGTGCTCCGAGAGGCCGCCGCCGTCCACGTGCTGGTCACGGGGAGCCTGCACCTGGTGGGCGGCGTGCTGAAGCTGCTGGACCCCTCCCTGTCCCAGTAGCCGCGGCCGTGGCCTTGGAGGCGGGGCCGCCCACACCCGCCCTGCGCCTCTCCATGGACTCCACACCAGGTGCCTTGTTTTCTGCTTTCCTGATTCGTCTAGACTGGCCCAGGGGCCTGGGCTCCGGGCAGGGAAATGGATGGCTGGTGGGCGGGAGGGTGAGATCGGACATCCTGTCTCTGAACCTGGGGTGCTTGGCCTCTCCGTCCTGCCTCCTGATAGCGGGGGGTGTGTGTGTGTGTGTGTGTGTCTCCTGGGGTAGCAGGCCCGGCCGTGCAGCTTAGCTTTCACCAGACTGCGTCCTGGCCAGGCCTAGGGTCCCGCCAGCTGTCGGTCGCTAGTTTCCCTCCTCTCAAGAGTAGCCTTCTGGACAAGGAGAGGGCCCCTGTCTGGGGCCGTGGGGACAGAGGGTGGCTGGATTAAATGAAAAGCTTTGATTTGATTTTTGACCTCTAGCTCCCTCACAGACAATAGGAGGCGGGGGGCTGTGGTGGCCCAGAAAGCAGATTGTGTAGGAGCCTGGCTGTGTGGCCTGGGGCAGGCCCCTCCCCATCTGAGCCTCAGTGGCCTGGTGTTTGTCGACCACTGCTTTGCACCACTCCCCAGAGACCTTGTGACCGAGAATTCTCATTCCCATCTCACAGGCGAGGGAACCGGGGCCGGCTCACAGAAGCCACAGCACCCACCCACAGTCACAGCCAGCAAGTGGCACGTTCAGGATTTGAACCCAGAGCTGCCTCCCCCCATCATTTTAGGGGCCCCTTCCCTTCTCCTGGCCCAGTGCTGGTTTCATGGTCTGATTTATTGGCAATGAGTATATAGGGTGGGCCCAGGTCAGGCAGCCTGGCCACTCCTATCTGCTGCCATCCTGATGGGCGGGGGAGGGGTCTCCATGTGACCGGTGCGGGAAGGAGCTAGGCTCCCCTGCACCCAGGCTGGGCATTCCTCGGCTTCAATGCCCCCGCCCCCCGTCCCCCCAAAGTTGTGCCGGCCCAAAGCTGCGCTGCTGGGATCAGATCCTGGCGGCTTGAGGCTGGTCTCGGAGGCGGCGCTTGTGGCCGGAGGAGGCTGGGCAGAGTCTTTTGAGTTCTCACCTCCTGCCCAGCCCAGGTCATGGCGGGCTGGATCCAGTTCGGGATAACAGGGACATGGGTGTCTACAACAAGGTGGACATATAGGGCAGTGCTCTGTCTCTCTGTGGGCCCGGGCAGCCGACCCCCAGGCCCACTGAGCTTGAAGGGCCTGCAGGGCGGGGTGGAAGGTGCTCTGAGCTGGTGCCCCCACTGGCAGCAGGCCTCCGAGAAAGAGGCAGAGGGCACGGTCCGTCCTTGGTCGAGGAGGAGGGTTGGGATCCCGGGGTGAGTTCATGATCAGTGGTTCCCAGCTGGTGGCCGCTCAGTGTCTCGGGCGGGGCGAGGGCTGGCCGGGCGGCCGCCGGGGCTCCGGGCCGGGCGCTACGCCATGCTGCTGGTGGAGCAGGGGGTGCTCTGGGTGCTCCCGATGCTGTGGTTGGTGCTGCTGCTCTCGGAGGAGGCCGGGGCAGCCACCGCCACCACGGGCTCCCGCTTGCTGGGGGGACCTGGGGGCAGGGGCGGAGGTCAGGGCCCCGGTCAGGGCCCCGGCCAGGGCTCCCCGCTCCCCCAGAGGCGATGCGGGGCTCCCCCGGGGGGGCAGAGGGGTCCTGAGCACTCCTGTGGGGCCTGGGATACTCACGTGTGTGCGAGTAGATGTACCAGAGTGCAGCGGTGAGCAGGGCCCCGATGAGGAAGGCGCCGAAGGTGATGCCCAGCACAGCGGGCAGGACGAGGGTTTTGCCTGTGCGGCCGAGGGAGGGACAGCGGGGTCAGCGCCGCTGCCTCCGGCCCGGCCCCCACCCTGGCTCCCTACCCCTGTGCTGGCCAGGAGCACACCCACTGCCCTGCCTTCTCTAGCAACCTCAGTCTCCTCATCTAGCAAATGGGTTCACACAGCCACGCCTGGCACTTCGGTGTGATCGCTATGACCGTTCACCAAGAGGGCCTCTCCGGGCCTTTGGGCCAGGCCCTGCCTCCCCGGGCTGAGGGCGATGCGTTTTAGGGGGGCTGGCTGGCATAATCGGAGCAAAATGTGGGGCCTGGGCATCCAGGGCCCGTGCCTCCTCACTGAGTAACTGTGGGCCAGGCCCTGCCCCTCTGAGCCCGGTGCCCCGGGAGGGACAGGCAGACCAACTCTGAGGGCTCTCTAAGTTCTGGAGTTTTCCAAGCCTCATTCCTTCCTCACCCCTGGCTCTTCCCTGTGTGATCGGGCCTGACTTCCTAGCCATGACCTGGGATTATTGTCTCCTGGTTGTGAGCCGGGAGCGGGGCTCCATCCTGGCTTGGCCTGGGTGGCGAAGAGGGGGGTCCCCCCACATCTGCCTCCAGGGAGGGGCAGGACTCCTCTGTCTGGGGGGGCCTGGGCCCAGTGGGAACGAGCAGAAGGTGGGGGTGCTGGGCTGAAGGGCATCCTCCGCACTGGGGGCCTTACGGTGAGGCCAGCCCCCCCCCCCAGGTGCTTTCTGTCCCCTGTCCCGGCCAGACCTGAGTCTGCAGGCCCCATCCCCCCAGTGCGGTCAGCTAGCCAGGGGGGGTCCAGAGTCCCGTCCCACAGGGTGGTCATGAGCAGAGGAGTCTCCATCCGGGAGATGTAGCTGTGGATCCGACTCCGAGCAGCTGGAGAGCCCTGTCCTGTGCCCCCCCCTCCCCGAGCCTGGGGCTCTCTCTCCGGTGCTCCCTGCTGTGAGCCTAGGCCCCCATCCCTCTGGGTTGTCTGTTGTGCCCCACTCTGACCTCAGCCAGGAACCCCAGAGAGACCGGGGAGCACTCACCAGGCATGTCAGGGCTGACGATGTTCAGGTGCATGGAGACGGGCCTGCGGACCTCCTGGGAGGGAAGAGAGCGTGTGGGCACAGCCTCTGAGGGCGCCTCCCGTTCACTCCCCGCCCCAGGCCCCAGGCCCTGCCACCCCGGGCCTTGGCTTTGCAGCCCATCCCGCCCTCCAGCTGGGAGCCCTCGAGCAGGCCCGGGAGACTGTGCTATGGAGGGGTGCTGGGGACAATCCTGGCTGCTACTGGAATGTTCCACACACTCAGACCCTGTGTGTGAAGGGCCTGGGAGGACTGTGTGTCCAGGCCAAGTGCCTGAGAGGAGATCCACTGGACGGGGAAGCGCTGTGACTAATAAATACAGAAAGTCAGAAGGTTTTCTCTGTCTGAACCCTCTCCCCCAGGCCTCCTGTTGACTGAGATGACACTGGTGGTCATGCCTCATGGGTGGGTGGGTGGGTGGAGGACTAGGATGATGGAAGGACTATGGTCGGATGACTGGGAGGGATGTGGGTGGACGGATGGATAGACGACGGCTGCAGCTGCATAGCCTACCAAGGTTGGACACACAGAGTAATCAGAGGCTGGGGGGTTGCAGGAGCACCCCTGAGAGCCAGGAGCCACGCCTGGCCGGCTCTGCCCCTCGCCATCTGGTCTCACCCCCCCCCCCCCCCCCGGACTGTCGTGTCCCTTCCTGGAACCCTCACATTAGTCCTGGCCCAGGCCCCACGCACCAGGGATGACGTCTCGAGACGCATGGCCACGGTGCAGCTGAGGGTGCCGGCCGTGGGCGTGGGCACCATGTAGCCGCGGAGGAGGAAGCTGAAGCGCAGGTCGCCGCGGGGGCCGGGGTCCAGCAGGCTCACACAGTTGCCCTTGGCCGCCTGGTTCTGGATGAGCTGCACGGGGTCCACCTCGGGCCTCAGGTCCAGCTGGCAGCTGTCCAGCTTGAGCATGACCTCACGGCTCTGCGGGGCCATGCTCACCTGCGGAGGCGGGCGAGGGGGCAGCGTGAGAGCTCTTCGCTCTCCGCCCTGCCCGCTCTCAGGAGGTGAGCGAGATTCATCCTAGAGTTCCCGCCCCTGAGCCCCGACGGCGGGACAGTGGTGGGCCCGGCGTCTCTGAGCTCTGCCTTTTCTCTCTCTCCCCTCCATCACGCTCCGTCCGGCTCCCTCCTTTCTCTGGAGAGTTGAATTCTCATCTCTGTACTAACAGTGGGACGCGAGGTTCTGGAAACCCCAGGAGCGGGCATTTGGGAGGTCCAGTCCATACCTGCACGAAGCCCTGCTGGCCCAGCTCGATGGCGTCGGAGGCCTGCAGGAACTGCGGGCTGAGGTAGAGGCCCAGCTGCAAGGAGATGCTCTTCGTGTGAATGCACTGCACGGTTTTCTGCGGGAGACGGAGGGGGATGGTCAGCCAGGAGGCGCCCCCAGAGGTGAGGGTAGTGTGGGAGCCGGGGTCATGGTCCAGAGGCGCTGCCTGACCCCCACCCTCATCTTTAAAAAAACACACCAGCCTGGCTGGCTGAGTGGTTGAGCATCAACCTATAAACCAGGAGGTTATGGTTCAATTCCAGGTCAGGGCCCAGGCCCAGGGTGTGGGCTTGATCCCCAGTGTGGGACGTGCAGGAGGCAGCCGATCCATGATTCTCTCATCATTGATGTTTCTATCTCTCCCTCTCCCTTCCTCTCGGAAATCAATACAAATATTTTTAAAACAGAAACCCACACCAAACTAATATTCAGAACTCACTCCGGACCTGGCCTGTGTGAAATGCTCTCCCTGTGCCATCTCAGTGGCTGCTCAGAGCACCCCACAGGGGGTCCTCATGCCACTGCGCACACACGTGACCTTGGGGCCCACAAAGCAGACGTGTTTTGCCCAAGGCCACACAGCCAGTGTCTGCTGGAACCCGCTGACTCGCAAGGCCGAGAACATAACCCTCCGCAGTCCTGCTTCTGCCGGACAGAGTGGGGCTGAGCCCGCGGAAGACATAGGGCGTGCCAGGGTCAGGGTGAGATTCCAGCCTGCTCCCTCCCCGGCCTGGAGGGACCCCGGGCCCGGCCCAGCTGTTCACACGGTGACCGTCCATCTCACCCGCTGCGGTGATGAGCTGGACAGGAGGCCGACGACCACCTGCAGAGACAAAGCCATGGAGCCGTCAGTCCAGAATGACCCCACCCAGGTCACTGGCTTACAGATGCGGGGGGAGGCAGAGCCAACCCTGGCTGTCTGGGCCTCGGCTCCCTACCAAAGTCCCTACCATGCCCCCCGCCCCTCAGATCAAGGAGGCGCCTGAGGGGGGACACCCAGGAGGCTCTTACCTCATTGGTGACCACGTTGTCTGTCACTTTCATGCCGCAGCTGGAGTAGGTGCTGTGCAGGACCAGCTGGTCGCCCCTGTCCTCAGCCTGGCAGCCAGGGTCCAGGAAGGTCAGGCTGCTGATGTCGCACCTCAGAGTCTAGGCGGGGGTGGGGGGGCACGGTCAGGAGGCACCCCGGCACCCAGGACGGATCAGAACCCAGGCCCCAGCCCTCCTCTGCTTCCCGCTCCGTTTGCATTAGATGTTGTCATCCTGCTCCATTTAAGATGACCCCTTTCCCGAATTCGACTCGCTCTCGTACCTAATCTTGTCTAAAGCAATACAGAGTGCGACACCGTGCGCTTGATTTACTATGTGTTGTTTTCCTTCTAATACATATGACTGAATGCAGAGCTATCACGATTTTAAAATTCACGTGAGTGCGACATACAGTCATTGCTCAGGCCCCAGGGCCACGCAGACCCCACCAGCGTGACCCGGTCTCAGAACCGCGGGCGCCTGGGCCTGCCTGTGCGTTGCCTTAAAGGGCCAGATGGTACGCCAGGCTTCGCACACCGCGTGGTCTCTGGTGTCACGGCCCAACTTCGCCTCCAAAGTCTGAAAGCAGCCACAGACCATATGTACACGTGGCTGTGGCTGTGGCTGTGTGCCAATAAAGCTCTATCCATTGAACCAAACCAGCCAGGGCTATTATTTTTTATTTTTATTTTTTTAACAAATGGCACCATATTGTCCTTTATGCTGTGGCTTGGTTTTCTTCCTGAACAATGAATTACATCTCTCTGTGTCTACACATGTAGGTCTAGCACATTCTTTTTAGTGCAGTGTCGTGTCCCCAAGATTGTTGGGTGGCAATGGACTCACCCAAGCACCTTGGGACTGGGTAACAGTAATGCCCGCTACCGCTGGTCACCCCCTCCCCTCCCCCCCGACATCTGCTGGGGATGTGCAGGCGGGAGAGGCAGCAGACAGATGGAGCTTCATATAGGCTGCTATACCCCCCCAAAAAACAAACAAACAAAAAACTCCCACACGGACTCCAGCCCAGAGGACATGGACGCTTTGCCAAAGCTCCGGGCGCAAGGTCTCTGGCCTCGGAACAGCCGGAAGACGCCACGAAAGGGGCGATGAGCTGGCGCGGCCCAGTTTTTTCAAACGTCCAAAACGTTACAAACAACTGCAGCCAACGTTTAAAGAACTGTAACAAACCGGGAGGAATGACCTCGGTAAGAATGAAGGACAAAGGGCCCACGTTTCTTTTTCTTTATGTAAAAATCATCAAGAAAAAAATGCCAAGGCGCAGTGATGAAGAGCCTCGGGTTACTGTCAGTCATGTGGAGCCGTGCCCACGCTCGCTGCTGAGCAAAGCGGAATACCTTACAATAAGCTGGAACTCCGCATTCCACTTCCCATGTTGGCAAAGACTTTTTGAACAAAAATTAGAAGAGAGAGAGAGAGAGAAAGAGGGAGGGAGGGAGGGAGGGAGGGAGGAGGTGGGAAGGAGGCACGGTGCTCTCATAAATCAGCAGTAAACACTGGAGTCATCTTTTGGAAAGTGGGTTGTCAGCATGTACCAAAACTTCCAGAAAGTTCACTCACTTTAACCCAGCAATCTCACTAATGTGGAAATCCAGCCTAAGAAAACAACCCCGTATTTTAAAAAGTCTGCACAGTGACATTTTCTGCGTATTTACAACATTACAGAACTGGACACAAGCTAAATGTCTGACAGGGAGGAAGGGTTAATGATGGCCTGTCGACATGATGGGGATAATATGTGCTCATTAAATGTGATATTAAGTACACATGTCAAAGTTCTAAAAATACGTGAAGAGACTCTACGGAGACAAGTGCATATGATATGATTCCACCATATAAGAAACACACAGAGGCCCTGGCTTGTTTGGCTCAGTGGATAGAGCATCGGTCTGTGGGCTGACTGTAAGGATCCCAGGTTCGATTCCGGTTAAGGGCACATGCCTGGCTTGATCCTCAGCGTGGGGCATACAAGAGGCAACTGATCAATGACTCATCATTGATGTTTCTACCTCTCTCCCCCTCTCCCTTCCTCTCTGAAATCAATATATATATAGAAAGAAACACACAGAGAATACATTCTAGAAAGAACCAAACCAAAATGTTGGTAGCCATTGTCTTCGGATGGAGAGATTGAGATTTCCTTCTTTACTTTTCCCACATTGTCTAAAGCCTGCGTCATATTATATAATCCTATATAATAAAAGGCTAATATGCAAATTGTCCCCTCCACTGGGAGTTTGACCAGGGGGCGGGGCCAGGCCCGGCTCAGCGTGCTTTCAGAATGAGTACTGCCAACGACCTCGCAGCTATGTACTGAGCACTTCCTGTGCACGCAGCCGGCTCGGCGTGCCAGGCTCATTTCATTCTCACCACACGGCGGGAGCCATTTTCGACCCCGTTTTACAAGCGGGAGAACCGAAACTTGGGAAGGAGGTGAGACATCCAGGGCTAGGACCCCAAGATTCTTCGGTCAGAGGAGGGACCAGGTGGGCCCTGTCAGCCAGGCCAGAGGGGCAGGGACCCCCTTACCAAGATAAGGTTTTTCTTGAGCTCCAGAGTCATGGTGTCGTCGGAGCAGTTGGGGTGCAGCAGGGCCATGAGCAGGTTCTCGTTGCAGCTCTCCTTGGGAGGGGTGGTCTGCTCAGGGGTGGGTGAGGTCTGAGGCCTACCTGTGGGCAGCAGAGCGGGCAGGACAGGCACTGAGGGACAGGCACTGAGGTGTCTGCCGGGAGCGGCTCTCGCTGTCCCCGTGTTTGCAGGAGAGGACAATGGGGCTCCCCGGGGCTGATGCGACCTGCTAGGCTCGCTCGGGGAAAGGGGTGCACACCACACCGAGGCTGCTGATCCGGGGAGCGGGCGAGGGAAGGAGCGGGTGCTCACCACAGCTGCTGGCCTGCAGAGAGATGACGCTGGCCAGAGGGACCTCCACGAAGGACGCCACCATGCTGGCATTGAGCCTCCCGGCCTCCCCGAGCAGGCCTTGGGGTGTGTCTGGGAGCACGTGGTTGTGGTCGTTGATGCTCTTGTCTGGAAAGATCTTGAGGGAGTATTTGCCAGTGGCCTGAGGATGGGGAGAGAGGCATGGCAGGGGGTCCGAGTCAGGGGCACGCAGCCTGGCCCGGGCGCCGCAGCCCGGCCAGGGTTCTGCCAGGCCTCTCCTTTGCTCCTGCTGTTTTCCCTGCCAGGGCCCCCTACTGTTTGTCCTTCCGTTCAGCATGGGGTTCGCTTTTCTAGGAGCTTCCCATGAGCCTGCGGGTGGGGTGAAGGCAGTGGTCGGCAAACTCAGCAGTCAACAGAGCCAAATACCAACAGGACAACGATGGACATTTCTTTGGAGAGCCACCCTTTTTAAACTTCAACTTCTAACGCCACCTTCTTCAAAACAGACTCGCCCGGGCCGGGGTGTTTTGTGGAAGAGCCACACTCAAGGGGCCAAAGAGCCGCATGTGGCTCGCGAGCCGCCGTTTGCCGACCACTGGGTACAGGGCCTCCCAAGGAGATGGCGGAAAGCTGCCTGGAGGAGGCGGCACGTAGGTCTGAAGGAAGGCTGGGTAGTGACCAGAGGGCCGGGGGGGTGGGGGCCAGAGGCTCGGGGCCGGGAGCCGTGGAGAGGCCGGCAGGGCCGCCGGGGTCCGGGAGCAAGACTTACCCAGATCTGCATGCTGTGGTTGGCGTCGATGAGCCAGGACACGTAGGGGGGGCCCTGCAGGATGAGCACAGCATCAGGGTCCCCCGAAGTGCAGCTCAGCTTCACCTCCACGGTCACCGTCCGGGGCCTGCGGGACACGGACCACAGCCGCCCGTCAGCCGGCGGGACGGCCGGGATGGGAGGGTCCTGGGGGCAGGCCAAGTGCGTACAGGCCGTTCCCTGGTGGGAGGTGGGTGTGAGGAAAGGAAGTGGAAATGGGCGGGGCTTGGGCTCAGGGGCGGGGCCCAGAGAGAGGCGGGGGCAACTCTACCCTTTTTCTTTTTCTTTTTTTTCTTTTATTGTTTTTTTTTTTTTTTACAGAGAGGAAGGGAGAGAGAGAGAGTGAGAAACATCGATGAGAGAAAATCATCGACCAGCTGCCTCTTGCACGCCCCCGACTGGGGATGTGCCCGCAACCAAGGTACATGCCCTTGACCGGAATCGAACCCGGGACCCTTGAGTCCGCAGGCCGACGCTCTATCCACTGAGCCAAACCGGTTTCGGGGGCAACTCTAGTCTTACCTGGAAGGGAGGGGGCGGAGGGGGGCTGAGGAGGGGAGGGATGCTGGCCGGGCGGGACCTGGGGCGGGGCCGGGCACCCTTACTTGTCTTCAGAGCCGGAGCCCGGCAGGACCCTCAGGATGTGCGCCTGCTTGTGGCCAGCCACACCCTCCAGGCGGCAGCTGCGGACGGAGCCCTCCGTGTGCGGCCACCACTCGAGCCTGCGGCCCATGTCCGCGTTGGGCTGGAGGTTGCAGGAGGACGGTGACCTCGGGGCTGCAGAGACAAGCATCCTCAGTCCCCTCCCGGAGCAGCCGGCCCCTGACACCGAGGCCCACCCTTCCCCACTGTGAAGCTGGGGCAGACAGGATGGGGCATGGGAAGTGGGGGGCATGGGAAGACCGGGGTTCAAATCTCCCCTCCACCGATTACTGCCCAGAGACTCCTGGCAAGTCCCCCCGCCTCTGTTTCCTTATCATCAGCCCAGGACTCACAGGGCTGAGCTCGGCACACGTTAGGGACAAAGCCCCTCACTGCCCATGACCTGAGCCTGTGTCACGTACTTATCGGTGTCGTTATCTCCCCACCAGGGGCTGTGTCTGTTCTCAGAGAGTCTCCAAATGCCCGGCACAGGGCTTGGCACATAGTAGGTGCACACAATAAATAATACGAACATGCTGTTTTTCTGGCTCAAAAAAACGGACCAGTAGCCCTGTCCCACGGCTCCCGCTCAGATTTGCTGAGGAGGCAGTGACGGTCCCAGTAGAGCCGTGGCTTGCTCGATGTGGCCTGGGGCACAGCGTGGCCCGCCGGAGGACCGGGCAGGGGAATCCGGATCCCTCCGGCTAGGCCCAGGGCGGCCGCCGGAGAGGCTGACCTTGGTCCGGGCGGAGGAGGATGCTCTTGGGGTTGTTCAGCACAGCGACCGAGGCGATGGCGCCCTTGGAACCCGCCCAGGCGAGGAGCTCGCCCTTGGAGGCCGGCAGAAATATGGTGTTGACTCCTTGGGGTATTTCGTTGATGACATTCTCGGGGTGCTGGGGAGACACGCGGAGGCTCAGGGTGCTGTTCCTGGGCCTGAGTCCTCTGTCCCAAGCAGGAGGCCGGGAGGTAATTAGGGGCACAGGGAGCAGAGGGACGCACCCAATGGGGGAGGCCTAGCTCCACCCTTCCGGTTGGCTTCCTCCCCTCCCGGATCTGTCAGGCCGGCCCTCTCTGTCCGGCCCTCTCTGTCCATCTCCCTGGCGTCCGCTGCCAGTCTGGGTTCTTCCCCACAGCACCCCCTCCACGCCCCCAACCTCACTCTGCCTCTGGGCCCAGATCCCAATCAGCTTGGATTTGGCTCCTCCTCCTGCCCCTACTCCCTATCTGCCCCCCTCTGCCCCTGGACTTTGGGTGTCTGGCTGTCCCTCCCACATGGGCCTTCCTTTTTCCATTTCCATTTTCCTTTCTGTCTCCTCCTCCCCTCACCCCCGTCATATTTGCGGTCCTCAGTCCTCACACCCCCACCCTGCTTTCTCTGGCCGTAACCAACAGCTGCTCACGCCTGGGGGTCACTTCCTAGGGCCTCTCACGTGAGAGAAGGAGCCCTGAGCCCCCTTGCTGGGAGTCCCTGCAGGTTACCCCTTCTCTTTATTTTTTATTTATTTATTTATTTATTTATTTATTTATTTATTTATTTAATTTTATTGATTTTTCATAGAGAGGGACAGAGAGCCAGAAACATCAATGAGAGAGAATCATCGATCAGCTGCATCCTGCACACCCCACACTAGGGATGTGCCAGCAACCAAGGTACATGCCCTTGACCGGAATCGAACCTGGCACCCTTCAGTCCGCAAGCCGACGCTCTATCCACTGAGCCAAACCAGTTTCGGCTTCCCAGTTTTTAAAAAACAATTTTTGAGAGATGCAAATAAAAAGGGAGATCTGGGGGAGATAAGAGATCAACCGAAGGACTTGTATACATGAATATAAGTACAACTAATGGACACAAAACTCTGGGGAGGGAGGGTATATATGGGGGGGGGGGCCGCAATGGTATATGTACACAGATAATAATTTAATTTAAAAAAATAAAAAATAAAAAATTTCCCCCAGCGTAGGCCACTTGTTCATTAGAGCAAGTCTTGCAGATTCAACCAAGTGCGAAGAGCAAAATAAATGTCCTCACCCTCCCGCTTTCCAGCCATAACGACTCACTACCTTGTCAGGTTTCCTCCTGACCCCTTGTCTCTGTACTTAAACATCTTCAGCCGAAACCGGTTTGGCTCAGTGGATAGAGCATCGGCCTGCAGACTGAAAGGTCCCGGGTTCGATTCCGGTCAAGGGCATGTACCTTGGTTGAGGGCACATCCCCAGTGGGGGGTGTGCAAGAGGCAGCTGATGGATGTTTCTCTCTCATCGACGTTTCTAACTCTCTATCCCTCTCAATTCCTCTCTGTGTAAAATCAATAAAATATATTTAAAAAAATAAAAAAAATAAACATCTTCAAACATACGACTTGGGATTTTTTTTTCAAAGACAGTGACAAGATTATTTGATGAGATGTCACTGAGTCCAGCCCTCCCACCTACCAGATGGGAAAACTGAGGCTCTGTGAGAAGATGGAGCTGCCCAGGGCTGCCCATCCGCCCGAGTCCCATCTCCAGGTTGAAACTCTTCACCTCCAACCCTGCTGCCTTTTGGGTTCTCTCTGTCTGGGCCCCACAGGATTCACCGGGGTGTGGGGCAACTCACATAAGCCAGCTGGAGCGGGATTCCGGGGGCCTGCAGCTGCAGGTAGACTCTCTTGTCTAGGCCGAGGACCAGTAGCACCTCTCGGGCCGGGGTGCCATTCTGCTTGGACATCTGGACGGTCAGGTTCAGCAGGGACGGAGTCTGGTGTGGGCAGGAGAAAGACACACACACACACACACAGGCCAGTCAGGCTGACATAGACCGCGCCCCCCAGAGCGGTAGTGACAACCCCTGTCCCATCGGCCTTCACTCAGCTCTCCCTGCCCGGCCTGTCCGCCCTGCCTGCCAGGGCCCCGCACGGCGCCCGGCCCTTAGGGGCGCTCAGGAAAACACTTGCTGCCTGAATGAAGGGGACTCGTCTCAGCAAACCCAAAGATGTGAAGAAAAAGACGCGCTGAGCCTGACCAAGGTTTGTTCCTGTGGACGCCTGCTGGGCACCAGGCCTGCCAGTGTCCGTGTGACCCAGCGGGCACCCCGGGCCTGTCCTCTGCCCCTAAGCGGCAGTACCCAGACATCAACTCCTCCTCAGTGTGCAATATTCCTGTTGGCCTTGTTATTTTAAAAAAATATTTTTTTGTTGATTTCAGAGAGGAAGGGAGAGGGAGAGAAAGATAGAAACATCATCGATGAGAGAGAATCCTTGATCGGCTGCCTCTTGAACACCCCCTATCGGGGATGGGCATGGAGCCTGCAGCGCGGACATGTGGCCCGACCAGGAATCAAACCGTGATCTCCTGGTTCCTAGGACGATGCTTATCCATTGAGCAACCCCAGCCAGGCTGACCTTCTTATATTAAAGTACTAACATGCTCCTCTTTTTGTCAATATACTACCACGGTCTTGACATTTTTAAGAATGCGAAGTTGTGATTATTTATATCTTGAGAGATGGGTACTGCATTAAAATTTTTCATTGATCATGGTGTATGTATTTAGAATGCTTCCAGAACAACAGCAAATAACAACAACAGATAATAATAATATTAACAACAACAACAACATATATAGTGCTTACTATGTGCCAGGACTGTTCTAAGTACTTTATCTAATGACTCCCAAGAGGTAAGTACCATTATTAGTCTCACAGATGAGGAAACAAGGCACAGAGAGGTGAAGTCATTTGCCTACGAACACACAGCAAATAAGTACGGAGCTTAGGATGTGGTCCCAGGCAGGCCTCTCCTCTCGACCACTGCCCCGCCAGCCACATTTTCCCAGGCCTTTTTATTCCCAAGGAGAAAAGAGAACGCGGCGATCCACAGAGGCAAAGCTTCTACTGAAGGGCCATCTGCTCTACCGGGAGGCTTCCTGGACCAGTTTACCGAAACCCTGACTCCAGCTGCTCTCAAAAGACACAGCCGGACCCCAAACATCTCCTCGAGCTTATCAAACATGAGGGAGAGGTTGCAAGACGGAGAGATCCGTGGAAAATTTTGTGTTTAATCTCTCATTATCTCCTGGCCATTTCCCCAAATGATGTCACAGAGCTGGACAGAATGTTTCAGCCGCTGGAAAATTTGCCGGGAAAAGTTTCCGCTCCTCAGGAATGACACCCTCGTCGCTCTTTGTTTGTGCCTTAAAACAAAAGAGCAAATGCCGTTCCATTTCCAATGTTTCACAAGTCACTTTTTTCTTTTTTTTTTTTTTTCATTTCAGGGAGCTATTCAGGGAGCTTGTTTTTGAAGGATTCTTTTTATGCTAATTTATAGCAGAACGACTGACATTTCTGTGTAAGTTCACAATTTTTGTTCGTTGATGTTGTCGGTGGGTTTATAACTTTTGATGTTTGAAATCTCATGTTTCATCAGTTTTCAAAAATGCGATGCGTTCTAAACTTCGGAAATGAAGTACTGGCTTTAATATCCTATTTTGGTCAAATGTGAGATACAAATATGAGAATGAGAACTGCCATTTGGTCCCAGGATTGGGTCGCCGCTCGAAGTGAGTGGGAGAGGAGGAGAGCCACCTCGGCGAGGGAGCGAGGCCGGCACAGCCGAGCTGCCCGGACCCGGGCGATGGGACCCAGCTTCTTACCGTGACTGCGGGCACCGTCAGCTACAACAACGGGACGTGCTCGCACAGCTCCGCACGTGCGCTGCCCACTATGCAGCGGTGCCTCTCAAACAGACCGATTGTATCTCAGTAAAGCTGTTCACATACACAACGCGGGTCAGCCTCACCCCTGGCTGGCCCTGCGCTGAGCATGAGGCACGCCTCTCACCGAAGCGGGGTTGGGTGTTCTCCCATTTTACAGATGCAGCCAGTGAGGCTCAGGGAGCTGCCGGAGGGAGAGGGGCCAAGTCAGGCAGCCAGGGCAAGTCAGCCTGGTGCCAGACCTCTGGGCAGCTCGCCTTGTCTTCTCTCCCCCAAATCTGCCCCAAACCACCCAGTGGAGTGAGCACTGAGACACGGCAAACTGACGAACCCCATTGTCCGGAGGTCCGTGCTTTGGCCCTCGGTGAACACCCACAGGCAGAGAGCACTGCAGGGGACAGAGCAGCTGGGAGTGTAGCCCCTGGACTGGGAGGAAAACATTCTTGCTGCTGTTCTGCAAATGCCCCTGTTCCCCCGTGCCTCAGTTTCCCCATCTGTGAAACAGGGATAGGACGAGGTTAGGAACCAACATCAGGTGGGGCTCTGGATAAAGGAAATAAAAAAAGAGAAGCAGAGTCCAACTGGTGTGGCCCAGTGGATTGAGCATCGCTCCATGGACCAAGAGGTCCCAGGTTTGATTCCCGGTCAGGGCACGTGCCCGGGTTGTGGGCTCCATCCTCAGTAGGGGGCGTGTAGGAGGCAGCAGAGTGATGTTTCTCTCTCTCATGGGTACTTCTCTCTCTCTCTTCCTCTCTAAAAATAAATAAATACATATATTTTTAAAAAGAGAGAAGTGGAGGTCAGGGTCGGGTCATGCTGAGGACGAGGGGAGAGAAGAGTGGGACCTTTGCCACCGCACTCAGCTCTTCTCCCAGAGCTCACTCCGCTGTCACCAAGCCCCTCCCTGTGTCTCTGGGAGCTGGGGGGGGGGAGGGAGGGTCTGAGCCAGATCATTCTGGGCCAGGGCCCCACAGCCGGCGAGCGGAGTGGACTGCGGGGAGGCTGGAAGCGGGGCTGTCCCCCTCTGAGCTCCCAGCCCGGGTGAGACCGGCCTGTTACGAGAAAAGCCCAGCCTGGGTTTCCACAGCAAACACTTCCAGCCCATGGCCCTGACTCATCCACCGGCCACTCACACGCACTCCGACTTCCCCCTTCCTCCCCGCCGGCAGCCCGACGGCAAAGAGAGGGGCCCGCCTGCCCCCCACCCTCACGCTCCCAGTCCCCCCCAGGCATCCTGGGCATCCTGAGAGCCAGCCCCGGCGGGGTGGCAGCCGTCCCTCCCCCACGGCCAGCCTGGGTCTGCCCCGGCCTCTTCCCTGAATGGGTGGGCGGGAGACCACGTTTCTATTTCTGTGCCCGTGTCCCACAGAGGCCATTGTTGGCGGGAAGGGGGATTTCGGTGAGGAGGCCCTGAGCGCTAGTAGCCACTTATAGAAAGCTGCTTCCAGCAATTCTTCTAGGAGCGGAGCCTCGGGGCTGCCTGCGGCTCCCACCCTCCTCGGGTCAGACTGGAGCCGGGCGGAGCGGAGCCAGACGTCCCTCCGTCCAGCCCGGCAGACTCAGATGGCACAGACAGGCGGGCTGGCAGGGGCAGGGTCACAGCCGGGCTGACCTGAATTCAAACCGGTGGCCCTGGGCAGTTAGGTCTCTCTGGGCCTCGGTTTCCTGATCTGGAAAACGGGCTGAACACTATGCCCACTGCATAGACCTTTGAGGATTCCGTGAGGCTCTGCCTGCACAGTGAGCCGTCCGGTGCCCACCTACACGGAGCAGCAGACGCCCCTCCCCTCCCGCCCGTTCACCCAGATCTGCCATGGTTTGTGCCTGCGGAGGTCAGCGCAGCGGTGGGCAGCAGGGACTGGGACTGGGACATGCCTCAGTCACACCTCACTGTGGCACCCCCCTCTGAGCCTCGGCCTCCCCATCTGTGCAGGGAGGAGTGGGATCAGTGTGGCCCCTGATTCCATCCTGCCTCCTAGGGGTTTGACATCGGGGACCGTGATCTCCAGCCAAGTGGCCACAGGAGTGGCTTCCGGAACCCCCAGGGGAGAGATGCCACCTTCCCCAGCTGAGGGCCCTGGTCAGCCTGCGCCCCCACCCCCACTTCATTTGGCCAAACTGGGCCCAGCTAGGCTCCTGTGCTCTCAGTGGGGACAGAAAGGAGGCACAGCTCTGTCGTCAGACCTTGGCAGAGGACAAGAGGAACACTCCCAAACCACCGGTAATGAAGGACAAGCGACACCACTAACGCCTTGGGAATGGCCAGCAGCAAATGTTTATATGTGTGTGTCCTTCCCCTCCTTTCTCCCATTATCCACTCACCCATCCGTCCATCCACCATCCACCATCTGTCTCTCCGTCCATCCATCCATCCAGCCACCATCCATCCACCATCCATCCATCCATCTGTCCGTCCATCCATCCACTATCCATCCATCCATCCGTCCATCCACCATCCGTCCGTCCGTCTGTCCATCCATCCACCATCCATCTGTCCGTCTATCCGTCCATCCATCCATCCACCCACCATCCATCCACCATCCATCCATCCATCTGTCCGTCCATCCGTCCATCCATCCATCCACCCACCATCCATCCACTATCCATCCATCCATCCATCCATCCACCATCCGTCTGTCCATCCGTCCATCCATTCATCCATCCACCATCCATCCATCCGTTTGTCCGTCCACCCATCCACCATCCATCCGTCCGTCCGTCCATCCATCCACCCATCTGTCTGTCCATCCATCCATCCATCTACCATCCATCCGTCCATCCGCCCGTCCGTCCGTCCATCCATCCGTCTGTCCGTCCATCCACCTATCCGTCCATCCGTCCATCTATCCATCCAATATTTATTCCCAGATGACCCTGACCCGGACACTGGGGATACAGCAGTGAGAGCAGACGCCACCCCTGCCTAGCCTGTCCGACCCCCAAACCAGGCCCCTCCACCAAGCCTGCCCCTCACACCTGCAAGGCCTGGGGCAAGAGCACAAATGGCAGCCGTGGCTCCCAGGCCACCCCCTTCTCTCCACGTGTTCGTATGTGAAGATGCCCACGCTCTGCCATTGCCACCCCCTGCAGTGGCCACCTTGATGGCCATCAGGCTGAGGGGAGCTTAGCCAGCCCCACGGTGTCCCCTTGGAGGACGGGACGAGAAAGCCTGTGCCGCTGGGGGCGTAGGCTCGGTGCATTGAACAGGGGTCTCTGGATGCTAGGTTCCCCCGCTGGGAGAGGCCAGAGAGGATCTAATTGGGGGGCCCGGGCGGGTCCCCCTTTGCTCAGGTCGGAGGACACAACCTCCCAGGACGTTCTGGGGGAGCCTGGGGCCCCCCCTACTCTCCCTGTCTGAGTAGCCCAGCTGCCCCTCAGGCCAGGAGTAGTAAGTCAGTGCAAGAGCCCAGCGGGTTCCATCGGCTCGTGGGGGGCGTGCTCTGCTCCCCGAGTTTGCCCAGAAGTGGGGTGAATCACTGGCTGTCCCGGCCGCCGGGCCAGGGATTTGCTGGGAGGACAGCGGGTCAGTCCAGCCAGCCTGACGGGAACCTCTGAGACACCAGGCTGGTTTCCTGTCTCCGCGGGTCAGGATGTGACCCGGGGCCCCCTCCCGGAATCCCGGCTCCGGCCTGCCCTTCGGGGACCCAGGGAGACGGAGCCCCAGCCCAGCGGCCCCCTCGTCTGTCTGTAATCCTCCCCAACGCACACACTCCCTCTCTCTCTCTGGACCTCTCTTCCCTGAGGCTCTTGGCTGCCAAGTTCTTGTGCCGCCCACGCACAGGAAATCTGAGGATCCAGGCCACGCGGGGATGGACGGGAAAGCGGGGCCTGTGCCAGCGCCCGAGGAACGTGCCCGCAGGTCGGGGGAGACTGGCCTGGGGGCTGGGATGGCCGCCACCCTGCGACCGCTGCCAGCCCGTGCCTCTTGCCTCTAAGCCTTTGCCTGGAACGCCCTTGACCTCCCTCTCTGGCTATGGGGAGCTGCTTCCCTGAAGTCCCCTTCCCTCCATGTTCGGTGCCTGTCCTCCCGGGTCCACAGCCCCCTCTGCCCGGGTCCCCCATCGTCGATTCCATCACTGAGTCCATGTTGACACCCACCTTGGCCTAGAAGTGGCCCAAGGGCAGTGCCCACGTCCGCTTTCTCTCGGCACCATAAGTGCCCAACTCAGGCTGGGCACAGAGCAGGCACCTGGCAAGGACTGGTTGGGGGGGAGGGAGAGGAGGGAGCCGGGGACTTCGTCCTTGGGTGCTGCCTGGGGAGGAGGGCTGCTCAGGGAGCCGCAGGCCCCTCGGTGTCACAGCAGGAGGATCTGGGAGATGGGCTGCTGGGCTAGGCCCCCGGGGCAGGGGGGCCGGGAGCCTCAGCGGGTGGAGGGGCTCCAGCAGGCGGGACCTCAGGTCCCCCTCTGAAAGCAGACGCTCAGCCCCGGCCTCCGCCACCTGATGGCAAGGACTCCGGGATCCAGCTAATTTCTGATGTGCTCTGAGGCTGCTCTGTAGCGGGCCGGGCACCGGGGGGAGCCGCCGGTGAGACCGGAGCCCCCAGAGCAGCCGGTATAAAGACAAGCCGGCCCCTGGATGGCGGGCAGTCGCTCTGGGCTCCATGTGTGGCCTGCGCTGCCCCATGGATTCCCACAGGCCCCTGGGAGGGCGGACTGGGGTCTCCAGGTCTCACCGTGGAAAACCAAGGCTCGGAGAGGCAGTCCACAGCTGCGCTGTCATACACGGAGGAGCCCAAGTTCCACTGGAAGGCGAGCTGGCTCCAGAGCCCATGTTCCTAAGCCCTTCGCCAAGGCCACCAAGGCCACATAGCATGCATGTCTGTCCCCATTCCTTCCCTCACTCAGACCTTCAACAGCTGTTGGGCACATGCCAGGCCCGGGCCCAGATCCCCATACTCCCATACTCTGTGGTGAGTCCCTGAGCACAGGAAATGTGTGTCTATTGGAGAGTGGGGAGAAGTATATGAGGTGCTGGCCAGTGAGGTACTGTCGATCCAGGACTGGAGCCCCGGACCCTCCAATCCCAGCGCCCCCTCCCCCCCACCCCTCCAACGCACATGCCCACAGTCCTAGAGCCTGCAGCCCGCCCCGGAACCAAACGCCAGACGCCCATGGACTGCGTTCTCTGGGAGGGCCGAGGTGGCAGGGAGGGTCTGCTGTCCTGAGCTCTCAGATGGTAAGTCACAGGGCACCTGCCATGCCCCGGCACGCCCTGCAGGGATGTCACTGCCCTCAGGAGAAAGACCAAACTCCCAACTATGACGACGGGCCTGTCCCGTCTCCCCAGCCCTGCCCCGAGGCCAACTCTATGACACGGCCGCAGCCAACCACGCACTGAGCACAGCCTCGGCCACCTCCCTGCCTGTGCATCCCCTTTACCCTCTGCTCTTCCCTCCGCCGCCTTCGCTCACGAGCTTACTGTGGTTGCTTCCTCCAGGAAGCCCTCCCAAACCCCTCAGCAGCGGGGCACCCCTGCCCTGTGCTGACCAAGGAGGTGTCCATCGCCCGGGCCCTGGCTGGCTGTCCACACACCTGCCGCCCACAGCCCTGGGTGCTTGGCAGGTGGCTTCTCGCTGACTCTGGCTCACTGTGGATTGATTGGGGGTGGGAGCGGGGGAGATTGCCCTCTGGGTGACGGGGAGGCCCGCAGACCCAACAGCAGAACAAGCAGAGGGCGATCTCGTTTCCCACAGCAACACCAACTTGAAAAAAAAATTACAATGGCCATGCAAACCACACGCCGTGCGCTGGCACTATCTGCAGTTTGGGGTTATCGAGCCCCACAGTCCTCGGGGCAGGCAGGGCGGTGGGGGGCAGGCCCCCCCGATATTGGTGGTCTGGGAACCGTCTTATCGCCGCACAAACGCAGGGCACCCTAACAGTTTCGGGGGCCAGTTGGCCACAAGCTCACTCTGAGTGACACCACTGAGTCGCTATCAGGCCCCGAGGCCACACGGGCCAGGTGTGGTCACCAGCCCGGGCGCCCGGACACGGAGTCCCCTGGGGGCCAGGGGACGGCCTGGCTGGGGGTCCCTGGGGATCTAGTGTGAACTCTGGCCGTGGACACGTGGCTTCGCCTCTCTAGGCCTGCCTCAGTTTCCTCCTCTGGAAAATGGGGTTCATAACAGACCCTGCCAGATGGGCACAGGGGAGATTTACTAGATGTCAGGGTTTTAAACTCACTTCCTGTACACAGAACCTAGCACAGTGAACACTCAGTAGGTGTGCTAGTAGGCGGGACTTCGAAGAACTCGGGGGTGGGCCACAGGGGGGTTCTGGGGGCAGGGGCATCGCTGGCTTCCAGTCTGCGGCGAGGGGCTGCTGGCCAGGCCCAGGTGTTCGGAGGAGGACTCTCCAGGGGGGAATCGTAGGCCCACGGAGGGGTGTGTCTGCTGAGGAGCTCCCGGCACTGGGGACGCAGGAGCCACAACTCCCCTGGCCCCCCCGCCCCCCCGGCTCTTCTCCACCCGACCGCGGCCAGCCCAGCCCTCCTGCCCGGGCCTCTGGGGACGGCCAGAGGCCTGCCCAACGCTGGCCCTGTGAGATGGTCAGGCCTCCCTCCTGGGGAGGACTCGGCCCGTTGACCCAGGGACTCCCGCCACGGGCCCGGGCCGACCTCTGAGTCCCTCCCCGACCCCGCATCCGGCACTCACTCTGGGGAACTCCAAGAGGAGGACGTGAACTTCGACGGTGGCGTTGGGCACCTGCGCCACGCAGCCCGAAGGAACCTGGCTGGTGACGTACGTCACCTCGTTGTCCACAGGCTGGAGATTGCAGCGGACTGCTCCCGCGAGACCTGTTTGGGAGGCACGGGGGAGAGGGGCCCCGTGAGAACGGGTGGTGACGCCGCCGCCCGCTTTCTGAACGCCCACTGGGTGCTTGGCGTTGGCTACAGGCTTTTCTGCATCCTCACAGCTACCCTGCGAGGTGGTATTATACCCATCCCGCAGATGAAGAAGCCGAGGCTCAGCAAGGACACGTCTCTTGCCGAAGGAAGCCACAGTGCTCCTAGGTGTCAGGTGGATAGATACAATGCAGGGCACCCCGTTCTATGTAAGAAAAAATACAAATAAGTTTTAAAGTATGAGTGTAGCCCAGATATTGCCTGGGATATACTTATCCCAAAATTTTCCATTGTTTATCTGAAACTCAAATGTCTCGGGGCACCCTGTATTTTATTTGCTACCCCTGGCGACTCTAATTGTGTGTGAGGTGGGCAGGCTGGGGGTGGGGGGGAGGCCATGGGTTCGCACACCCCAGCCTGCAGTCCTGTTCCCGCCGAAGGAAGGTGAGAGCTGAGGTCGGAACACAGAACTCCCCCTCCTGTGCCTCGAGGGGGCCGGGGGCAACGGCCAAGGAGGGCTGAGCGCCTGGTCCCCAGGGAGAGGGGAGGCAGAAGGCGGCCAGGCTGCAGGCGGTGGGTAGGCCGGGCGGTGGGCAGGGGGGCGGTGGGCAGGGCGGGCGGTGGGCAGGGTAGGCGGGAGCCTGCCACGGGGCTGCCCGGAAGCCGGGTCCTGAGGGAAGGGAATGGAATTTCACCAGGACCCGCAGAGGAGGAAGAGGAAATGAGGCCCCTACACCTCGTCCTGAGGAATGTGCCGGGGGGGGGGGGGGGGGGGGGGGGGAAGGGAGGCTCCGGGGGAGGGAAGAAGGACAGAGGAAGGGAGACTGTTGGGAAGTTTGTGTCTCCATCTTGTCGCGCTCACTTCCTGTTTTCTTGGAGATCAAAGTTGGGCGAGGAGGTACTGGTCGCACGTCCAGCCGTCCAGCCGACGCCAGCTCAGAGCGGGGAGCGGGGAGCGGGGAGCGGGAGGCTTCTTCTGAATCAGCGCTCAGCCTGCCCGCCCCCCCCCCCCTTTCCGCCGCCCGCCGAGGGCTCAGAGAGGACACCGGGACCTCCAGAGGTCAGAGGACATCAGGACCGTCCAGCAGAGGTCAGAGAGGACACCAGAGGTCAGAGAGGACACTGGGACCACCAGAGGTCAGAGGACATTGGGACCACCAGAGGTCAGAGGTTATCGGGACCACCAGAGGTCAGAGAGGACATGGGATCACCAGCCCTGTGGCAGGCTAGGCGCATCAGGTGGCCGCCATCTCCCAGCAGCAGCTGGGGGGGGGACGTCTGGCCACCATGGGCCCTGCCTGGACCTGTCCTGTGCCAGGGACTCCAGGCAGCCTGTGTAATGCGGCCTTTTGGTTAAAAACAAGGTCCCGCCGAAACAGGTTTGGCTCAGTGGATAGAGCGTCGGCCTGCGGACTGAAAGGTCCCGGGTTCGATTCTGGTTAAGGGCATGTACCTTGGTTGCAGGCACATCCCCAGTAGGGGGTGTGCAGGAGGCAGCTGGTCAATGTTTCTAACTCTTTATCCCTCTCCCTTCCTCTCTATAAAAAATAAATAAAATTAAAAAACAACAACAACAAAAAAAAACAAGGTCCCTGCAGCCAGGCTGCCCTGGGTGCGAATCTCAGGCCCAACAGCCACGTGGCTTTGGTGAATGAGTTCACCACTTGGGGCTTCGGTTTCCTTGCCTGTGGAAGGACAGTGAGAGGCCGGCGAGGATTCCACGAGGAAGAGCACCCACTGGCTCTTTTATCACAGCTGCCTGGTGGGCTTCACCCAGGAGAATGGACTCTTGGTGGGGGAGGAGGGGCGACCTGCAGGCGAGGGACCCTGCGAGGTCTGATGGGGGAGTCAGGCCAGCCAACTCCCTCATCTCAGGACTCAACCGTGGCACCACCCTCTGTGACCCACCAACCACTCGGAGCTCCCCTCCCTCTCCCTTTCCTAATCACTGAACACACTTCTTGGCTGTTCCTAGTCCAGGCCCCTCCTCTGAGATGGGGAGACCGAGGCCCGAGAGGCTAACAGTGCGGGAGCCGCACGCACGTGGCGGTCCAGGCTGGACCTCGGACCCACCTCCCCCGCATGACCGGGGTCTGGTCTGCAGATTAGCACAGCGCCTTCCTCCTTCCCTTCGGACTTTCCCTGCCCCCTCCCCAGACTTCCAGGAACCCCAGTTCCTCCCAGATTGCCCATTGCGAATTGCTGGGGCCGCCCGCCCCACCTCCTCCATGCCGTCAGCACGCAGGGCCATTATGTAATGATCAGATAACGGGCCAGCCTGGGAGATCAGATAAGAGGCCCATTTATTTTGGGGCCTTTTCGAATCCCGGCCGCCCCCACCCCGCAGACGAGAATGGGGAGACAGGAGGGAGTGTGACGCCCAGGCCTGTCTCCTGGAGCCGGAGGCGGGTCCAGACGGAGCTGAAAACAATCCCCTGGCACCAAGGGAAACTGCTGGGCCTCCCGGGACCTGCGCAGGAGGAGGCGCCACTGGGGGCCTGGGTGACCGCCTGCCGAGTGAGAAACTGGGGAGCCACCTTCCCACCTCTGCCCCCTTCCTCCTCCTCCCTGACCAAGAGCCACGAGGATCTGTGGTCCCTGACCCACGGGCTTTCCCAAATGCCACCCCCGGGACCTCGGGAGGCCACAGATGATAATGCATCTGGAGAAAAAGCACCTCCGGAGTCAGATGTCCTGGATCAAATCCCAGTTCTGCCTCTGAACAAGCTGGTCACCTCAAGCAAATGCCTGACGTCGCCGAGCCTCAGTTTCCCCGTTTGCAAAACAGCTCCCATCAAGCTCCCTTGGCCATGCACCCATGAGCTCATTCATTTGATCCTCGGAGCAGCCCACGAAGCGGGTACTGTCATGATACCCATCTGACACCCGAGGAAACAGGTTCAGGGAGGTGCAAGAATGAGCCCCAGCTTACCCAGCGACTCAGTGGTAGGGCCTGTATTCGAACCCGGACAGCACGGCTCCAGCACCCCAGCACCCACTTGTAGGCTGTGTGTCCACAAGGTGAGGGGCCCCTGGGAAGGGCCTGTGCCCAGCAAGTGGCCTGTGGCTACTGAATCACCAGGGCGGACCCTTCACGGCAGGTCTTCCCTGCCTTTTCCTTCTTCAGCCACCCAGACACCCTTCGCTCCTGTCAGGGCCCCATGGTACCCGCACGCATTCCCCAGCTCCTGGTCCGACCCCACCCCTGGGCCTGGCCGCTAGCGAGGCCTCCCCACTCCCTTCTCCCGTCCTTCTCAGAACTCCCCAATGAGCCAGGACCATTCCACAACCTAAAGCGGTGTTAAAAGGCACAGGGATCTGGCCTGGCTGGGGTGGCTCAGTGGTTGAGTGTTGACCTATGAATCAGGAGGTCACAGTTCAATTCCAGGTCGGGGCACATGCCCCGGGGATGAGGGTTTGATCCCCAGTGGGGAGTGTGCAGGAGGCAGCCGATCGATGATTCTCTCTCATCGTTGGTGTTTCTATCTCTCTCCCTCTTCCTTCCTCTCTGAAATCAATATATATATATATTTATTGTCTATAAAAGGGGGGTGGCCATCGTAATACTGTTCTCATGGGGTTGGTGAGAATGCTGGTTAAGAGGATGTGTGCACAGTGCTAAGCAGGCACTGGCAGTTGGGGTCACAATTCCTTAAGCCCAGTCAGTGGGTAGATGTGAGCTTTGCCTTCAAACAGACTTTGTTCATTGCCTTTGTCATGTCCTTTCCCAAACCAATGGCCTTCTTTTATTTGACCACTTAGTCAACTTCTTCTTCTTTTTTTTTTTTTTTAAAGGGCTTTTGCAGCTGTGATTAAGTTAAGAATCTTTTTTAAAAATATATATATTTTACTGATTTTTTTACAGAGAGGAAGGGAGAGGGATAGAGAGCTAGAAACATCAATGAGAGAGAAACATCGACCAGCTGCCTCCTGCACACCTCCTACTGGGGATGTGCCCACAACCAAGGTACATGCCCATGACTGGAATCGAATCTGGGACCTTTCAGTCCGCAGACCGACGCTCTATCCACTGAGCCAAACCGGTTTCAGCCACTTAGTCAACTTCTTCTCATCCTTCAAAACCCTGTTGTGAACACTCCCTCACCAGAACTGCTCCAGCTGTGTTCTTGGTGGGAGGGCCACTGTAGGCACAGGAAAGGGACCCGATGCCCAGGATGAGAAGACCTGGCAACAGAGAGCTAGCTCCTCCCAGCTTCCCAGAGGCAGCGTGGGCAGCAGGTAGGCCCAGGGCTGTAGCCCCAGCTGCTCACTTCTGGGCTGTGTTTGCTTGAGCAAATACTTCCACTGGCCTGTGTCCCGGTCTCCTCCGCTGTAAAATGGGGAGACAGGAGTGCCTGCTTCGTTGGGCTTTTGTGACCTTGACAAGGTCTGACCACACGGATGACAGAGCAGCAGCTGGCATACAGGGAGCACTGAATCCATGCAGGCTCTTCTGTTTGTCCCTTCCCCGCATCCCATCCCAGGCACTGACGTCAGCTCAGGCCTGGATGAGGTCCTCTCCAGCTTGCAGGATGGATGCCCAGCGCTGGGGCTGGAGCTTGGAGGAGAGGGCCCAGAGCCAGAGCAATCCGCTTTCCAGGCCCCCACACCAGGCTCCCACAGGTGCAGAGAAAAACAAAACAAAACAAAAAGATGCAGAGAAAGGAAGTTCTGGGGTTGAAATCTGGACCTGTCACCATAAGCCAGTTTGGCTTTGCGAACAGAGCTTCTGACCCCGGTTTGGTTCCAGTCAAGGGCACCTGGGTTGTGGGCTTGATCCCCAGTAGAGGGTGTGCAGGAGGCAGCCGACCAATGATTCTCTCTCATCATTGATGTTTCTATCTCTCTCTCTCTCCCTCTCCCTTCCTCCCTGAAATCAATAAAAATATATTAGAACCAAGAAAAAGAAATCTGGACCTGTCACTTGTCCTGAGCTCCAATGTCCTCATCTGTAGACTGGATCTGGAGACAAAGCTGCCTGATGCCCTGTAGACATAGAAATGGTTCCCTCCCGGGTATGTATGGGGGGGGGGGGCAATGTTAAAATATGTATACAGATAATAATTTAATTAAAAAATGTAAATAAAGAAAAAAAAGAAAAAAAAGAAATTGTTCCCTCCCCCTCGCCCAGATTGCCCCTCAGGCACCTGAGCAAATAGTCCAGGCCTGTCCTCAGAGGGCCCAGCACTGACCCAGCTGTGAGCTTGAGAGATGGGTCTCTCATTCCCTCTGGGTCTTAGTGTTACCATCTGGCTGAGGTGAGAGAGTCTTTTTTTTTTAATATATATATTTTATTGATTTTTCACAGAGAGGAAGGGAGAGGGATAGTTAGAAACATCGATGAGAGAGAATCATCGACCAGTTGCCTCCCACACACCCCCGACTGGGGATGTGCCCACAACCAAGGTACATGCCCTTGACCGGAATCGAACCTGGGACCTCTCAGTCCGCAGGCTGACCCTCTGTCCACTGAGCCAGTTTCGGCGAGAGAGTCTTAATGGCCTGTCCCCACTGGCTCCAGGACCTGACTTCTCCTGCCTCACGGCTCCTGTTCCAACCTCCTTCCCTCCTAGCAAGAGGAAAATTGCCTACCCTGGCCAGAGTTGCTCCGTTGGCTGGAGCATCGTCTTGTGCACCAAAGGGTCACAGGTTCGATTCCCACTCAGGGCACACACCCAGGTTGCAGGTTCGATCCCTATCCACACCTGTACAGGAGGCAACCAATCAATGTTTCTCTCTCACATCGATGTTGTTTTTCTCCCTCTCTCCTTCCCTCCCTAAAACCAAACTTCTCAGGCGAGGATTAAATAATAATAATATAAAGAAAGAAACAAAAAGGGGAGCTGCCACAGAATGCAGCCTCTAAGACATGGATATTTGTGGCCTCGGTCTTGAGTCACTAGCCCCCTCTCCAGAGAATCCCAGACCCCCACACGGGGCCTCCAACTCCAGCCTCTGTCCTGTCCCCCAGTGAACACTCATCCACACTTAGAAAACATGCTTTGATCCCGGTCACCCTACACGGGCCACCAATCCCAGCACCCTCACTTCTGGGACTCTATCCAAGTGAAATATTACAAAATACAGGAAAAGGTGCATGTACCAAAAATGTGCACGGAGGTGGTATTTATAATTAGCCCCAAAGGGGAAATCACCTAGATATTCAACAATAGGGAATTTATTAGGTCAACGATGGAAAGCACATTTAAAGGAGAGAATATTCCAGAACACAACAGGATGGTGATGGCATCCACATGACAACATAGAAACATCTGGGTCATAGGAAGGGTACACGAGGCACCTTCATGTTAATCCATTTGCATGAAAATTACCTTTAAAAAAACCAGAGGAAAACTAGTAAGCGACCCACCGGCATGCTAACATTTATCTATTTCCTTTGAGAAGCAAATGGAAGTGAATATATAGTTAAGTTGCTTTTTAAAATCTCTACATGTTTGTTCTTTAAAAAAAAAAATTCCATCCAGCCCTAGTCGTTTTGGCTCAGTGGACAGAGTATCGGCCCACAGACTAAAGGGTCCTGAGTTCCATTCCATCAACATTATGGAATCCTGGGTTGCAGGATTGCAGGCTTGGGCCTCAGCCGCTCAGGGCATGTGCAGGAGGCAACCAATTGATGTGTTTCTCTCTCCGTCTCTCCCCCTCCCTCCCTCCCTCCCTCCCATCTCTCTAAAATTCAGTGGAAAAATATCCTCGGATGAGGATTAACAAGCAAAACGAAACAAAAAATTCCAACATTAACAGAAACACGTGTCTTAGGAAGGTGAAAACCCTAGCAAATCTCACAGGGACCTCACGGTTCTCTATGCCTATGGTGCGTTAGTGCGGCCTTCTTCTTACGGAAACAAATCATTGCTGTTTGGGCACCTGACAGTCCGTCCCCAGACACCTGTCCACAGCAGTGGAGACACGGATCTAGCTTCTTCTTGACGACGGCTGCCTGCTGTCCCACTGCGTGACAATTCAGTTAATGCAGCCCAGGCTGATGGACATGTGGGCGGACTCCAGTTTTGGTTAAGCTGCCAGGGCACTGGGCATCTTTCTAGAGCCGGGCAGGCACCTCTCTAGGCCTGAGCTCTGAAGGGTGGGTTATTACAAGTTAATCCTGCCCAGCTGTGTCCCCAGAAGGCTGGACCTGGTTTGGACCCATTTGCACCCGCTCCGGCCTGAATGGGAATGCTTGGGGTCACTCTCCATGCCTTGGCCAGACCCCCATCTGCCCTCCCTGGGCCTCAGGTTCGCAGACCATGAGTTGGGCTGGATGGTTTGAAACGCCCTGGGACCCTGGGACCACTAGGTGCCAGCACCTGCTCGTAAGAACAGAAGGGTAAATGATCAAGAGATTTTCCAACGGGCTGTCAAACATTATTAAAATTAAAACTTTATAAGCTTACAATAAAATGCATTGTGTTGTTTAAAAGGCACTGCATGTCAAATGTCTTACTCCCTAATTATTTTCTCCGCGTCGGAGGTTATTATCTGTGCGTTGGAGGTTATCTGTGTCAGTCGCGTGTGATGGAAACCAGAGATAAGGGTGTCTCCTGGGCACCTCGGCCCAGCTCTGAGCGTGGGGAGCTGGTAGCTGGAAACCAGCCACGTGGGAACACGGGTGCCACGGAAATCAACAAGCGCTGGCCCTCCCCCTCCTCCCTAATTGTTTGCCATCACACCGCTGCCTTTGATGCTAGAACACCCGGCCCCAAGGATCTGCAGGGTCTTCCTCTGCTGACGGAGAGGAAGAGAATGTCATGCAGCCAGGAATGTGGGGGCTGCAGGGGGAGAGAGGCGGGCAGCTCCCGGAGCGGCGCCCAAGCAGGATTCCTGCCCAGCTGTGTGAGCGTGGTGGGCCTCAGCCTCCACATCCCCTCCTGGGAAATGGGGCCATAATGGCGGCCATCTTACAGGGTGACCGGGAGCTGTACCCCCCGGTGAGGAGCAAGAGCTCCGCGGAGCCCACAGGCCTGGGGTCTAATCCCTGCTCAGTCACTGCGCGTCTGAGGCTCCGGCTTGGTCTCTCAGTGAGGCAGCGGTCAGAACGTGAATGCTCCCCCGAGGAGATGTTTCTTAATTTAAAAAAATATATATTTTAGAATTAAAATAAAACTTGAGGGGAAAAAATTAAAAAATAAAAATAAATATTTTTAATTGATTTTTTACAGAGAGGAAGGGAGAGGGATAGAGAGTTAAGAAACATCGATCAGCTACCTCTTGCACAGTCCCTATTGGGGACATGCCCGCAACCAAGGTACATGCCCTTGACCGGAATCGAGCCTGGGACCCTTGAGTCCGCAGGCCAACCCTCTATCCACTGAGCCAAACCAGTTAGGGCGATGTTTCTTAAATTTAGAGAGAGAGAAAAAGGAGGGAGGCAGAGAGGAAGGGGGAAGAGAGAGAGAGATTGATTAGTTGCCTCCCATAGGCACCGAGACCGGACATGGAACCCGCAACCTGGGCATGTGCCCTGACTAGGAATCGAACCCATGACCCTCCGTGCTTGGGACAAAGGCCCAACCAATTGAGCCATGCCAGCCAGGGCAGCGATAAGAACTTTAGCGACCAAAGACTGGGGCCTCTGAAATGCCGTGGAGTGGCTGACGGGGTGTCCACAGAAAGTGGGTGCAGACTCCCCACCGCCCCTCGCCTGGTCAGTTTAAGGCAGCTGAGGTCAGGACCGCCTGGAAAAGCCCCGGCCAAGGATCCCCCCAGAAACTCCCACCTGCAGGCTTTTAAGGAAGCAGAGCAGGGGCAGTGGCCGGGAGAGCCCTCCACTCAGAAGGGGTGGGGGGCTCAGGGGCCCTGGGAAAGGCGAGGGCGGAGGATCTGAGGCTAATCGTAGAACAGCAGCAATAGTAACCGCATGGAGCAGCCAGCCCCGAGACCTCACTGCAGGCGTTGCCCCAACGGACGTCCCTGCAGCCGGGAGTCCGTCACCATCCCCACTTTGTCAGAGGCCCGGGGTAGTTCCCCAAGATCACACCACAAGGAAACAACCACAGCCAGAGCCTGAGGCACACGTGAGGCCTCTGCCTCCTCCCCACCATGCGTCCCTCCGAGGGGGGCGTAAGGCCCGGGGCGGGCAGGCGACCCTCGGGGGCTGTAAGCGCGCTGGGCTTCCTGGGGGGGGAGGCCAGGGGTACCGTACAGAACGCACCTCTGTTTGCCCGAGGCTCCGGGCTGGAAGTTACTGCTCCTGCCTCGCCGGGAGGGGTGGTCACCCACAGTGCCTGCTTTGGGCCGTCCAACCCCTGGGCCAGCTCCGCTGCCCGGAGCGTGGCCTCCCCACCCGGGTCCCCGGCACCTACCTGCGGGGCTGAGGCTGCAGACGGCCAGCAGCAGGGCCAGGGCCAGGGCCAGGGCCGGGGGGAGCGTGCTGCGGGCCATGCTGTCCGCCCGGGGGGCCGTGCGCGGGGCCTTATCCGGTGTCCAGGGGCCGGGCCGCGGGCAGGAGCGGGGGCCGGCGTGGGCTCAGGCGGGGACCCGGAGGGAGCAGGCGGCCGGAGCGGCTGCGTCCCTGCTCCAGCCTTCTGGGGTGGCGGCCGAGCTGGTCAGGAGAAGCGGGCGCGGGGCGCGGGGCACGGGGCCGGCCGGGGGGCGCGGGCCGAGGGCGCGTGGGAAGGGGCCGCGGGGCTCCCGTGGACGGCGGGTGGAGGCTGGGGTCTGGCCGGCGGCGGAGGGGAGCTCCTGGCTCATCCAGCCAGGCCAGGGCGGCAGGAAATGCGCTTCCTTAGCGAAGGGGCCGGGCCAGGCGGCCTGCCAGGCGGGAGAGGAAGTGCCACTGAGCTTTGTCGCTGGGTGGGGGGCCCTGGGGAGGGGGGAGGCCGCGGGGGTGGGAGGGCCTAGGCTCCGAGCTTGTCTCCCCAGCACCCCACCCTCCCATCCACCGGTCCTGGGCTGGCCGGCAGCCCCCGGGGCAGATGGAAACAATCACCGATAGCCCCCAGGGACCCTCAGGAGGCAGGCCCCTCAGAGGCGCTCCAGATGGAGCTCATTGCTGTGAGGTCAGCGCTCCCATTTCGCAGATGAGGAAACCGGTCTCACCTGCTCTAGAGAAGTGTGATAACAGCCCGGAGAGACGGGGAGCTGGGATTCCAACAGATCTCCTCGGGCACCAAAGCTGGCTGAACTGGTCGTGTGACGGCGGCTGTCATTCCCTTGCTTTTCCGGCGGGAATCGGGCCCAGCATGCACAGGGCATGGCAGGGCAGCTGGGACAGGGGCTTAGAGAACGGGGACCTGCCCAGAGAGCCACTCTTGGTGCCCGTCCCGCCCCCCCCCATGGGCGGAAAGCAGCCCCCACGGAAAGGACACACTAATGATGGCCCTGGGTCAGAACCTGCCCTGCTGACCCGGAGCTGAGGCCCTGACGAGTCCCCTACGCCTCAGTCACCCTGTCTGTGAAGTGGGCACGGCAGTGCCTTCCTCGCCAGGCTGGTGTGAGATTTCCAGAGGCTGAGGCACTCCGTCACTGAGCCCCGGGCCGGGCACACAGGAAGTGCCTGGGGGGCAGGCCCAGCACTGTCCCTTGTTCGTTCTGCAAACAGTAGGTGCCAACTCTGTGCCCGTCGTGGTGTTCGTTATGGGGAGCACCTAGGGTCAGGCCCAAAGGAGCTCAGAGGAGGCGGCCTGGGCTGCCTGGAGGAGGAGGCACGGAGGCCCAGCCTTTGAAAGAATGGGTGGGCGGGGGGAGGGGGTGGCAGAAAGGTGGGGGGCGGGGACACGCAGGAGTGTGGTGGGGACGGGAAGCCTGGAGGGGCAGACTCTGGCCTGCTGTGGGAGGGGCCTTGAATGCCAGGACTTTGTCCGGAGAGGCCACAGGGGGTCACGGAGGGTGACGGACGGAGCTGAAGGTGCTGGTCGGCTGGGCTTTGAGGCAATAAGCCTTGGTGTGAGCTGGTGGGATCCACAGAGGGTCCTTCTCTCTATACCTGTCCTGAGTCGATGGTGAAATCCAGGGCCAGGAGGGAGTGCAGGCAGGAGGCCCGGGGCCCCCGGAGGGAGCGGGTGGAGCTTGCTGCCCCCCTAGGAGCTGGCACAGGCAGGGAAGGCAGTGTGGTTCCTCGGGTGGGCGGGGAGTTGGGGAAGACCAGCTCGCCCAGCCCTGCAGCCGCCCGGCTAGTTCCCGGTCACAGGAGACCCAGGGTCCAGCCGTGCCCAGCAGGCCCGGAAGGCTGCAGGGGTGAGGGCGTCCGCTGTAGGCAGCAGGTCCTCAGCCCTTCGCTGTGGGTGCAGAGCGCGAGGGGCCCCCACAAGGAAAGGTCGGTCTCAGCGGGGGACCACGGGGCGGCTGGGAGGTGTCCCCAGGCTCCAGACTGGGGACAGTTAACCAGCCCCAGGGGCTGGACGCTCCCGGCACCAGGCCCGCCCTATAGGCGTTCACCTTATCAGCGCCGAGTCCTCACTGCACCCAGGGCCGGGCCACGGGGCCATTCACCGAGCAGGAACCCACGGCTCCCTCCCGGGAAAGTGAGGGACCCCGGGGTGGAGAGTAGAGACCCCAAGGATGCCCCCTCCAGGCTCACCCCTTCTCTGCCACCACCCCCTGAGCTGACCGTGAGGACAGAGGCTCCAGGGCTATGGGCGTCACAGGGCGAGGGGGGTGGTTGTCCAGAGTGGGAGTCAGGGCACCTGGGCCGAAGCAGGGATCCCATAGGAAGCCCGTTTCCCTCCTCCCGCCCTCCCGCTTCCCTGCACCCTGTGCAGCCCGCCCTGCACCCTGTGCAGCCCGCCCCCACCCCTGCTGTGAACGAGACCCAGCGGGGTCTGCAAGAGGAGGAGAGGCTGCAGACGGACATGGCCACGGGCGTGTAGGAAACGGCCGGGGAGAGGACATCTACAGGAGTCCCAGGAGAGCCTGGGCCTGCCCCCAGGCCCCGAGGCGGGAGGAGGAGACTGGGGTCCCCGGGGTGGAGCGGAGGCCACCCACACCACCCCCGGCCTGGGTGGGGTTGTGTTATGTGAGTCTCTCCTTTTGGATGCCTCTGAAGAGCTGTGATCCCAGCACAGAGCCCAGGACCCTTTGACCCTCAAGATACAGCTATGGAATACAGGCCCTGGGCCCAGGGAGGCCTAGGGAAACTGAGGCACTGGCTCCCGTTCCCCAGAGAAGGGGCCAGCTCCCAGACTGGACCGCCCGACGCCGGAAGGCTTGATGGTCACTCGGTCTCACAGTTGGGGACAGACCCTGAGGAAGGTCCCAGCCCAATGCACCCTCTCTGCAGACGGACACATCTCCCTCTCCCAGCCCCCTCGCCCTGCACGGACCAGAGCGGGAGGAGGGAGAGGAGGGGGAGGATTCCTTCCTCTGGCTCCTTCCCTGCAGCCGAAGGCCATGGCCCCGACCAGCCCTCTCCACGCGGCCCCCCCCAAGCGGCCCCTCCGGCTGAGCACGGCCATGGCCCCTCCGCGCCGGCCTGTGGCCCCCCAGCCCGGCCCCACCTGTGTAAACAGACCCCACACCAAGCCCCCCGGGCCCCGCGGAGCGTGCCAGCTGCTTCCTGCCGGCTCCCGCCGAGGCAGATGCCTCCAGGGGCCGCCTGCCCACACGCCAGGGAGACGTGTGGCCGGTGGCCAGGCCCCGGGCCCCGACCCCAGCGCAGGCAGGTGCGCTTGTTGGCCTCTTCCTCCCCCCGCCGGCCAGGAAAGCCGGGGCTGCAGGAAGGGACGGAGCACGTCCACCCTGGCCCCCGGCCACGGGAGGAATGTCAGGCGGCCCCCAGGGGCCCCCCAGGCGGCTGTCCGGCTCCAGCGCCGGCCGGGAGCCAGGCCGGAGAGCGCCTGGGGGTCAGGCCCACACGGGCAGGCAGACAGCGGGGGCAGAGGAAGCAGCGTCGGCGGGGAGTCAGGGTGTCCGGCTCTGCCCTGCGTGGCCTCAGGCACGACCTCTCGCAGGCTGGGCCTCAGTTTCTCCATCTGCACAATGGGAGGGCAGCCTGCGGGGCCGGAGGAGCTCGAAGCCCGGGACCAGGAGGGATGTCCCTTCTCTGTGCCCTCGCTTGCCCGGCCCCATGCCAAGTGCCACCTCGCAGCCACCTCGATGAGCTGAGACTGTCAGGTCCCCACTTCACAGGGGAGGAAACGGAGGCTCAGGTGTGCATGGCAACAGGGCGGTGGAGACGCAGAGGATCCCTAAAACCTAGGTCTCTTTCCTCCTTTGGCTTCTAGAACATTCCGTCCTGGTTTCCCTTCCTTCCACGTCCCGGCTGCCTTACTTGCCTCCTCACCGGTTCCTCCTCGTCCTCTCACGCTTGGCTCCTGGTCCTCCCCCGACTCTGCTACCTTCACCCCCACGTCAGGTTTTCCCGAACCTTCGTGGCCATGACAACACCGAGTGCCCAGGGCTCAGGCTCAGTAACCGAAACAGGGTTTGTGAGCCGATGGACACCCTGTGACATGCACCCGTCCCACTCCACTTTCGTTCAATCTGAAGCACAGGCCGAAACCGGTGTGGCTCAGTGGATAGAGCGTCGGCCTGCAGACTGAGGGGTCCCGGGTTCGATTCCGGTCAAGGGCCCGTACCTTGGTTGCGGGCACATCCCCAGTAGGGGGCGTGCAAGAGGCAGCTGATCGATGATTCTCTCTCATCGATGTTTCTCTCTATCCCTCTCCCTTCCTCTCTGTAAAAAATCAATTATATATATATATATATATATATATATATTTTTTTTTTTTTTTTTTTTTTTTTTTTTTTTAATATGGAGCTCAGGCCCCTCTGTGGGGTTCACCCCACCCGTAGGTCCTACCTGGCAGTGCCACGCCTGAGATGGTGGCATTCAAAGTGTGTCCCGGCACTTTCTCTCCGGCCCTGCCCGGGCCTCGCACCCAGACTCTGCCCGCACCCAGACTCCTCGGCGGGTGCTGCACCAACGTCCGCCCGAGAAACGTTGCTCCGGGTGCCTCAGCCCAGCGGCGTCCACTCCCCTAACGCACTGACAGCTCCCGACTCTGCGTTCCCGACACGAAGTTCCCGCCAGGACTCCCCCGGCCCCGGCTCCTGGGCCCGAACCTGGGCTCTGGGCTCTGCTCCCACCCGCCAGCCGCTCCTGCCTTGGCCGCTCCTCTCCGACCCCGACAGCTCCCTCCTCCCATCGCTCCAGCCCTGAGGGGGAGGCGACCTGGCTCTTCCTCGCACACCCCGCATCTGACCCCCGCGCAAATTCTGTGGGCTGCCCCCCTCGATTCCATCCCTTCTCTACTCAGCGCCCCCGGCATGAAAGCCAGGCTCCGCTCCCTTCCCCAGCCCCGCCCTCTGCGGGACCCCTCACTCGCCCTCTGCGGGACCCCTCACTCGCCCTCTGCGGGACCCCTCACTCGCCCTCTGAGGGACCCCTCGCCCGCTGCAGCACGGCCTGCCTGCTGCCCCCCAACGTGCCGCACGGCCAGCCGGGGCCTTTGCACATGCGGCTCCCTTTTCCTGAAACGCTCTCCCCCGAGAGCCACAGGGCCTGCTCCTCACCCTTTATGTCACATGGCCAGTGAGGGCGTCCCTGGACACGGAATGTTATTTATTTTTTATTTTAAAAATATATATCCCATTGATTTTTCACCGAGAGGAAGGGAGAGGGATAGAGTGTTAGAGACATCGATGAGAGGGAAACATCGATCAGCTGCCTCCTGCACAACCTCTACTGGGGAGGCGTCCAGAACCAAGGTACATGCCCTTGGATTGAACCCAGGACCCCTCAGTCCGCAGGCCGACGCTCTATCCACTGAGCCAAACCGGCTTTGGCTGAACACGGAATTTTAAATAGCCCTCTCCCTCCTCCACCCTCTCACATGTTACATATTGTTTATTCTCTCTCTCTCTCTCTCTCTCTCTCTCTCTCTCTCTCTCTCTCTCTCTCTCTCTCCTCTCTCTTCCTCTCTCCCTCTCTCCCTCTCTCCCTTTCCCTCTCTCTCTGTCTCTCCTCTCTTGTTCCAAAGACCCATCGCCTGGGATAGTGCCTGGCCCCTGGTAGGCATTCCCTATGTTTAGACGATAAATGAACGGCTAACTACTAGGCTGCACAGCTGGAGGTGACATAGGCTGTGGTTCTGAGTCCCCAGGTGTGGGTGTTGGGGGCCTCTGAGCCCAGGGACAGGGTCTCTGAAGAGGGGGAACGGCTCCCCAAAAGGATGGGGAGCTCCCAGGAGTCAGTGGTCCCAGCAGACCCTGTGCCCGAGGAGCCAAGCCCCGCAGTGTCCGCTCTCTCCCCAGAGGCTGGCCCGCAGCGGCTGCCCCGGGATGGGGCCTGCCTGGCCAGCCCACCCCCGGCCTGAGGGCCCTGCAGCCACTGCGGAGGCAGGAGAGTGCCCCTGGGCCAGGAGTCTCCAAACTCTGAGCCAGTTGTCAGGGCTCCGAGTTCATAAGAAGGGAAACTGAGGCCCCCAAAGGTGAGACCTGTCCAGCACCCTCTGGACCGCGGGGGGCAACATGGGCAGGAGACCCCACACCGGGACCCCAGGAGGCGGGCTGTGTGACGGGGCGAGCCCCACGGCCTCTCTGCCTGCTGCCCCGCAGGAGCTCCGTGCCGCAGGCCCTGCAGGTCCGGAGGCTCTGCCCCGCCCTCGGAGCCCCCACCGTGGAGCCGCCAGGCCTTCCTGTTTACTCGAGGCCCCTCTGGAGGCTGGGAGGCGACAGCCTTGGCCTCTTCTGCTCCCGCTTCCTTCCTCTCCCACTTCAGCGCCTCCGGCCAGGCCTCAGGGCCCCGGGGGCCGAGCGTGAGGGGCACAGTCCAGCGGGGGCATCTGAGGCCACCACCCCAGAGGGCCTACGGACGAGCACGCACTCTCTCCCCGAGACCCTGAGGTTACCGAGGCGCTAGGCCATCCCTCTGTGGGCTAGAATGTTCCGGCACCTTGGGACCGGCGTTTCCTGGCGTGCCGCTGGAGACATGCAGGCTATGACGGCATCGGCTGTCCCGGATCCGACACCACGCCCACCCCTCGGCCCACCAGTAGGGGATGAGCACACGCTGACCTTAGCGGTGCCCCCTCCTCCCCACCCTTCCTCCTCTCCCCCGCCCCCGCCGCTCGGAGCTGAGCTGCCCAGTGTGGGCCTCGGACCAGCAGCCCGGCCCGGCCTCACCACCCAAACCCGCCCGCGGCCTCCGAAGCAGCTTTGTCACCAGGCCCTGGGAGATTCGTGTGCAACGAAAGCCAGAAGCTGCCCATCTGCCCGTCCCGCCTGGTGTTAAAACACTTTGTGATGCCCTGACTGGTTTGGCTCAGTGGATAGAGCATCGGCCTGCGGACTGAAGGGTCCCGGGTTCGATTCCAGTCAAGGGCATGTACCTTGGTTGCGAGCACATCCCCAGGAGGGGGTGTGCAGGAGGCGGCTGATCGATGATTCTCTCTCATCGATGTTTCTAACTCTCTATCCCTCTCCCTTCCTCTCTGTAAAAAATCAATAAAATATATTTTAAAAATAAATAAATAAATAAATAAATAAATCAAACCCTGAGTGAGCTCCGCCTTTTCGGTATTCTCGTCCCAGAGGCTGACCCTGAACCCCCAAAGCCTGCGCACTGACCTCAGGCACAGGAAACGCGGGGAACGGAGGAACGAGTCCAGCAACACCACCAGGAAGCTCGGACACAACTGGGAGGAGGGATTCTCGGGGGGACGGCGGCCCCTTCACAGGTCAGTGTCATACAAAGAGGGGGCGGGCCAGAGGTTAGAGGCTGACGGACAGCCCCGATGCAGCGCGGCGCCCTGGATCGCCTCCCGGTTTTCCCAAAGACGCACTCGGGGGGATTACACGGGGACTGATGTCCACCACGCTATCAGTGTCACTCAGTGTCATCGAAACCGAGTTGTGGTTGTAGAGCCAAACGCCCTTCTGGGTTAGTCACGCTGAAGCCCCACGTTCGGAGCGAACTGCTTTCCTGTCTGTGACTTACTTTAAAATCGTGGGACAACAATAAACCAGCCGTGAAGGAAGGAGGGAGAAAATGTCAGCCACTCCTAAATGCTGGTGATGGTATGTTCAGTACACTAGTTCCTCACATTTTGTTTGAAAAGATTTATTAAAAACAACCCTTTCTGAGCCTCCCATTGCCCTCTGGGGAAAGGCCAGATACCTGGGTTGGCATCAAGGCCCTGCCAGCGTGGCTTCTGTCACCCGCCGAGCTTGCTCCAGCTGGGACCCCCTCTGGCCTGCCTTCCAGGCCCCGCTAATGCCCCAGCCCGCCCCTCACTCGGGGTCCTCTCACCCTCTGCAGCTCCGCAGGTCGTTCCCTCTGCCCTTCCACGCCCTCGGTCACGTGGCGAAGTGAACTCCTGGTACCATGAGGGCCCCCCTCCTCCCCGCCAAGGAACCTGCTGCTGTGTGTGCCGAGCCGCCCAGAGCTGGCCTCCGGTGGGGCGGGCTGATGGCGCCGGCGAGCACGGTCCCTCCGGTGCCGGAGCCACAGCAGCGTCCGGCCTGGCAGGCGCCACATCGAAGGAGACCCTCTGAGGAAGGTTAACGGTCACGCCTGGGGAATGGTGACTGGAGCTTGTAAAACTGTTTTCTTTAAGTTTCCCAGGCCTTTTTATTATTTTTTTTTACCTTTCTTTTTTTTAATTAAATTATCATCTGTGTACATATTTTAACATTCCCCCCCCCCATTCCCAGGCCTTTTTATTATTATTTTTTTACCTTTCTTTAATTAAATTATCATCTGTGTACATATTTTAACATTCCCCCCCCCCCCCATTCCCAGGCCTTTTTTAAGTGAACCAGGTGATTCTGTTGGTGATGATGTTGACAGTGGATTTCCCTGGCTCGTTACGGTCTCTGGCCTGGCTTGTTCTCCCACTCACCCCACGTGGGTCCTCAGACAGCCCGGGACGAAGGGCACATGCATATGAGTGGGAGCGTGTGTGTGCGTGTGCGTGTGCATGGGCCCAGTTTGACAGACGTGACATGGACCCCCAGGTGGGAGGTCACCGAGTGGGGGCTCCCCCGCACCCACGGGCCGGCGTGGGGAACAAAGCAGCTGCAGGGAGCACCCCCCAACCCCCCGCCCCCACCCAGACTGGCTGCTCACCCTGCACGCTGCCTGCCTTCTCTCTCCCCTCTATCACCATGTATTCCGTGTTCTCCTTTCAATAGACCCACCTTTTACAACTTGAATACGTTTATTTCAAAGGAAACTGTAAATAACTGGTGTAAACGGGGAACCAGCCGCAGCTGTGCCGCCCACCGCCCTCACTCGGCTCTCGGGAGCCTCCGGGCCGGGCCGGCGGTGAGGCCGTGAGCACCGATGGAGCCGCTGTCAGAGTGAGAGGACAGAGGAGGGAAGACGCTTCTCCCCTCAGCACCAGGCCTGGCACGTCCCTGAGGCTGCCCCAGTCCCAGCGCCCACAGGCTGGGTCACTAACCCACACCCTTGGCTCAGTGTGTTCTCTCCCTGACCTGGGGGCTGGGGGCTGGGGGCGGGCGGGCGGGTGGGCACTGAGCCTGATTTGAACCTTGAAGCAGCTGAGAAAGGACAGGCTGTGACCTGCCCGGGGCCTCAGGGTGGGAGGCCCTCAGAACTCACCTCCTCAGGGAGGCGCTGGCGACCGTGACCCTCAGGGCCAGCCCGCAGGCCTCAGGGCTTCTCGCAACTCACCGCCCACTTGGCCGGCCACTCTGTGCCACCACAGACCAGGGAGCCCCTTTCCCCGCCCCCACCCCCACCCCCACCCCCACCGCCCAGGAAGACCCCACAGCCCATGGCCTGGCTCATGCAAGAGCTCGGTCCCCAGCAGGAGTCAGGCACGGAAAACAGGCTCGGAGAGATGAGGGGTCAGGGCCACGGTCACGCAACGAGGGTGCAGAGGAGCCCAGGCCGGGCCCAGCTCTGCCTGACCACCAGTCCTGCAGGGCAAGGACCCTGCCCCGGGCATGCTGGGTCCCCAGGCCTGCCCAGCCCGGCCCGGCATGCCCTGCCTAAGGCAGCATCCTGGGCCTCCCACCAGCGCCGGGAGGAGCTGCTGAGGGGGGTTCGGGGCGGGGGACCGAGGGGCTGGGGGGAGGGGGGGAGAGGGGCTGGGGACTCAAGGCCAGGCAGCCCTCCGACATAAATCAACCCCGATGGAAGCGAAGAAAAAGGAGTAAAGCCCAATGTCCTCGGAAATTCCTTTAGTGCTCAGCTGTCCGTGAAAACAGGATAAGGTGGCTTCCTCTGTCTGTGCTCCCGCCGGGCGGGCGGGCGGGCGGGGTGGAGGCGCTGAGCGCAGGCCAGGGCTCCCGAGTCAGGACGGGGGTGGGGCCGGGCTCCGAGCTGGGGAGGGGGCTCCGGCGGGCGGCGTTGCTACTTGAGGGCGTCCAGGTGGGTGCAGACCTGGGCGAAGACGCTGTCCACGGAGCCTTCGGCGTTGACCTGCGGGGAGACGGGTGGTGAGAGGGGACGCCGTGGGCTGGGCGGACCCCGTCGTGGCAGGCCCCACCCCGAGGCCAGGCCTGGGCCCGGAGGCCGGCCACAGCGGGCAGAGCCCCTCCTCAAACCGGTGGGGAAGCCCAGGCCCAGGCAGGACGGCTAGCCCAAGGTCACAGCAATCTGAGGCCGACCCAGGAGAAAAATTAAAAAAACAAACAAAAAGCGGGTGTCCTCGCCCCCTCGGCCTGCAGGGGGCGCACCTTGCGCACGATGCCGCGCTTCTCATAGAAGGTGATGACGGGCTCCGTGGCCTTGTAGTAGGTGTCCAGCCGCTTCTTGATGGTCTCCTCGTTGTCGTCCACGCGGCCGCTGGTCTCTCCCCGCTTGAGGAGCCTCTTGGTCATGGTCTCGGCGCCTGCGTCCACGTACAGCAGCAGCGTGGGCTGTCCGATCTGCGGGCAGGGCACCGTCACCGGGGCCCCTTCCTGCCCACCCGAGGCCACCTCCTCCCCATCCTCCCACTTCTGCGGCCCCCCGAGATCCACTCGGACATTCACGACAGCCCCGCAGACCTTCCCGGCCAGTCTGCCCCGCCCGTCCCCATGGCTCCCCAGCGCCCTCGGGAGGAAACACAGGTCCTTCCCCGGCCTGGAGGGCCTGTGCCTGGGCCCTGTCCCCCTCCTCAGCGCGTGCCGCTCACTCCTCTGCTCTCCTGCTTCAGCCACACTGACTGAGTTTCGTCCTCGTGGGCCAGGCCGTGGCTCAGGGCAGGAACCCCCCCCTCCCCAGCCTTTTCCCTCAAGGCCGAGCGCTCACCTTCAGACTTCACCTAAAACCTCATTCCTCTGGCACAGCCTCCCCTGAAGCCACGCCCGCCCCCTGGGGCCTGCTCTCCCAGGCCTTCCTTTGCCTCGAGGGCCTCTGGTTATTTTTTTTTTTTTAATATATTTTATTGATTTTTTACAGAGAGGAAGGGAGAGGGATAGAAAGCTAGAAACATCGATGCGAGAGAAACATCCACCAGCTGCCTCCTGCACACACGCCACCGGGGATGTGCCTGTAACCAAGGTACATGCCCTTGACCGGAATCGAACCCGGGACCCCTCAGTCCGCAGGCTGACGCTCCATCCACTGAGCCAAACTGGTTTCGGCGCCTCTGGTTATTGACCTCACATCCCTCTCCCAGCCTGGCCTGAGGCCCGCAGGCCTGGATAAGGACTTGACGGAGGAGCCAGGGCTGGGGGAGGGGGAAGGGGCACCTAAGCCCTGGAGGCTCTGAACACTGTCACTGTCACTGGAATGCGGGTTTCATCGCCAGGAAGACTGGGAAGGGCAAGAGGAAAGGAGGCTGACCATCTTCCGTGGGTGAGGGCCTGGCGCCCCCTGGTGTCCAGAGTTAAAAAAAACACACACCAGGTGCTGGGCCCCCGTGCAGAGCCAGGCGCCCACGCCAACACCCACAACAGCCCCAGGAGGCACAGAACTTGCACGAACCCCAGTTTCTAGACGTGGCTCTGAGGGCCAGAGGTGCTGTCACACCGCTGGTGCCTCAGCCCATGACCTCCCAGTCTTTGAAGGAAGCCCAGCCAACCCCCATTTCACAGATAGGGAAACTGAGGCCCAGATCAGGGTAGACACTTCCCTGAGGTCTTGCAGCCAGTTAGAGGCCAGGAAACACAATATCCCGCCTCTGGGTGTGGCTCAAGCTGTGGAAGCCTAAGGCCCCTATCCCACAGAGTTGGGGAGTGGGGGTGGTCTGGTCCAGCCCACTGGGATGCCCAGTCCTCCTTGCGAGGCCTGGAAGGAGTCCTCTGCCAAGAAGCCCCCCCCAGAACCCTCATGGCCCGCTCTCTCCAGCCAGACGCCCGCTGGCCCCTGGAAGGAGACTGGACTCTCCTCCTGGGCATCCGAAGCCTCCAGCCAGCCTGAGCCTCCCTCTCCCACATCACCCCCAGTTCCCCTCTCCAACAGCTCGGTTCTCTCTGCACGAGCCTGGCCCTCCGACCCTGTGCTCACAGGTGCCAAGCCCCACACTGCAGAGTGCATTCCCTCTAATCCTCATGCTGCCCCACACGGCAGCTGTGCCCTGACCATCCCCATTTTGCAGATGGGAACACTGAGGTTCAGAGAGGCAGAATGGCAGCCCAAGGCCCCCAGCAGGTGAGCTGGAACCTGAGCCTGGCCGCCTCAGCCTGGTGCTTCCCGTTGTCCTAGAATTCTCCTTCTGGACTTCTAGAAAGAATCCCAGAAAGTTCTTCCCTGGCTCCCTCCTGCCCCCCCTCCCATCCCCCACAATCTCCCTCCCTCCCCCCCCACATCATAGCAGCCTCTGCCGGACGCCCGGCCCAGCTCCTGAGGACCGTCCATGGCTGTGCCTTACCCTCCGCTCAAACTCCTCCCCCTGCTGCACCTCCCGCGGGTAGCCGTCGATCAGGAAGCCTTTGGAAGTTTCCACCACGGCCATCATGGCGTCTCGGAGCATATCCAGCACGGTCTCCTGCGGGCACAGCACAAGCAGGAGGGGCCATGAGCCCCCCGCCCCCCCTTCCGTGCCCCCCCTCCCGGTGTGCGCTGCCCCCAGCTGAGCCGCCCTGTGCACGGGCAGCTCTCCCGGCCTCTGAACGGGGAGCCGATGGCGTTCAGCTGGGCCCCGGGGACACAGCTGTGGGAAGCCGGCCTTCCCTGCCCTCAGGAAACCGAAGTACCCGTGTTTCCCCGAAAATAAGACATCCTCCGAAAATAAGACCTAGCGCAACTTTGGGAGAAAAAAATTAATATAAGACACTGTCTTATTTTCGGGGAAACGGTATCAACCTCCAGGTTGACACCGCTGTATGGGCAGAGGAAGGCGCTACTGCAGAATAAAGTTAGGGGGAGGGGGTCTCAGCCCAAAGCTGATGACCCAGAAGGTCTGAGAGCTGAGGAGGAAACACACGCCAGCAGGAAGGAGTCTGATGGGTTTGAGGGGACAGAAAGGCCGGGGAGGTGGGAGGGCAGAGGGGACCGCAGGTCAGAGACCCGGAGGCTCTTGGGAGAACTTCTGTGCCCAGGGCAATGGGGCCACAGACGGGGTCGGAGCCAGGGAAGGTCATGGCCCGCCTGCCAGTGTGGCACGGGCTGGGCTGGCTGGCGTCCACTCAGGGCCACCATCGCCCCCGCCCCCCGCGGGGCCCACTCACCAGCGGCACCAGCTGCCCCTTCTCCATGATCTCCGAGAGCATCTTGCCCCGGGCCGAGCCCGAGCTGACCTCGGCCCGCAGGAGGTCCCCGGTGGACAGGTGGGTGTAGCCGTACTTCTGGACAATCTTCTCACACTGGGTGCCCTTCCCCGAGCCAGGCCCGCCTGCAAGCGCCCGCCGCTCAGAACCCTGAGACGCGGGTCGCCCGCGGGGACGGGGCCGCCCGGTCACCCAGCGAGGGAGGGCAGAGCTCGGGGCGCCTCCCCGGCCCAGCTCCCACCGAGCCCCCCGCGAGAGCCAGCCCGCCTGCCCGGGACTCACCCACCACGAAGATGATCTTGGTTTTCTTCAGCTTCTCTGTGGGACAGAAGGGGCAGGGCTCAGGCACTCGCACCACCATGGCAGGCGGGGGGGGGGGGTGCCTCTGACCCCGGCCTGCGCTGCCCGAGGCAGAGGGACCCACAACTCACTCCGGGAGGCAGACCGTCCAGCCCGGAGGGGGTGCTGGCGGCGAGGGAAGCTCAGGGACCAGACAGGTCGGGGACAGAGGGCGGCCCAGGCAGAGGGACCACAGGGGCGAAGGCCTGGAGGCCACAGGATGGGCCGTCAGACTGAGGGGCTCAGTGACCCCAGGCCCCCTGGGAGGCTGGGGGGCAGCCGCGGTCACCTCTTGCCTTGGAGTCCTCCTTGCTGCGGGTTGTTTTGGAGGAGCAGCAGGCACCCATGGTCCCGTTCTGCCGTGTCCCTGCCCTTCCCCGCCCCGGCCCTGGCCTGCCCATTGCCCGCCTTCCCCGGGCGGTACCAATGTGGAGCTGGCAACCACAACGTATGTTGCCCGGGAGACAGTTGCCGGGGAAGAGGCTGTGGTGGGCAAATGGAACCCTTGCCCGAAGAGGGCAGCCAGCTTCCATTTCAGCCTCTGCCTCGCCACCCTGAGGACTCAGCAGCGCCACAGCCCCGCCCGAAAGGGAAACTGAGGCCTGGAGAGGCAGGGCCCGCTCTAGGGCTGCCAGAAGGCGAACTGGAAGCCGGCCCCTTCCCAGCTGCTGCCTTCCCTCCGCTGCAGGGGAGGGGGGGAGAAGAGGCGAGGCTGGAGGGGAGAGGTCCCGCCCCTTTCTGGTCCCCTGTTTCACCCCCCCTTCCCCCGTCCAATGAGGAGGTGAGCTCAAAGCCCCCAGGGCCTCCCGGGCCGAGGGCCAGGGGAGCTGTCAGAACTTCTCTCGGCTTCCCCGGCTTCCGGCCCCTGTGTGATGGGCACAGCCTGGATGTGGGGGGGAGGGGGGCGGGCACAGCCCAGTGGCAGTGACGCTCAGAGCCCCAAGGGTGGAAGGGTGGCCACTGGTTTCAGGCGGCCGCAGCCAGGCCGGCTGGGCTCCTTTAAGAACTGCCCAGGCCCAGGCTCGATGCCAGGGATGGGACGGGCGGTGCTGCCAGGAGGCAGGCCAGCTGGGCTCTCAGCCCGTGACTCCTTCCAGGCGGGCCCACAGGAGCCTGGAGGGCCCAAGGGCCACCCCCTGGACAGGAGGAACTCCATCGCTGAGGGGGCGCTTGCACCCATGGGGCCTCTCCTCCGCACCCCCCCACCCCCCCCCGCCAGGGCCCGCCCTCTCCAGAGAGGCAGCGACTCAGCTCTACAAACAGCAGCGCAGGAGTGAGCTGTGGGGTCCTCGGAGCCCAGGAGGCCCCGTCGCTTCTAAAATTAGCCCTGCAGCTGGCGCATCCCCGGAGAGGCCTGGGGCGGGTGTGGGAGCTCCCGGGCAGGCAGGCCCCGTCTAGCAGCCCCTCCCGAGGTGTCTCCCCTACGCACACCCCCTTCGCAGATGGGCACCCGGACCCCAGGCAGAGAGCAGGAGAGAGGAGGCTCCGTACCTTCCATCCTGCCGAGGTCCGGGGCGTGGGGTCAGCGCTCTGCAAGACAAGGTGCCGGTGGCCGGTGAGCACAGCCACGGGTGTGCCAGGCCCTGCCGCCCAGGAGGGGCCGCTGGGCAGGCAGGCCCGGGAGGCGGCTGACCTTGGGAAAGCCCTCTTTCCGCCTCACCTGGCAAGGGCAGCGGCCCCGGCCCGCCCCACCCGCCACTGACTGACGGACTGGAGCTGTTCTCCCTCCCAGGTCCCAGGAAGCAGGGCGGGTCCCCGGCCCGGCACCTTGACGACACTCCCCAGGCGGAGGGAGGGGAGGAGGGACGAGCTGCCGGTCCTCCCCTCCGCTGGGGTTCGGAAGAGGATGCTCAGAGGGACACGGATGTCTGCAGGGAGGAAGCCGGTTCACATAGAAACAGCCCTGCAGTTTTCCAATGAGGGGTTCCCGCCCCCCCATGTGGCCCTGCCCCCTCACCGCCCCTGGAGGACCTCACTCCATTGCCCTCTTCCCCCTGCATGGAATCAACCCCAACCCCTCCGGGACCCCACGCTACCTGCACCGCCCCAGGGACCTCCCTCAGCCGCCCCTCCCACCTGTCTCCTCAGGAACGCTGCCCGTGCACCTGTGGTCTCACACGCCACCCTCCCCAAGGCTGCCTGCAGCCATCACAGCCACCTTGTCTTGACCTTTGACACTTGGCCCTTGGCCTCGTTCCTCCTGGCTGGGACCTCACCTCTGACACCCACTCTCCCTTCTCACTATTGGCTCCAGGGTCCCGGGACCCTCCATCCTGCCCAGCCAGCCCAGCTTTGGACACCCTGCCAGCTCTGACAGCCCGCCTGTGTCCCAGCGAGAAGCCCTCCCACCCTCCTCCTCCTCCCCCGTAAGCAGGACCCTCCCCCATAAGCATGGCCCTCCCCCATAAGCACGGCCCTCCCCCTTGCTCCTGAACCTCTCTGATCTGTCCTTCCATCACCTCTTTGTTCCAAGCAGGGGCCACACCAACCTCCATGCCCACCAGCCCATCCGCAGGATTTCCCCACCGGCTAAAGACCAATCCTCTGCTGCTTACAACCCTTCACTATGTGGCCACTCAGCTCCCAAGATAAAGCCCCCCTACCCCTGCCCCAAGCTCTGCGACTTTATCAGCTGCTGCTTAACCCGAGCTCCCCTGCCCACCATGGCCGGGTCCCACCTCCAGGCCCAGCTCATGCTGCGGGGATAGGAGCTCCCAATGCCCGGTGCCTTTCCCTAAGGCGTTAATGTTTAGGACTCACTCAGGTGTCACCTCCTTCAGGAAGCCTTCCTGGACTCTACCCTCCACTCCTACACTGACAGGCACCTCCTCTGAACTTCTCTGGCATCACACACCACACACCACACACCACACCACACACCACACACCACACACCATACACCACACCACACACCACACACCACACACCACACACCATACACCACACCACACTACACCACACACCACACACCACGCTGGTGTGTGGTGTGTGGTGTGTGGTGTGTGGGCCTCTGTGTTGTAGTGAGGCCTGTCGGGCTGGTCAGGGGCCGGGGGCCTCACTCCGTCCTCAGGGCCCTCTTGGGAGGGAACTGAGTCCTGGAGAAGACAGACTCGCTCCAGGGCCTGGCCCTGTTCCCGCCCAGGCCTGCATTTCCTGCCGCTCTGGGCCTGGCACCCAGTAGGTCCTTAAGCAGCCGCCTGTGGGCACGCTGAAGGAGGGCAGCAGCTGCCAGCACTGCCCAGCAGCTGGTGGGGGGGGGGTCCCGAGGCCGGGAACAGCCTGCAGTGACCCCTCCTGCCCCGCCCCCTCCCAGTAACCTAAGCCCCACTCTCCTGCTGGCACCTGCCACCTCTTGGTCCAAAATAGCCTGGGCCGTGAGGAGGCCCCGGAGGCCAGGGGTCTGGGACGGAGTTGGGTTACGGGCTCAGCACCCGGTCTCAGGGGGCCCTGGGTCAGGGCCGCAGGGACTCTGTCTGTAACCGGGTGGCCAGCCACAGGGTCTGGGGAGCCGGGGCCGAAGGGGCAGAGACTTGACCTCCATCCCAAGGCAGGTCCAGGGCGAGACCAAGGTCTCCCTCTCTTGGCCAAGAGCAGCCTTGCTGGTGGTTGGCAACCAACAAGGGCTCAATCCCAGCCCCATCCCTCCGCTGTGTGACCTTGGGCAGCGGTGTCCCTCTCTGGGCCTGCCTCCAGGCCCTGTCCCAGCGCCGCTGAGGAGCCCTGAGCGGGTTGCTCAGCAGGACGGCCCCTGTGCTGCCTCCGGGGGCCAGCCTCTGGGCCTCCCGGGCCGGCACTCCCAGTGATGGGACAGGACACTCCACCAATCGCACAGGCCGCCCCTCCCAGGCCCTCGGGGGCGGGGAGTCAGGTCACAGCCCCCCTCCCGGGCCCCAGCGGGGACGCGCCAAGGACGGGAGCCTGGAGCCCCAGGGGTGCGGGCTGCACAAAGGGGTGCCTGTCTGAGAGGCTGGGAAGGGCTGCACACACACACACACACACACACACACACACACACACACACACACACAAGCTCGCACACCCCAGCGCAGAGTCCGGGGATGCAGCCGGGCAGGCGGCACAGGGCACAGGGCACAGGGCACAGCGGGGGGCACACACGGAGCCCCCAAGCCCCCAGGGCACCCCGGCGCCGGCCAGGCGCACCCCGGTGCCTGCGCCGCCCGCTCCCCGCGGCGGCGCCCCCCGCGCAGACACACACCCACGGGCGCCCACTGACCTGGGTGCGGGTGCGGGTGCGGGTGCGGGGCGCCGGGGCGGTGCGTGCCCTGCCCGTCCTCGCCGCCGCCGCCCGCACAGGCGCCTATTTATAAGGCTGTCAGCGCGCGGCATGCCGGGAGCCGCTCCGCGCGGGAGGGGGAGCGGCAGGGAGCGGGCTGGACGGAGGGAGCCCCATGGAGGGGAGCCCCATGGAGGGGGGCCCTGATGGAGCGGAGCCCCGATGGAGGGGAGCCCGGATGGGAGGGGAACCCGATGGAGGGGAGCCCGGATGGAGGGGGGCCCTGATGGAGGGGAGCCCGATGGGAGGGGAAGCCCCGATGGGAGGGGAGCCCCGATGGGAGGGGGGCCCCGATGGGAGGGGAGCCCCGATGGAGGGGGAGCCCGGATGGAGGGGAGCCCCGATGGAGGAGAGCCCGATGGGAGGAGAGCCCGATGGGAGGGGAGCCCCGATGGAGGGGGAGCCCGGATGGAGGGGAGCCCCGATGGAGGGGAGCCCGATGGGAGGGGAGCCCCGATGGGAGGGGAGCCCCGATGGAGGGGGAGCCCGGATGGAGGGGAGTCCCGATGGAGGAGAGCCGGATGGGAGGGGAGCCCCGATGGGAGGGGAGCCCGATGGGAGGGGAGCCCGATGGGAGGAGAGCCCGATGGGAGGAGAGCCCGATGGGAGGGGAAGCCCCGATAGGAGCGGAGCCCCATGGGAGCCGGAGCAGAGCGAGCCGGGCGCCCTGCACCCTGCGCCCCGCGCGCGGAGGGCACTCCCCGCACAGAGCTGTTCCCGGGGTTTCCACTCCCTGTGACCTTCAGGGGGTGGCACTAGGCTGCCCGTGTGACAGCCGGGGAAACTGAGGCCCGGGGAGGCGTGGCTCTTTGCACAAAATCCCGCAGCAAATTGGCGGCAGGGAGAGGCCAGAGCGGGGAGGGGAGGGCTGAGGCTGAGTTCTGGAGCTTGGCTGGCCACCCCAGTCCCGGCCCCTCCTCGGACCCGCCCCGAGGCCCTGGGATGCCGCCTCCCTTTCTGGAAGGGGTTCCAGGAAGGCCTCTGGGCCCCCAAAGACCATCCACAAGGCCCTCTCCAGCCAGGGGTTGGGAGATTATTGAAGACCCAGCCCTGCAGGCAGCTCCCAAGGAGGATGGGGCCATTCAGAGTGCTGATGGGGGGGGGGGGGGGCGATGGCCCTGAGAACACGGGGCTGGGCCATGTCTGCCAATTCTCAAGGAGGACAGTGAGTTCCCGCTGCAAACCAGCTTGCTGCCCGAGTTCCCAGGTGGAAAGGAGTGTTTACCCACGGGACTGCCACGTAGTAGGTGCTCACAAATGTAGCGGGACCAGGACCATGGAGCTTGGGACTCGGGGATTGATTTTAGACACACCACAACCTTGAAAGCAGCAGCCCCAGGTCGTGGGTGGGCGACATTTAGAATCTGGGGAGAGAGAGAGAGAGAGAGAGACCATTTTTGGCGGGCAGTTTCTTAGCAACAACAGCAGCCTAGACACCAGGAGGCTTGGGTCTGTCCCAGGTCTGCCACCTGTGACATCAGACAAGAGCCTTTCGCCCTGGGACCTCAGTTTCCCCCTCTGTGGAGGGGCAGGGTGCTGGGCCAGAGGGTCTGCCTCCAAAGTGGTTCCAAAGGCCCTCGCCAAAGCTGCCCATGGCTGGGCACCACGGCACCACCTTTGGGGAAAGCACGTTGGTGATGTCAACCAACAATTCTAAACATGCAGGGTCACGTGTGTGACATCCATTCCTCGAGGTTTTTTCTTGGCACGTGTTCTCTCATGATCCAGTCCGTGGCGTCTGGAAGGTGAAGCAATGAAGCACACGATCCCCCAGGGGGAGGTGGGACTTTGCTCTTTCTTAAAGGCGTCCTGTGCTTGCTTGCTTTCTTTCTTTCTTTCTTTCTTTTCTTTTTTTTTTTTTTTACACAACAAGCATGTGTTATTGGGTATATAAGACACTTTTAACACAGAGGCACCTTGAGGATATTATGCTAAATGAAATAAGCCAGTCACAAAAAGACAGGCACTGTATGACTCCACTTACAGGAGGTACTGAGGTCAAGTTCAGAGAAAAAGAAAGTAGAGGGATGACTCCCTGCGGCTGAGGGGCAGGGGAAGTGGGAGTTGGGTTTCATGGATACAGGGTTTCAGATCTGCAAGATGAAAACGTCCTGGAGCTGTTCATTAGCAATGCAGGCGTACTTACCACCACTGAACGCACTCTGAAAGACAGCTAACTGGCCCTGACCGGTTTGGCTCAGTGGATAGAGCGTCGGCCTGCGAACTGAAAGGTCCCGGGTTAGATTCCGATCAAGGGCATGTACCTTGGTTATGGACACATTCCCAATAGGTCGTGTGCAGGAGGCAGCTGGTCGATAATTCTCTCTCATCAATGTTTCCAACTCTATCCCTCTCCCTTCCTCTCTGTAAAAAAATCAATAAAAACATATTTAAAAATAAATGCATAAAGATACTAACTGGTAAATTGTATGTGTTTGTTTGTTTTGTTTTTTTGCACACTAAAAAAAGTAAATTTAAACATTGTAAAAACCTATTTTAAGTGCCTGTTTTAATTCTTTCATTTCCATAAGACCTATGGATTTTCTATCAATCCTGGAATGTTAAAGTTTCAGGATGTTTTTTTTCTCAACTCTAACCTAAAGAAAGAAAAAAAGGTGGGAAAGAGGAAGAGAGGCAGAGAGGGATGGAAGAGGGAATGAAGAAAGGAGAAGATGGAAGGGAACACGGGAGGAGGGGAGGGGAGGAGAGAGAGTCAGGGAGAGAATGACAACAGAATGCATAGAGGAAACACCTGGGAGCTTGTGCCCTAGCTGTTCACAGGGAGCAGGCCTGGGCGAGGCCCTCCCTCTTTATCTTATATCATGTGCATGACTAAAGTTATAACATGTTTAAACACCCTAAAAACATAACCATATAAAATGAGACCAACTTTAAAAATACTTTAACAACATGCTGGTGAGCACTCCCAGGCTTGAACACGAGCGACATCCGGAGGAATCTGGGCCAGCCTCGCTCTGCGTTCACGGGAGGGGAGGAGGGGGGCGCGGGGGGCAGCGAGGGGGCACGGGGCTGGCTGGAAGTGTCTGCAGGAAGCAGGGGAGCGGCCACTCCGGGAAGCACCTGCTGGGCGTGCAGCCGAGGGAGGCGTCCCCCAGGAGGGGGGATACAGAGGGGTGAGGGGGATACACAGGGGTGAGGGGATCACAGGGGTGAGGGGGATCACAGGGGTGAGGGGGATGGATACACAGGGGTGAGGGGGATCCCCAGGGGTGAGGGGATCACAGGGGTGAGGGGGATACACAGGGGTGAGGGGGATCACAGGGGTGAGGGGGATGGATACACAGGGGTGAGGGGGATGGATACACAGGGGTGCAGCGGGCCCGGAACCTCAGCTGAGGAAGTGGTTTTGTCTGAACCACAGCCGGGAACAGGTGAGGGATTCAGAGCAGGAAGACACCTCTGACAATGAGCGTACTTGTCTCCGGGAGGGGCCCTCCGAGGAGAGGGGTGTGTGGGGTTGAGGCCTAGGCCCAGACCTCTCGCCCTCACCAAAGTCCTACCTCCTGACGCTAAACCGAACGATCGGAGGATCTAGCCCTAGCCAGCCACCTTCTCCTGAGCACCCCCGGGGCTCCCTCCTGCCCACCGGGAGCAAGCAAATTCCCAGAAGCCCACCACTGCGTGGGCCCGTGGCGTCCCAGCCCCTGCCTGTCCCACTGCGGTCCAGGCCAGGATGGCCTGGCCAGGCCAGAGGGACGGAGCCTCGGCCGACGCGGGCCGGCTCTCATGGCCTTTTGCCATCTGCCCCACGCGACCTCATCGCCCGCCTCCCTCCTCCTGCCAGAGCTGTGGTCCCACCACCGGCTACTGTTCAGCCACTCTTCCCACCACTCCCTCCCTCTGCCACTGCACCCGATACACGTGGCTACTTACCAGAAGGCATATGTGAATCAGAGACACCGCGCGCCCTCTCTCCGCCCAGCTCCCCGGCCCCCCACCCTGGCTGGCCTGGCGCCCGCCCACCCGCCCGGGAGGGGCCGCCCGCCCTTGTCTCACAGCCACCTTTGTCAGGGCCCTGCTCCCAAGGGCATCTTATCTGCCTAAACAGGTTGTAATCTCCCCGAGTCACGGACCCCCTGCCTCCTGCCAACCTGGAGCTGTAAACAAGGCCTTTCACTCCACTGCTGCTCACCACGCCCTGCCCAGGGCTGCAGCCGGCCTGGCTCCTGCCTGCAGGGTCTGCGGCAAACGTGGGCTCCCAGCCCTCAGCACCCGGGCCCCTGAGCCAACCGCTGACCCCCCCTCTGGCCCTCTCCTCCTGAATCCAGGCCTGGCCTCCTCTCCTATTCCCCCTTCCCCTCACCCCTCCCGCCCAGCTGCTTTCCATGACAGGGATGGCATTCTCCTCCTGCCCCCACCCCCAGGAACTCTTGCCCCAAACTGCAGGATTTCCCACCTCCCAGGCCTCAAGAATGTCGCCTGGGTTATTGTCTTTGTGGCCCTCACACCCACGGTGGCCTCCCCGGGTCCTGAGCTCCTGAGCCGTGAGTGGTCCTGGAACTGGGCTCGGAGAGGGGAAGGGACTTGCCCAAGGTCACAGAAGCAGGGGGAGGCGGGACTGGAAGAGCCAGATGGGCTTGGCTCGGGAAACCCACACCGCCCGACCTCCTGAGCTGCCAGCTCTCCGCCCAAGCTGCAGAGTGCATGACTCGCCGGCCACCGAAACGCTGGCTGTCCTGCTGGCGGGCGAGCGCTGGCCTAGGGCATGGGCCCTGTCCCAAGGCGGCCCGGAGCCCGGGGCCAGAGAGCCCAGCTTGACGGGGACACACAGGAGCTGGAGCGTAAGTGCATTTATTCCTGTACAAATCATTACAAAACCCAGTCTGGGGGAGTCACCAGCCCCCGCTCCCCACCCCATGTGCAATGGCTTGTGCTGGCCTCCTTGTCCTCTGCCCGGCTCCTCCCACTCCGCAGCCTCCTCCAGGGAGCCCTCCGGTCTTCCCTCCCAGACTTGGGAGGAGCACGGGGCAAACCCACCCCACTGAGGCCCAGCGATAAAGTGCCTGACGCAGAGTGAGGGGGGACAGGAGCCTGGCGACACATCTCCCGGCCCCGAGAGCTCTCCCAGGCCCAGCCGGAGGGAGACTCAGGTGACTCCAGCAGCTGCAGACAAAGGGGCTGCTTGAACCCTCAGTAGGGCTGCCCCCCCCCCGCCCCCCTTTCTCAGCCCCAAAGGCTCCTCCAACAGGTGGACAGCCTGGCTGGGGAGAGTTTGCACAAAAATACCCTCATCTCCGGGAAGAGGTGGGGAAGGGAACCCCAGGCCCTAGGGAGCCTAGCCCCCCAGGAAGGGGTGGTGGCTGGCGGGGCCCAGCATTACAAAGGACGGACCCAAGGCAGCAGTGGGAGAGGCAGGAGGGGACCGAAGGCTCCACGTCAGAACGTGACATGGGCAGAAGGAGCCAGAGAGGGGGATCGGGGGTCTGTGCAAGGCCACTCGGGGCAGAGCCAAGACTGACAGTGGCCCCCCACCTCGGGGGCCCTCCCACCCCCAACTGCCCCAGACCCTCCCCGCTCCTCATGCAGCCTTCCTTCTGGCTCTGGGAAGCGAGGGGCCAACACGAAATCCCAGGTCCCTGGGACAGGACCCCGTTGTCCCAGCCAATAGGACATGATTCGGGGACCATCCTGAGGCTCTGCACCAAGGCCCCCTGGGAAAGGCCATGTCCTTGGCCTCCCGTTATGCGGAAATACCCTGATTGACTACGCTCAGACCCTGACTGGACACATTTCCTGGCACCCTGACCAGCCACACAGAAGCCCAGACCCCTGAGGGCCGAGAGATGCCCCAGGCCCTGACCGGCTGGAGGGTACGCCCTCTCCGAGGCCCTGATTGGCAGGAGGCTCTCCCCCGGCCTCCATTGGCCAGGAGATGGCCCTGGGTCGCGTGGCCGGGCCAAGAGCCGCTTCTCCCGTGCCCCATGTGAGGCCCCACGGGCGGGGCGGCCTAGGTCCAGGAGGGGTGGGAGAAGGTGATCCCGTACAGCTGCGCCCAGGACGAGAAGACCCTCTTCTCGGTGATGAAGCGGTGGTGGTTGCCCTTACGGCTGTGCTCGTTCTGGACGTAGGTGACACACTCGTCCGGCCCCTTGGGTTCGTAGTAGTGGTAGGGCATGCGCTGCAGACGGGGCCGCTGGCTGGGGCAGAGCAGAGGTGTCTGTGAGGGCAGGCGGGCACTGGCGGGGCCCTGGCCCTTTCCAGCCCCGGATCTGCCCTAGGACCTTTGTGAGGAAATGCCTGCCCCCTCCCTGGGCCTCAGTGTCCCCATCTGTAAAGTGGGTGCAGGGTGGACTAGGCCTTTGGACTACCAAACTTTGTTTTTAATGCTGTGGATCTTTTCATGCCCCTGAGAGGGTGGCAGAGTAGGGCAGAGGTAAGGGGTCTGGGACTTGACTCCCACCCTTTACAGTTTGTAGGACCTTCGACCACTCACAACACAACTTTCCTCCGTTTTCCTGAGTCATGCTTGGGACATGGTCAGCATTCAATCAAGAACAGCTGCCACCTCTTGGGCTTGGCATATAGTAATAGTAAAATAATAATAATAATAATAGTTATTATTCATACATAAACTCTGGACTGGCTGAGGGGAGAGGAGGGGTGCAGGGGCAGCTCTAAGGAGCCTCCATCTCTGCAGAGCAGCCCCAATACCATCAAACTGAGGATCTTAAAGGCCACCCGCCCAGGTTTCCAACCCCGGCTCCATCCCAGGGCAGTGGCGAGGCACGTCCTGGGGGTGCTCACCTGCAGTAGTCGGGGGGCACCATGCCATAGACGTGCACGTGGTCACACAGCTCCACCGCAATCACCATGGTGAACCAGCCCGTGCTCAGCCACGAGTGGGACTTTTCCCTGGGGGCAGAGAGGGGGCGTGATGAGGGGCATGCAGGCAGGGGTGGGGCGGGCAGGGGGAACAGCCAACCATCCCCCTATTTCAGTCACCCCTGCCCAGCCCAGTGGGGGAGCCTGGGTGTGCTGGCAGGGGGGTTGTCGGGGTAGAGGTGGGGGGTGTGGAGAGAGCTCCTGGGAGGGAAAGAGGAGGACCAAGGCAGGCTGGGAATAAACTTCTGAGGAGACTGGTCATACTTGGTCATGGTCACACATGAGTAGTCCAGGAGTGACCATGACCACAGAGCATGCTAGAGCAGCTGTGCCCAGGCTCGGAGCAAACCCCATGGGGAGACCAAGCAGGGACAGGCCTGCTGGAGTGACAAGTTCAGAGCCAGGCCTGGGAGAAGCAGCTAAGAGCCTAGAGCCGTGCTGTCCACCACCGTGGCCACACTGGGCACGTGTGAGCGCCTGGCTCGTGGCTGAGCTGTGCTGTGAGTTAAAACACACAGTGGGCTTCTTAGAGAGTGGGGGAAACGAATGTGGGACATGTGACTGATAATTTTTTTTTTTTACATATTTTATTGATTTTTTTTTTTACCCTCTTCCCTCCCTCCCACACATCCCCTCCCTCCCCAGAGTTTTATGTGACTGATAATTTTTATATTGATTACATGTGAAGCTGAAAACACTTTGCATCTATTTGGTTGAAGGTGGTTCTTTAAAAAGAAAATAAACCTCTCCCAAGACTGACAAAAAGGAAGAGAGAAAAGACACAAATTACCAGTATCAAAATGAAAGAGAACATCATCACAGACTGTACACTTGAAAATAATAAGAAAACCACAAAAAAGACAACCGCATACGTGACAACGTAGATGAAATGGGCTGATTTCTCGAAAAGCACAAACAACCAAAACTCACCGAAGATGAAATAGGTAACCTGGATATCCTATTAAGGAAATTGAATTCATAGTTTAAAATCTTCTGGGGGGGAAAAAACACCACTCCAAGCCCAGAGTCTCACTGGCAAATTCTATCAAACATTTAAAGAAGCAATGACACCGCCAATGCTACATAGCCTTTTCTGGAAGACAGAGAGGAAATGTCCCAGTGCATTTTATGAGGCCAGCATTACCCCGATACCGAGATCAGGCGAAGACAGTACAAAGTAAACTATAGGCCAATCTCTCATGTACACAGATATAAAAACCTCAACAAAGTACTAGCACATCAGCAATATGTAAAAATAATAAAACGCCGTGACCAACTGGAGTTTATTCCAGAAATGCAAGGCTAGCTCAACATTTAAAAATCAATCAATATAACCCACCGCATCAACAGTCTTAAAACACACACACACACACACACACACACACACAAAACTAGTCTTTAAAAAAAAAAAAAAAAGTCTTAATTGATGCAGAAACGCCTGATAAAATTCAATGTCCAGTACTGATTAAAAAACAAAACAAAAAACTCTTAGGAAACTAAAAAGCGAAGGGAATTTCCTCCACCTACTACTGGGCTGGTACCTGTCCTGCCTGTCTCACCTGGAAGAGGTGAATATAGGTTCAAAAACCCGTAGCTGGCCTCCTAGTCAATGATGACAGACTAAACGCTTCCCCTCTGAGACTGGGACTGAAGCAAGATGGCTACTCTTGTCACTTCCAATACAGTCCCACCTTGTATTTAAAGTTCCGAGCCAGCTGGGACCGGTTTGGCTCAGTGGATAGAGCGTCCGGGCAAGGGCATGTACCTTGGTTGCGGGCACATCCCCAGTGGGGGGTGTGCAAGAGGCAGCTGATCGATGATTCTCTCTCTCATCGATGTTTCTAGCTCTCTATCCCTCTCTCTTCCTCTCTGTGAAAAATCAATAAAATAAAATAAAAATATTTAAAGTTCCAAGCCAGAGCAATAAGGCAAGAAAAAGAAATGAAGCACACAGACTAGGAAGGAGGAAGTAAAACGGTCCTGCTTGCATGTCCTTACATCACCAGCTGCACAGAAAATCCCAAAGAATCTACAAAAACCTCCGAGAGCCAATAAGTGAAGTTCAGCAGCATTACAGGATATAAGGTTCCCACACAAAACTCGTGTTTCTAAATATTAGCAAGAATAATCGGGAACCAACATTTAAAAAATATATCATTTATGTTAATTCCAAAATTTTAAATATTTAGGTATAAGTCAAACAAAATATGTACCGGACCCATATGTTGGACACATTGAGCTAAATAAAATATATTGAAAAGAATTTCAGCCACAGCTGGTTTTGCTCAGTGGTTAGAGTGTCAGCCCCTGGATTGAAGGGTCTCAGGTTCGATTCATCATCAAGGGCATGTATCTTGGTTGCAGGTTCGATCCCTGAACCAGTTGGGGCTCATGCGGGAGGCAACCAGTCAATGTGTCTCTCATATTGATATTTCTTTCTCTCTCTTCCCTTTCTCCCTCCCTTCCACTCTGTTTCCCCTTTCTCCCTCCCTTCTACTCTCTCTCCTTTCTCCCTCCCTTCCACTCTCTCTCTCAAGATCAATGGAAAAAATATCCTCGAATGAGGCTCAAAAAAAAAAAAATAATAATAATAGTTTCACCTGTTTCTTTTTACTTTTTTAATGTGGCTACTATAAAAATGTTCATTATGTATGTGGCTTGCATTGTATTTCTATTGGATGGCACCAGCCTAGCTTACCTAAAGCAGGACTGGAAGGGTTGTGTACTTAGAACAGAGCATGCTGGGAGCAATGGGGTGCCTGAAGCAATTAGTGCAAGAATAGTCAATACTTTCCAGGAGGCACATCACGGGGAGCTCCCCTAGAAAGATGCTAGAAACGACGGTGCAATCTTAGAGAAGAGCATGCTGGGAATCCTTCTTCCCTCAGAGCAATGAATGCTGGGAGAAAGCCATCCTGGGAAGCTGGGGTCATGCAGAGCAGGTTGGAAATGACTCTAGGATAACTCCCCCAGGAGACCTGACCAGAGGTGGCCGAGAAGTGACCACCCCCTCAGAGCAGTGCCTGCTGGGAGAACAGGCCCTCTGCACAGAGCATGCTGGGAGGAGCAGAGGGCTGGGAGGAGCAGAGGGCTGGCCAGGGGGCAGTTGGAAGGCCGGTACCTGTCCTTGCCTGTCTCACCCCGGAAGAGGTCATCGAATTGGCGCATGCGGCCGGGAGAGACGGCGTAGGCCTCCATGCTGGGGAACGCCAGGCCAGCCCGCTGGATGAGGCGCACGAGGCTGCCCTGGGGCTTCTGCATCTTGGTGGGGGGCCCCCAGAAGATGAACACGGTCTCGGGGGTCCGGTTGACGAACTCCTGGGGCCTCTTCAGCACGCGGTACACGCTGGAGTGGGCCACCACGCGGAAGGTGGTCTTGTTGCCCACGTCCGCCGAGAAGCCCGTGGTGGGCGCGTCGTTCATGCGGATGGTGCACTCGGCCCGCTCGATCTCGGGGCCCAGCTTGGTGCCCAGCAGGTGGCTGGAGCTGGTGACGATCACACACTGGCGGCACCGGGAGGGCAGTGTCTGGGGGCAGCAAGGAGAGCCAACGCTTGTCACGACCACTCTGTGCCAGGCCCTGGGCCCTGGACATTCAGGCCTCCAGGAGGCCAACAAAATGATGCCCATTTTATAATTTTTATTTTTATTTTTTAATATATTTTATTGATTTTTTTTACAGAGAGGAAGAGAGGAATAGAGAGTTAGAAACATCGACGAGAGAGAAACATCGATCAGCTGCCTCTTGCACACCTCCTACTGGGGATGTGCCCGCAACCAAGGTACATGCCCTTGACCCGAATCGAACCTGGGACCCTTCAGTCCGCAGGCCGACGCTCTATCCACCTGGCCAAACCGGTTTCGGCAATTATGCCCATTTTAAAGGCAGAGAAACTGAAGCCCATGCATTCAACAAATACTCCTAAGAAGCTGGTAATGGCCAAGTACTCAGGACAGAGCAACCGGCAAAGCAGACCCCACGCCTGCCTTTGAGAACTCCTGGTTGGCCCGGCCAGCGTGGCTCAGTGGTTGAGCATCCACCCACAAGCCAGGAGGTCATGGTTCGATTCCCGGTCAGGGCACATATCCAGGTTTCGGGCTCCATCCCCAGTAGGGGGCGTGCAGGAGGCAGCTGGTCCATGATCTTCACTCATCACTGTTCCTCTCCCTCTCCCGCTCTCCCTTCCTCCCTGAGCCAGGGCCTGGACTCCTGGGCCCACCCTTCCTTTAGGAGGGATGGCGAGAGTGGAGAGAAGAGGAGGAGGGGGCAGGGGTGGGAGGCAACGGGGAGGACCAGCTCCCCAAAGCGGCTCCCCACCTTGTTGCCGAGAATGGGGACGTAGCCATCGGCGATGCTCCACTTCTTGAGGTTGATGGGCCTGCGGCTGCGGGCGCGCAGGGAGCCATAGTGGAAGACCTCGTTGGCGCTGTTGGAGCTGTAGAGGATGAGGATGGTGATGAGCGCAAAGAGGACCACGAACACTGCTGACCGCTGCTCCTGAGAGGGGAGAGGCCTGGTGAGGTCCCCGTGCCACCTGGCTGACGCCTGCTCCTCACCCCACACACCGCCTCCTCCGGGAAGTCCTCCCACAGCCCCGAGCACGGGTCACACTGCCAGTGACTGGCTCAGTCTCGCTCCCCACTGCTCCCCAGCCGTCAGAGTGGGGATAGGAGCATAGGGGGGTCTCGGAAGGAAGGTCGGCTGGATCAGACTGAGGGTGGGTGTCGGAAGGATTCCTGCAGCAGAAAAGGTGCTTGGAGAAGATGGGACAGTCAAAGGAGAGGACCCAGGCCTTTTCCAAACAGCAGCCCTCCAAACGTTCATCCTCCCTTAACCCCCGGAGGGGTCTCCTCAGGCCTGGGCTGCCTGGGTAGATGGGCAGCAGTCACATCCACATGGCCCACGGGAATGCATCGGAGCGGGTCTGCCAGGCCAGCGGAGACCGGAGCCTGGCTCCTGTGCCGATCGCTGAGCCCCTGTGCTGGTTACCGGAGTTCACCCTTTTTGGCAGCTCTGTGAGAATGGGTCTGGGCTCTTTGCTTTTTCCTGCCAGCTAACTGCTGATTAAGCTCTGTCAGTAGAGGGCGCTAGAGAGACACTGCGGGAAGAAAGGCTTTTACTTCCTGCGTCTGAGCTCCTGGCTTCCTCAGCCTGCCATCTCCAGTGCCAGCCCACTCAGCAGATTCCTCCGGGCCCTGCAGTGCCTGCCCTCGGGCAGTTCTGGAGCCCGGCGCCTCCGCATCCCGCTGTGATCACCACCTCCCCTGAGCGGAGCTCAATCAGCAACCAGCCACCTGCAACCTCCAGAGGCCAGCAGCTCCCTCCCTGGAGCAGTCTGTGCGGAGGCTGGGTGCCCCCGGAGGTGGGTGCTGTGGATTCACCACACTGAGTTCTCTCTCTGCCACCCGGGGGCCCATGGCTGTGCCCTCCCCAGGCGGCCTGGACCTCAGCCCCAGGGCTGGCGGCTGCTCCTTGTACCTGCTATTCCTGCATTCCTTAGAGTTCCCATCCCTCATCACTCCAATGCCTGGTTCCAGTTAATAACTCTTTACATTAAACTGGCGCTGTTCAAATTACTCTGTGGTTTCTCTGCCGACTGGACCCACACTGGTTCACCCACATCAGCCTGCCCCAGCCCTCCGGCTCTGCGGGGCTGGGCTGCAGTGGGTTCTGGGAAGGGGTACACAGGACCAGGCACACAGCAGGTGCTCAGGAAAGCATGGATGGATGGAGGATGGGGACACCCTTAGAAGGATGCGCACAACATTCTGTCATCTTTGGCTGACCTCTGCCCCCTCCTCCAGGCTCCCGCTCACCTCCACCTCCCACCCCCACCCCCCTCTCCCCACCCCTGCGCAGCATTGCAAGTCACCTTGGCCCTGGGCCCAGAAGGCAAGCCCTTGCCCAAAGCCACACAGATCAGTAAGTACAGCCGGGCCCCAGCCAGGGCTGCCAGGCACCGGCCTCACCTAGGCACGGAAGAGAGGCCTGTGGTGGCTTGGGTCCGAAGCCCGCCTCGCGGAGAGAAGGGAGAGGCTGGGATGGGGACAAGAAGGGAAGAAGGACTCACTTTGTTGCTACTCATCTCTCTCCGGCGTCTGCTGAGGGGCAGGAGCCAGCGTGCACGCGGCCCAGGGGGCGGGGACGTGGGCTCACACCTGCAATCACAGAGAGGGTCTCGGCCTGAGTGCCCTCCCACACGTCCGGCTGATCAGAGGCTCCACCGTCCCTGCCACCCCTGCCAGCTCTCCTTCCTGCCCACGACCTCAGGACTCAGCGCTGTGTCCATTATGCAGATGGAGACACTAAAGCCCAAAAAGGGCAGGAAACTGCCTGAGGTCACAGGGCTGAGACACTCTAGAGCACCCCAGTTCCCAGACGCACCCCCTTCACCCCCAATTTTCCCACCTTTGCCTGAGCAGTGCCCTCTGCGAGGACCATGGTCCCCTGGTCAGCCCTGCCTCTCTCCCTGCCCCTTGCTCTCTACTATTCTGCTCTCTCAGCGGGGTCCTCTCCTCACTCCGGCTCTCCCAGGCAGCTGGCTCCCCTGTTGGGGGCCTGTCCCCCCAATCCCGCAGACACCCCTCCTCTAAGCCCTGCTTCCGGTCCCCGGGACCTTGGAATAGAGCAACATTCCTTGTAGGTCCCCAACTCCTCTGCACCCGCACCCTTCCAGGTCTTGCATAAACTGTCGGCAACCCCCTCCTGCACCCTGCACCCTGCTCACGCCACTCATTTTCTCAGCCCACGGGGGGCCAGGAACTTGCCCTGCGTGTCACCTTCCTGGCGGGCTGAGAGCTCTCACATCCTGCTGTGTCGCCGGAGCCCAGAGGACGGTGCCAGAGGGTGGCTGAATGATTTCATTCACTAACGGTAAGACCTCAGGGGTTACGGACACAGGCTCATCTGTCAAATGGCAACCATCACTGCCCCACCCTCAAAGGGTGTGGGATCCGCAGGGGACCAGGCTCCCTCGGGCAGCCCTTCCTTCCTGCCCCAGCCCCAGGGCCTCTGCTGGGAGGGAGCAAGCCCAGGTCTGCTCCTCGCCCCCCAGCGACCCCCAGCCTCTCCTCGCAGGACCCAGCTCCTCTCCAGATCCCCATGTCCCCACCTGTCACACGGACACAAGTGCTGGTGCCCGGCCGCCGCCAGCTGATTCAGGTCCAGAGGCCTCTAAGGTTGGCCGAGTGCAAAGGGAGACGCTGGGGGCTCGGGGGATCCCCGGCTGCGTCCTCCCTTCCGCGGGCCTCCGGCTCCCGCCACCATCCCCGCCCCCTGACCTGGCTGTTTACTCGGCACCGCCACCAGGAATAGCCGGAGGACCTCAGGCCACAGCGCGCACACGCCGCTCCTGATTGGCTAAGCCCCGGCCCCGCCCCCGCCTAACCCCGCCCCGCCTGCCACGCCCCCTCCGACCCCCCCAAACCCCGCCTGCCTTCCGGCCGGGTTTCGGGTTTCGGGGTTTCTCCCAGGCCCTCATGGCCAGACCGGGAGGCCCAAGGCCTCTCCCCAGGTGCAGATCAGGAAACTGAGGCTCATCAGAAGGGAAGCGTGGCCTGTCTTTTTGGACTCAGAGCCCATGAGAGCGAAAGGAGGGAGTCCAGAATGCCAGGGCCGCCCCCATCCGGCCAGGGGCCTCTGGCATTCCAGGCCCGTATAGGCAGAGGGGCGCTGAGCCTCTAGCTGGGCCTCTAGCTGGGCCCCCTCCCTCGCTCTTTCCTCCACATGCCCCTTGCTCCAGACACTCTAGAGCACCCCAGGTCCCAGACGCACCCCTCCCCTCACCCCCAATTTCCCCACCTTTGCCTGAGCAGTGCCCTCAGCCAGGACCATGGTGCCCCGTCAGCTCCGTCACAATCCTGCTCTTGAGAAGGCCATGGTCCATACAGCACCTCAGGTTCAAGTGTGAATCCCGGTTCCGCTACCTACTGGCTGAGAGGCCTTCTTAGGGCAAGTCCGTGCCCCCCTGAGCCTCAGTTTCCTCATCTGCGAAATGGGAGGAATAGGAGCCGGTAACCCACGGGGACGTGGGAAGGATTCCAGCCTGTGTGGGTGGCAAGGGGAGCCCCGGGCTGGCAGGGGCTGGGGCGGTGCCAGCGGCCGCTCACCCAGGGGTTGTTCATTGTTCAAGGCCTGGCTCACCGGCTGGCCAGCAAAACAGTCCCCCTCCCTGACCCCTGGCCCCGCGGCCTCGCTCCTCTAACGGGAGTGGACGCGGGAGCCAGCTAAGCGTCACCCACTCGCTCAGTCTTCCTGGCAGCACTGCCTGGTAGGGGCTCGCACGGCCCAATCCACCCATGAGACTGCGGTTCAGAGAGGCAACGTGCCTGGTAGGGGCTGTCAGAGCCTGCTGGGGGGGAGCCCAGGGAGCAGCCCAGGGCTGAGGGGGACGGAGTCTCCGTCCAGGATCCGCAGGGCTGGGCTGGGGCAGGTGCCAGGCGGATCCTGGAGGGAGACCCCGTCCACCTCAGTGCCCAGCTCTGGCCCGGCCCGGGGGCAGGCCTGCTGGGAGCGCCCTGCCCAGAGCACCGGGCCAGGAGCGTGGGCCCGGCCCCACAGCGGGCCCTGCAGGAGGCTGGGCCCTCAGGATGGGGGGGGGGGGCACCCTGCCCTCTGGGTGGGGCTTGGCCTCGCCCAGCCTGGGGAGCCCTCCCTAGGGGTCCGGAGCCCCCGCGAGCAGCGTGGGCGGAGGGCTCGGAGGAGCAGGGGGAGGGGCGCCGTGTCCGGGGTGCACCGGGGTGGGGGAGGCTCCTCCTCCGCACCCCCTGGGCGCTGACCCCCAAACTGCCACATCCGGGGGTCCGAGCCCTAGGCCCGGCCGGGAGGAGGACGTGGCCGGGTCCCAGCTCCAGGGGGGTGGACAGCGGCAGGGGCCCCGCGAACCCCGCCACAGCCCCTGGGCACCGGGGCCGGGACCGGAGAGTGGGTCTCGGGCACCCCCTCCCCCGGGCCCCCACCCCGTTCCTCCCCATCCCTCCTCCGGCTGCCCCCGGGCGCGGGCAGTGCCCCTCCCGCTGCCCCGCCCCGCTCGGCGCCCGCTCACCTCCCCGGGGAGCGCCCGGCCCCCCGCGGCCCCCGAGCCCCCTCACATGGCGTCGGGGGGCTGAGAGCCGGGTCCGGGATGCCCCGCTCGTCCGGCCGCCCAGGCCCGCCGCAGCCGGCCGCCGGGTCCTAGCGCCGCCGCCACCGCCGGGCTCAGGGCTGGGAGGCGGTGCGGCCGCCAGGGGGCGGGCTGGCTCCGCCCCGGTGGCGCCCCAGCGAAGGGAGAGGGGCGGGCGGCCCTGGGGTGCGGGCTGTCTCCTCCGTGCCGCGTGGTGGACATAAAAACAGCCTCCCAGACCCCTGAGTGAGCGACATGGCCTCTTCGATCCCGCTTTATCCGCCCCACGACCGGAGCGGGGAAACTAAGGCCCAGAGCGCCCTGCGCTTGGAACCTGCTGAGCTTCTCCCTGGGCCCCCTTAGCCAGGGCTCCAGAGCCTGCACCCCGCAGCCACCCTGAGTGAACTCAGGGTGCACCTTGGATTCCGCCCAGCTCTGCCCCCTTTCTGTGTGGCCTGGGCACTCACTTCCCCTCCCCGGCCTGCCGCTGGCATAGGGCATACAGGGAGCACCGCCGCCTCGGAGGTGGTGTAAGGGTCAAAAATGTTAGGACTTCTTATGATGTTCCAGGTGTTCATATTTTAGGTGACAGTGAGAAATAACCAGGAGCCCTATAGGGGCCAGCGGCTGATCATCCAGAGGTTATGAGAGGTTCAGGCCTGCTGGAATGAATGGTGTGGATCAATATGTACCCGCAAGAGCTGGCCGGCTGCACAGAGGATGTTTACGTGAAGGAAGCAAGCTAAGGAACTGCATCTCTAGAATCCCCTTTGGAAAACGGAGGTGTGAGAACATGCATTCCCCTCCTGGGTATAGACCCTGGAGGAATTCTTGCCTACGTCAGCAACAGAGCTCATAACAGCATTGCTTGAAATCGGTGGTCGGCAAACTCATTCGTCCGCAGAGCCAAATACCAACAGGACAACGATTGACATTTCTTTGGAGAAACAGGTTTTTTAAACTTAAACGTCTTCTAACGCCACTTCTTCAAAATAGACTGGCCCAGGCTGTGGTGTTTTGTGGAAGAGCCACACTCAAGGGGCCAAAGAGCCGCATGTGGCTCACAGTTTGCCGACCACTGGCTTGAAATGATATTAACCTGGAAACAACCCCTATACCTATCAGCAGCAGAAGGGGATTTTTCTACATGATGGTCCTTTCGCAGTGTGAGATATGAAATAGCAGGGGAAATGAAGGAGCGGCGTTACAAGCATGGATCTGAGAGACATAAGGAATGAGAAAGACAAGTCTCAGAAGAAGATGAGCCACAGGATACATTGTGTGAGCATTTAGCCGGCAGCAGGCCGCCTCTCCCAGGCAGGGGCCCGAGGTAGCTGGTGCCTATCAGAGTGATTCAAGTTTTCTTTTCTTTTTTTTTCTTTATTTTATTGATTTTGTACAGAGAAGAAGGGAGAGAGATACAGAGTTAGAAACATAGATGAGAGAGAGTCATCGATCAGCTGCCTCTTGCACACCCCCTACTGGGGATATGCCCACAACCAAGGTACATGCCCTTGACCGGCATCGAACCCCGGACCTTTCTGTCCCCAAGCCGGCGCTCTATCCATTGAGCCAAACCGGTTTCGGCGTGATTCAAGTTTTCAAAGCAAAAGCCAAGAGCATGGTTGTCTGCTGGGGAGGGAGAGGGGTGGGGGAGGGGAGGAAACACTCCGGGTGGATTTCTCGTGAAGGTCTGGTCTTTAAGTGGGACATGGGTTCGAGAGGTTCATTACATTATGTTTTATAACTTACAGGTATGACCAATGTGTTCTTGTGTGTACCGCCATATTTTAAAAGGAAGATAGGAAAGAGAAATGAAAATAAGGAAATACCTTTTGCCTAGCCCAGTGAGTAATTGTTAATAGTGGTTATTTCTGGAATGATGAGATTATGAGCTGCTTTTTTTCCCCTCTCTTTCTCTCTTTCTTTTGGCTTAACTATATTTTCTAAAAGTTTTTTTTAATTTTTTAAAAATATATTTTATTGATTTTTTACAGAGAGGAAGGGAGAGAGATAGAGAGCTAGAAACATCAATGAGAGAGAATCATCGATCAGCTGCCTCCTGCACACCCCCTACTGCGGATGTGCCCACAACCAAGATACATGCCCTTGAATGGATTTGAACCTGGAACCCTTCAGTCCGCAGACCAACGCTCTATCCACTGAGCCAAACTGGTTTTGGCTTGGCTCTAAAAATTTTAAGATAATGGCTACACAATGCTTATACTCAAAACTTAGCTTTTAATTTATAAAAAGTAAACTGTATCCCAGCCAGCGTGGCTCAGGAGTTGAGCATCAACCTATGAACCAGAAGGTCACGGTGTTCAATTCCCAGTCAGGGCGAGTGCCCAGGTTTCGGGCTCCATCCCCAGCTGGGAGCCAGCAGGAGGCAACCACTCAATGATTCTCCCTCATCACTGGTGTTTCTATCTCTCCCTCTCCTTTCTTCTCTGAAATCAGTAAAAATATATTAAAAATTAGCTGTATATGTAGTATGATTCCTTTAAAACACACACACACACACACACACATAAAACACAACCGTAGATGTGTGCATGTTTGTAAATGCACGCAGCAGACGCCTGGAGGAATCTAAGAGGTTCCCTGGGGAGTGGATTCGGGAGGGAAGGGTGGTGCCACCTTCTCTCTTTGCTTTATAAAAGTCCAGGTCGTTTGCATTGGACTAATTTAATAAGTTACTATCACTTTGTTTTTAATAAAAACAAAAGGGGCAGGGCAAGGTCCAGTGTCCAGGCTCTGGAGACATGGCCACGAGGCAGTGGGCACCAGAGGGGAGGGCCAAGGATTCAAGGCTTCCTGCCCTCTGGTGTCACTTCCATCTGCTTCCTGAGCCTCAGCCCATCCCAGCCCCGCTTGGCGGCCTGCCGGCATGGAAAACCACCGAGCAGGGGCCAGGGCCGCAGGCAGGAAGCCGGAGGAACGGACTGCTGGGGCTCAGAAAAGGGGGAGCCCCTCGCCAGAGGTCGCCCGGCAGGCTGGCGGCTGCGCTAGGGTGTGGCATCCTGTCCTCAGCCCTTCTCCCTGACCCGGGCCAGTGGCCTCTGGAAATGAGGGCGCTGCAGCCCAGCTCCCGGGCTAAACCAGGGCCTGGAGCGCCCCCCTCAGGCCTGCCATGTCTCCGGCACAGGCTCAGGCCAAGAGGCTCTGTGGTGGGGCTGGCTCACCTTCCCGGGGCCTGCTTATGCCTGAAGGAGAAGGGGAGGATGGCGCTGGGTCCAAACCGGCATGGTGAGCACCAGCCCAGAGCTGAAGTGCAGGAGTGCTTCCCTCAGGAATGGACTTTTTAATATATATATATATATATATATATATATATATATATATATATATATAATGTATTTTTACAGAGAGGAAGGGAGAAAGATAGAGAGTTAGAACCATCGACGAGAGAGTCATCGATCAGCTGCCTCTTGCACACTCCCTAATGGGGATGTGCCCGCAACCAAGGTACATGCCCTTGACCAGAATCGAACCCGGGACCCTTCGGTCCACAGGCTGACGCTCTATCCACTGAGCCAAACCGGTTCCGGCAGGAATGGACTTTTTACAAAAAGGACCCTCCACTGTTCTTTCCTCTTCGGCACACCTGGCTGTGGCATGTCTTTCCAGTTTGCAAGCCCTAAGGCTCTTGAATACATTTTTTATCATTTATTTCTAGCCAAAGCCTCCAGACTCGTTTTGAGCTCGCCCGGCAGCCCCAGAACAACACCCACCGCCTCAGTAACGGCGAGGCACAAAGGACACCGGCTCCTACGCATCCTGTGCACTCTCCTGTGACAGCCCTCCCGGAGGCCTTAGCGCAGCCTGTGCGCCGGGCGCTGCGGGCACTAGCCCTCCAGCGAGAAGTGAGGCTCAGCGTGTGCACGGCCCTGGGATGAATGACCACAGGCTTTCCGCTCTGAAGCCCGGGCCTGCCCGCGCCCACCGTGCCAGGATCTCCACGGATGGGTGGCCGTGGCCGCTCCTGGTGTGCCCGTCTCAGCCCTGCCTGCCCCGGGCTGGGGATCGCCGCGTGACCCCCTCCCTGGCCCTCGGCAACCTTTGCCGTCAGGATTTCCCCTCCCACGGGGTCCCGGGAAGAGTCCTCAGAGACCTCGGCTGTCTCCCTCGCTCCCACTTTACAGAGAGGAAACCAGGACCCATCGAGGGAACAGGACGTGCCCCAAATTCCCCTCTGGGCTCCGGGCAGAGCCAGGGGAAGAGCCGCTCTAGTCAGGTTACTAACTTACTAAGATCAAGTAGGTGGAGGTCTGAGCAAACGATTCTAATCTGGCTTTTCCAGGAACTTACGCTTTTCAGTCCTGCATCAATGCTGTGCATGCACGGCCCCCAGACAGCCCCTGCTTATGCCGAGAAGGACAAGGGGAGGATGGCCATGGACCAGACCGCCTCACGCTGAGGCTGGGGGCTGCGGCCTCTCTCCCTCGGGAGAGCCGCTGGGGGAGGGTCTGGAACCAGGAAGAAGCGGGTTCTTCAGGCGCAGAGGTGGGCCCGGGTGCCCCGGACATGGGTGTGGACCAGAACCTGCAAGAACCAACGTTCCTTTCCTCTCCCGGCGATGGGTTTGGTGAGAGTTCCCGGCCTGGCCCCAAGTTCCTACCTGGACCGAGGCTCCTGAGGACCCCTCCGGGCTGTGGGGCGCCCCTGGCCCCCCCTCTGGCCCCAGGAGGAGGACCTAGGAGGTCCCAGCTGGCCTGCTGAGGGGACCAAGGAGCCGGGATGTGGACAGAGGCCCCAAGGGGCTGCACACCAGGGTGCTCCCCACACACATCTCAGAGCTGGGGGGCTCCTGCCTCAACTCACCCCCAGAAGCTGCAGGAGCTGTGGCAGGAAGAGGGGGGGGGTCCCCTGCGAGGCCCTGCAGGCTGGCGGCCATCAGGAGCTCCCGGGAGGAAATAGCTGGGGTGGCTCCTGGCAGGTCACAAAGACCAGAAATACATGCTCCTTGGACCAGCCCAGCCATAAGTACCCGCCTCACCTGCGGGCAGGACCAGGGCAGAGGCACCTGTCCCTACCCCCGAGGGGACAGCCAGGGTGCTCCTGGGGAGGGTGAGGGAGGGGGCAACCGCCCGGGAGAAGGGACAGTCTGAGCCCATCGGGACCAGCGAACCTGGGCCCTGGAGCCCAAGGCCGAGGCTGAGCAGGGGGATTGATGGGAGTGGGGGGGCTCCACACCCCTCTGTCACCGCCAAGGACAATGGGAGAGCAAGGGTGACCGACCCACATATCAAGCGTCAGCCGGGGAACAGCCACCTCTCCGAATCCGTCCTGTGAGGGAAGGACGCTTTCGTACAGACGAGGAAACAGGCCCAGAGAGGCACTAATCCCAGGATCCCACGTGGGAGGCAGAGCCAGAACGAGGTAGATCTGACTCCAGAGGCCTCCCTCTGCGCCCGGTTCCTCCACCAGCCCCCTGCCCGCCAGGCCACCCCCACTTTGCTGACATCTGCTCAGACCCACCTCCCCCGCCAGGCCAGCAGCTGTGGTCCAGCTGCTAGCCTTCCCCTCCTCCCTCAGAGCTCCCTCTCCCCAGCTCAGGGCCTCCGCCCTCCGCCCTCCGCCCACGCTGCAGGGCCTCCTGGGCCTGCCTGGCACTGGGCAGGGGAGGCAGGCGCCAGAGGCATGCTGGGGGCCGGGTGCCAGGTCTCTGGCCTCTCTGGAGGTCGCCTACACTCCCTCGCACGGCCAGCTGCAGGATTAGTGTCCCCCCCCCCCCCCCCCCCCCCGCACAGAATGAAAACATGCCGCTCCTTGTTAAAGACACACACGACTCAGAAGTTCAAGTCAGCATCGGCAGCTCAGCAAGTGTAGGGCCCTCCGGGCAACTCCTGGGTCGCCTCCCACTGAAGGGGACTCCAGCAGCTAGAGCCCGGCTCTAACCCAGCTGGTCCTCCACGAGCCAGGCTCCTGGGCTCCGGAAGAAGGAAGATGGGAGGGAGGGAGAGAAGGAGGGGTGTGAAGCCCTGTGGCTGTTTCCTGCCCCTCGGTTCAGGGCCCAGACTCTGGGGCTCAGGCTCAGCTCTGAGACCGGGGACCCCACCCTGCTCAGCTGATGGCTGCACCTGCTCTGCACCCCCCAGAGCCCTTCTCCCGGGGGCTGCCGCCCTGCTAGCTGTTCCTACCGCCCAGGTGAGGGCAGTGAAGCTCAGAGAAGACAAGCCTCAGGCCCCCCTGCTGGCCTCCCCACCCCCAGTCTCTTCTCTTGCAGTGTAACCAACCCCAGTTAATAGGGAATTTAACTGGCGAGGTTTTTGGAACTGGACCCTGGCCCAGGGGCGTGGTGTGGGGCAGAGGAATTTCCTTCCCGGCCAGACGCTCCGCCCTCTGCCCACTGGGCGCCGGGCGGAGCCCCGTGCAGCCGCCGGCCAGACTCTGGGCAGAGGAAATGGCTGTGGGTTTGGGGAGGGCCGGGGACTTGGCCTGCCCTCAGCCCACAGGTTATGGGATGGTGGCAGGCGAGGAGCCCCACTTCTTCCCCCCAGACACACAACCACACTGCAGACAGGGTTCCAGAAAACACGTTTACCCGTACACTCGAGGTGGCCCTGGGGAGTCACAGTTCAAAGGCCCCTTCACCCGACGGACGCCAAGCTCCGGGCTGCCCTGACCGGGCAGCCAGCTCGGGAAGCGTGGCACCGGCGGTGAGTGGGGGGCGGGTAGAGAGGAAGGGCCTGGGCTGGCGCAAGGTCGAAGGTCACGAAGCTGGTGAATGGTGGGCCGTCAGCCCTGGGGGCAAAGGCCACGGGTCAGACACCGAGGTGGGATGAACCCCAAAGTGTAAGAGTCAGATTATTTCCCGGCCGGCGTGGCGCCGTGGTCGAGCATCGACCTATGACCCAGGAGGTCACGGTTAGATTCCCAGTAAGGGCATGTGCCCGGGTTGCGGGCTCCATCCCCAGTGCAGGGCGTGCAGGAGGCGGCCGATCAATGATTCTCTCTCATCATTGATGCTGCTCTCTCTCTCTCTCTCTCTCTCCCTCTCCCTTCCTCTCTGAAATCAATAAAAATACATTAAAAATAAAAAAGAACCAGCTTATTCAGGGAGGGGGATGGGAGGAGTGTCCACAGGTCACAGGGCCCCCTCTTCTCCCCTTCAAGTCCGGAACCCCGAGACGGCTCCCATGTCCCCCGGGGGCGGGAGGAGCCCGCCCGCACCCGGCAGGGCAGGATCCATAAGTTAAAGGTTTTGGCTGAGCGGAGGGAACGAGGCCGGGCGCAGGCGGCGCGGCCGGCCGGGCACGGCTACGGGGCCCGCCAGGACGGGTGGGCGAACACCAGGGGCCGCGACTTGGCCCAGCGGGAGAACACGGCCTTCTCGGTGATGAAGCGGTGGGCGCTGCGGGGCGCCTGCTCGTGGGCCAGGTACATCTGGCACTCGTCCAGCCGGCCCTTCTCGAAGTAGTGGTAAGGCACAGAGGGGTGGCTCCTCTCCCTGCGGGCGGGCGGGCGGCAGGGACGGGTGTGGGCACCACCGCACTCCGGCCTCCCGCCCCACCCCGCCCCGACCCCGCCACCCGCACCGGGAGCCACAGGCTCCCGGGTCCCGTTCCCGTCCTCAGTCACCCTCCGTGAAACGGGAATGGTGGCGTCCACCTCCGGGCTGCGTCCACAGGGAAAAAAACGATGAGGCTACAGCCCAGCTGGCGTGGCTCAGTGGTTGAGCATCGACCTCTGTACCAGGAGGTCACGGTTCAATTCAGGGCATATACCCGGTTGTGGGCTCAGTCCTCAGTGTGGGGTGTGCAGGGGGCAGCCAATCAATGATTTTCTCTCTCTCTCTCTCTCTCTTCTTTCCTCTCTGAAATATATTTAAAAATAATAATAGCCAGGACCGGTTTGGCTCAATGGATAGAGCGTCGGCCTGAGGACTGAAAGGTCCCAGGTTCGATTCCGGTCAAGGGCATGTTGAGGGCACATCCCCAGTGGGGGGTGTGCAAGAGGCAGCTGATCGATGATTCTCTCATTGATGTTTCTAGCTCTCTATCCCTCTCTCTTCCTCTCTGTGAAAAATCAATAAAATATATATTAAAAAATTACATATATTAAAAAAATAAAAATAAAAACAATAAAAAAATATATATTTTTTTTTAAATGAAGACTACGAAGTGCCTTCCTAGTGCGAGGCTCCTGGTAAGTGACTCTTATGCCCTGTGGCGCCCGCCCACCTGCTCACGGCATCATGCCCGTAGGTGGTCTGCCCAGGTGCCTCGGCAGAGGGCACACAGGCTCCTGCCATCTCACCCACGTGCTTAACAAATAAGTCCCAAAGGGAAGAGAGGGTGAGAACAGGAGACCCTTTCTGGACTTAGAGGTACGACAGTACTGAAATCGAAGGGCAGTTAACGTGGAAACTCAGACCTCATATGTCACGCACATGCAGTCGGCCCCCATGTTGCCAGGAGCACGTCCGTAGGTGACTCTCTGTGAATGTTTGCACAGCCTCCTGAAGAAGGTGATTGCTTCCCTCTTTCACAATAAGGAAGCGGAGGTGGCGTGTCTGGCCTCAGGCCACACGGGCAGAGTGGAGATGGGCAAGGAGCCAGACCCCGAGGCTGAGCCCCTTCCTCCTGGGCACCAGCTCAAGGGATGCCCCTGCCTCCACCACCCACCCCACCCACCCAGGAGCCCACACACCCACACCCCGCGGCTCCCAGACCCTCCAGTGAGGCCCCGGCCTCCTCCCGGCCGCCCCGGTGCCCCCGCCCTCCGGGGCCCCGCCGGCTGACCTGCAGTAGCTGTCGCTGACCATCCCGTAGACCACGACCTCCTCGCAGAGCCCCAGGGCCAGGATTATGGTGAACCAGCCGGTGCTGAGGAAGGAGCCAGACTGCCGCCTGCGGGGAGAGCAGTCAGCGGCCGCCCTCCCTCAGGCCCGGGGCTGTGGAGGCCCCAGCCGCCTCGGCTCTCTCTGCCACAGCGCTGGGACCCTCCCAGCTGAGGCCGCTCACCTGGACCCCCGCAGCGGGCCCTGGAGGAGGCCGGGCAGGGGACAGAGCCGGCCCGAGGTCTGCAGTGGGCACGGGCAGAGCTGGACACAAACCCGGTCTGTCCAACGCCTCACCACCCACGCAGGGCCTGAGCGAACCTTGGGAAGATGGGAGCGGGCCTTAGCCACGTCCTCTCTGGATCGAAGGGCCCGAGCTCCGGGGGAGAGCAGGGGGCAGCAGAGCAGGGGTTGGAAGTGGGAAAGGGGGTGGTCTTGAGTCAAAGGGCTTTGGTTCAAACCCTGCACCTGCTCTGGGGTATCTGATTTGCTCACGGACCTCTCTGAGCCTCAGTGACCCATCTGTGAAATGGGGATGATGACAGGTGGCCGTGGGGAGGGAGCACTGCCAGCCCGGAGCACTCCAGAGCCTATATACCTAACTCGGAATGAGACCTTCCCTCACTCGGACACCAGCACTGGCTACTCTCCCACCTGAGGGCCACTTGCCTCCGCCTGCACAGGGGCATTTGGAGGTGGTTCAATCCCTCAAACTGGACCTGCCATGCCCTCCTCTCTGAGAGGAGGCAACTGGGAGAGAACAGCTGAGAAGACAAGGAAGCAAAGGAATAAAGGGTAACAGGTGGGAGGTATCATCAGACGGGATGACCAGGGAGGGCTTCTCTGAGGAGGTGACCTTGCACGCAGGCCTAGAGGGCAAGTCGGGGCTCGTCACGGGAGACTGGGGGGAAGAACGTGCCAGGCAGAAGGAACGGCGGGTGCCCAGGCACGGAGGTGAGAGCCGGTGTGGCTGTGTGAGAAGCCCAGCCGGCCAGCGTGGCTGGACCAGGACAGGCAGGACTGAATCCCACGAGGCCTGTAGGCCAGGGGAGGGAGAAGGTGGAGCCTGGATTTATTCTCCACGGGAATCAAGGCTGCTACAGGCAGAGGGCAGGTGACTGAGGCTGATGGGACGAATTCACGGGGCGGGGGCGGGGGGAGGGGGAAGCGGGGGGGGGGGGGGGGGGACAGAGGCACCTGTGAGATTCCAGACCCGTTGTGTGCGGCAGGTGATGGAAGGAGGGGAGGGGGTGGAAGCCTGGGCGCTGTGTTTCCTGAGCTGGGGCGGGGGGTAGAGGGGGGGGGAGACAGATGTGGGGAGGCGGCCGGGTAGAGGGAAGAGCCTCCTGGCTGCCTCACGCGGGTCAGTGCTCGCAGGCCCCCTCTCCGCCGCCTGGAGCTCTGGGATAATCTGCTGAAGGACGGTCTCTCTGATGCCGCTGCCCTGAGGGGGCAGGGCGCCAGGGAGGCCCCGCGGGCCGCTCACCGGTTCTTGCCCGTCTCGCTCTGGAAGACCTGGTCGCAGTAGGCCATCATGCGCTCGGTGAAGGTGTACACCTGCAGGCCCGGGTACATCTGGGTGAGCTGCAGCAGCGCGCGGTAGGTGCGGCCGCCCAGCGCGCGGTCCATGCTCCGGCCCTGGCCCCACACCACGTAGAGCGTGTCGCGGGCCTGCTGGAAGTAGTGCGAGTAGTTGCGCAGCAGCAGCGGCACCGTCGTGTGCGAGACCACGCGCAGCGTGCTGCGCCGGCCCACGTCCGCCTCAAAGCCCACCGTGGGCGCCTGGTTCATGCGCAGCACGCACTCCGCGCCGTCGATCTGGGGGCCCAGGCCCGAGCCCAGCATCTGGCCGGAGCTGGACACCACGGCACAGCTGCGGCAAGGCCCTCGGACCAATGGCTGCGGGGGGGGGGGGGGGGGAGAGAGAGAGAGAGAGAGAGAGAGGTGTGGGCATATAACCTCCTCCTGAAAACATCCACTGACCTCACTTGACCTCTATCAAAGTATCAAAGTACTTTTATCAACCCATTTTACAGACGGGGACACTGAGGCTGGGCAGGCGGAGTGGTTTCCCCAAGGCCGCACCCACAGCATGTGGCAGGGCTGAGCGTCTGGTTCAGAGCCCTATGTTTTTCATTAGCCACACTCAGCCCTCGTTCCTACTGCCGAGGCCCCAACCAGCTCTTCATCGGGAATGCGTTAGGAGGTCACGTGGGCAAATATTTATAAAGCACTTAGCGCCGTGTCTGAGCACAGGCTGGGCGCCATATATGTGTTTGTCAAGTAAATATAAGCGCCAACTCTTCAAAATCCTTCTTAGTCACTCCTTCCTCTGCCGGAGCCGCACTCATGGGTCCAGCTTAGTAAGTAAAAACAGTCTTTAGCCCCGGACGGTGTGGCTCAGTTAGGTGGGCGCCATCCCGGGCGCTGAAAGGTTGCTGGTTCGATTCCCAGTCAGGGCACATGCCTGGGTCACAAGCTCCGTCCCCAGTAGTGGGTATGCTGACAGCAGCCCATCCATGCTCTATTCTCACATCGGTGTTTCTCTCTCTCCCTTTCCCTTCCCGTCTTCCTAAGAGTCAATTAAAGAAAAACATTTTTAAAGCAGTCTTGAGTGTCCACAAGAATGTCACGCAGATTCTGAGCCCGAATCCTGGCTCCGCCCGTGCCCAGCTGCATGGCCTCAGAGGCAAGTCCTTTCGCCTCCCGGAGTCTCAATTCCCGTAGCAGTAAAATGGGGATAAAAACAGCATTTACTCCACCAGGTTTTGAGGATTCAATTAAAAATGCCTGGAGAGCCCAGCCGGCGTGGCTCAGCGGTTGAGCATCCACATGTGAACCAGGAGATCACGGTTCGATTCCCGGTCTGGACACATGCCCAGGCTGTGGGCTCCATCCCCAGTGGGGGACAGGGCCCACCAATGATTCTCTCTCATCATTGATGTTTCTATTTCTCTCTCCCTCTCCCTTCCTCTCTGAAATTTATATACATATAAATGTAAATGCCTAGGGAGTTCTGGCACAGAGTTGGGACACAAGGAGGGCCCGACCCCCATCTCATTATCTCCCAAGAGGCAGAAGCGGAGCCAACGGCCTGCCAGTACTCACTGGGGGTCAGGGTCCCGTCTCCCAGTACAGGACTGGTTCTCTACCCCGCCCCCCGTGCCCTGCGGGGAGAAGGAGGTTTACGGAGGCCGGTAAAGGCGAGGGAACATTAATTCCAGTTAATAAAAAAAACACTGTCATTTCCCACTCAGGGACATTTCATATCTCGCATGTTGGTTTAAGAACTCGGAGGACCATTTCCAAACCCAGCCATAAAGGACAAGACTTCCTCCTTCTGCCCGCCGTGGAGCTCGTCCTGACCACCGGGAGCTGTTCAGATCCAAGGTCACAGCCAGCCCCAGGAGGTGTTCCTCTTACTCCACAGTCTTCAAAATACTTAATTATTCCCTAATTGTGTGATGTGCTCTGACCTCGCCCGGCAGAGCTGGCATGGGAGGTGGGTGCTGCTAGAGCAGGGGCTCAGCTACCTCGGCACCTGGGCTCCGGCACCCTGTCTCTCCTGAGAGGGACAGCACTGTGTGGTCATGACTTTTCCCTGTGGCATCTCTGCCCCCAGCAGCAACCAGCACAAGGCCAGACGCATTCAAGGCGCCAAACACACACGTGTCGAAGGAGCAGCTGTGTGTCCACAGGCAGGGCTGAAGGTGCGTGCATGCGCCTCTGCAGCACACTAGGATGTCCGTCTTCCCGCCGGAATGGGAGCTTGGGGCCAGCCACCCCAGCGCAAGGCTGACAGCGGCCAGGTGGGATGTGTTGAATTAAAAAACCCATTTCCTGCCGAACCGGTTTGGCTCAGTGGTAGAGCGTCGGCCTGCGGACTGAAGGTTCCCAGGTTCGATTCCGGTCAAGGGCATGTATCTTGGTTGCAGGCACATCCCCAGTGGGGGTGCGTGGAGGAGGCAGCTGATCGATGTTTCTCTCTCATCGATGTTTCTGGCTCTCTATCCCTCTCCCTTCCTCTCTTTAAAAAAAATCAATCAAATATATATTTAAGAAAAATAAAAAACATTTCTTCAGCATGGAGCAGAGAGCAGAATCTCGGAGGGAAAGCGGGGAGGGTGGGTGGGAGGTCATCAACCAAGAACCTTGTGTGCATATATGCATGGCCCGTGGCCACAGACAACGGGGCGCTGAGGGCCTGGGAGGGGAGAGGTGCTGGAGGGCCAATGGGGAAAAAGGGGGGACATATGTAAAACTTACAACAATAAAGATTTTTAAAAAATGTTTTTAAAAATCCATTCCCACCAAAACCGGTTTGGCTCAGTGGATAGAGCGTCTACCTGCGGGCTGAAGGGTCCCAGGTTCGATTCCAGTCAAGGCCATGTACCTTGGTTGCAGGCACATCCCCAGTAGGGGGTGTGCAAGAGGCAGTTGATCGATGTTTCTCTCTCATCGATGTTTCTAACTCTCCATCTCTCTCCCTTCCTCTTTGTAAAAAAAAAAAAAAAAATCAATGAAAAATATTTTTTTTAAATCCATTTTCTCTTAGAATTTGGGGCTCAGAGAGGCGAAGTGATTATTCAACACCATACAGCTGGTCAGCAGAGGAGCCCAGCCAGGTCCAGGCTGCCCTGGCAGGAGCCCAGCTCACACTTCCCCCGGCCTGCTGCCTGGCTGACTCACCTTCCCATCTGGCACTCGGCTGTACCCACTGAAGGGCAGGGGCCCTGGCGCCGTGGGCCTGGTGTCAGAGAGGTGTGGGCGGGGGCCCGGGCAGGAGGCCAGGCAGAAGGGCAGGCAGGCCCAGCAGCACAGCAGGACGTAGGCGGCAGAGAAGCCCACGGAGCACAGGATGATGAGCAGGAGCCGGCCCTGGGGAGACAGCGGTCATAAGGTGGGGGTGCGGGGAATATATGCAAAGTAGGAAGATGGCGGCCTGTAACACCGCCCCCCCCCCCCCCCCCCCGCCTTCCACAACCACATCAAAATTACAACAAAAATACAGGACACCAGTCATCCAGAACCGCTAAAAGGTGGCTGACAACTAGAGAGGTAAAAAAGAGAGCACTGAGGCTGGCAGAAGGTGCAGAGGTGCAGAACAGGCTGGTCCAGCACCCACATGTTCCGCCTTTTGAATTGGGAGGGAGATCATCTCTGTGAGGCCACAGGAGGAGCAAGGCGTCCCAGCCCCACACCAGACGCCCAGCCCAGGGTCCCAGGCAAAGGAAGTCTGTACGGGCAGTAAGAACTATGGGCTGTAAAAACCAGTACAGACTGGGGCTCACTGACCCAGATGTTCCTCTTAAAAGGCCGGTGCATGAACTGAACTGAACTTACAAGGTTCCACTTCCTCCGAGCTCCAGCACCAGGGCGAGGCTCGGGGGAATCAGACACATACGGGGAGGAACTGGATTGTCTGGCATCAGGGCAGGAACCAGAGGCAGCTTTCTCTCAGACTGAGCTGCTCACAGGGATCAGTGCTCCTATGCTGGGAGCTCCCTGGTGGCAGGGCTGACTGGCAGCCATTTGTTTTCTCCTCTCTAGTGATTCCCTAAGACCCTGCCTCCAATTTACAACCCCACCCAAGCTGCCTGCAATGGCTTTTGCATATGAATGGCCTGTCCTTTGCTCAGGCTAAAATTTCAAACAAGCTGCAGCTGGGTCAGGGAGCCCCAAACCTATTAATACCAGCACCAGCACCAGCCTGCCTTGCTTCACAGCTGGGCCTCATCTGGGCACTTCCAAACCTGATACCAAGAGGAGGAATCTGCAGATCTCTCTGTAGCTCCCACTGGGTGGCCCCGGGCAGTGGCTGACTTTGCACCTCCATGGAGACCCAAAAGCCAGTGTATCCAATAGTCAGTGTGAGACCATACCAGATTAAAACTCTTCACATCCATAAGCAACACACTCAAGGAGAGACTCAGTGAGCACCAAAGCCCCACTGAAGCAAGTTCTGCCTCATAAGGGTGTCTCCTGCACTGCAGCTCTCCCACTGTAGTCGAAGCTGGTCCTGGTAACCAATTGTCCTGGAGGTCAACAGCAATCAAGTCTCAACTACAATAAGACTGTGCTCACAGCCCACAAAGGGTGCACCTAGAGCTCAAGTGACTGGGGAGACTGAGCCCTGGGCCCTATAGAACCCTCTGTCAACTCAAGGAGACATACAGCTCTACTCAATACATAGACACAAACACAGGGAAGCAGCCAAAATGTGGAAATAAAGAAACATGTCACAAATGAAAGAAATGGGAGAAAGCAAAATACTGAATATAGAGTTCAAAACCATGGTTATAAGGTTACTCAAGAATCTTCTAGAAACCTCCAAAATCTTCCATTTAAAAAAAAAAAAAATGGAAAAGGACCAGTCAGAAATTAAGCGTACACTGACTGAAATAAAGAATAATACACAGGGATTCAATAGTAGAGTAGAGGATTTTGAGAATCAAATCAATGATGTGAAATATGAGGAAGCAAAAAAAAAAAAAAAATCCAACCAGAGCAAAAAGAAAAAAAAGAATCAAAAAATATGAAGATAGTGTAAGGAGCCTCTGGGACAACTCCAAGCATATGAACATTCACATTATGGGGGTGCCAAAAGAAGAGAGAAGAGAGCAAAATATTGAAAACCTATTTTAAGAAATAATAACAGAAAACTTCTCCCACCTGGTAAAAGAAATAGACTTACAAGTCCAGAGAATCCCAAATACGAGGAACCCAAAGAGGACCACACCAAGGCATATCATAATTAAGACGCCAAGGGCTAAAGACAAAGAGAGAATTTTAAAGCAACAAGAGAAAAGCAGTTAGTTACCTACAAGAGAATGCCCATATGACTGTCAGCTGATTTCTCAACAGAAACTATGCATACCAGAAGGGAGTGGTAAGAAATATTCAAAATGATGAAGAGCAAGGATCTACAATAAGATTACTCTACCTAGCAAAGCTATCATTTAGGATTGAAGGTCAGATAAAGAACTTCACAAAGAAAAAAAAGCTAAAGAAGTTCACCACCACCAAACCAGTATTATATGAAATGTTGAAGAGTATTCTTTCAGAAGAGGGAGAAGAAAAATAAAAAGATAAAAAATCTGTACAACAAAAACATACCTGCCAACAACTGAATCTAAAAACCAAATTAAACGAATAAGAAATCTAATGAACAGCCGGGACTGATTTGGCTCAATGGATAGAGCGTCGGCTTGGGGACTGAAGGGTCCCGGGTTCGATTCTGGTCAAGGGCATGTACCTTGGTTGCGGGCACATCCCCAGTAGGGGGTGTGCAACAGGCAGCTGATGGATGACTCCCTCATCGATGTTTCTAACTCTCTATCTCTCTCCCTTCCTCTCTGTACAAAATCAATAGAATATATTTTTTTAAAAAGAAATCTAATGAACAAAATAAACTGGTGAATAAAATAGAATCAGAGGCATGGGAATGGAACAGACTGAGGATTCTCAGAGGGAAGGGGGTGGAAGGGTGGAAGAGATTAAACAAAGATCTTATATATGTATTACCATAAAGTGGCAAAGGCCTGGGGTGGGGTGGGAAACAGGTGGAGGAGGGCAATGAGAGGAAAAAAGAGGGACATCTATAATAATCTCAACAATAAAGATTTAAAATTTTTTAAAAAATAAATAAGGTGGGGATGTGGGTCCCTGGGGCTCATAGAAGCTTCTATAAGGAGGCTGTACCCCAGCTTCCTGGGTCTAAACTCCAGCTCAGTAGCTCTTAGAACATCAGCAGAATCCAAAGTCTCCATTAACCAGGCCTTCTGGGCTGCCAGGCGCAGTGCACAGGAGGCTCCGGAGAAATGGGTTTGAATGAAGTGTGTACCTCAGATCCGTACAGCAAGAAAACTGGGTCCTGAGCCCGCAAACCCAGGCTGCAGAGCCCATGCTCTCAAGCAGAGGCCGAGGCGCACTGTGCAGCCTGGGGTATGTCTCTCCACCTCTCTGGGCCTCTTTCCGCCTCTACAAAATAGGAGAAAGTGCTCTGTATACTGAAAAGCACGGCGCATGTGAGGCAGGAGAGCGCTCATCGGCAGTGCAACCAGCCCCCTCAGACCCTGGACCGCGGCTGCCAGGATGACATCCTCCAGCCGCTCCACCCGCTGACTCAGTAGCAGTCCGCCAGGCTGATGACCATGATGTGGGTCAGCAGTCTAAATGAGTAAGGATGCCGAGAAGGGATGTGAGGGACGTGTCATTCAGGAAATGGCTGCCCTGGCCGGGTAGCTCAGTTGTTAGAGCATCATCCCGATATTCAAGATTGCAGGTTCGATCCTCGATCAGGGCACATGTAAGAATCAGCACTAGCTGGATGGCTCAGTGGATAGAACATTGGCTTAGGGAGTGAAGGGTCCCAGGTTTGACTCCAGCAAAGGGCATATGCCTGGGTTGCAGGCTCTATCCCCAGTAGGGGGCATGCAGGAGGCAGCCAATCAATGATTCTCTCTCATCATTGATGATTCTATCTCCCTCTCCCTCTCCCTTCCCCTCTGAAATCAATAAAAATATATTTAAAAAAAATTTTTTTAAAGAATCAACAATGCCCTAGCTGGTTTGGCTCAGTGGATAGAGCTTTGGTCTGTGGACTGAGGGGTCCCAGGTTGTGGGCTCAATCCCCAGTAGGGGCCATGCAGGATGCAGCGGATCAATAATTCTCTCATCATTGATGTTCCTATCTCTTTCTCCCTCTCCCTTCCTCTAAAAATATATTTACAAAAAGAATCAATCAATAAATGCATAAATAAATGGAACAACAAATCAATGTTTCTCATTCTCCATCACTCTCTAAAAATCAAAAAAGGAAGGAAGGAAGGAAGGAAGGAAGGAAGGAAGGAAGGAAGGAAGGAAGGAAGGAAGGGAGGAAAATTCAATAATTGAAAGCTACTGCCTCCAGAAGCCATGTATCAAAGGCCACTTGAACTAAGAAGCCCTACCCGAGGGCTGCCCTGCCATCGGCATTTGTGACAGCCCCAACCAAGCCTTCAAGGAGGGGTGCCCGGGTTGGTGGTGGTTGGAGGGAGAGGTCATGACCCAGGACTGCCATCCTGTCCTGGGCTACCATTGTCACCACCTGTATTCCTCTGGACTCTGACTTCCTCCAAGCCTGCCAAGGCCCAGGCCTCAGCCAGCTGTGAGGAATGCCTAGCGGCTGGCTGTGCTCTTAGGAAACCAGAGGTGCAAAAGCAGTCCCCCCCGCCCGGAATATTTCGATGAAGCACAACCTTTTCTGCCCACAAACCATATCAACTTCTAAAAATAAATGTCTGTGTGGCCAGCTGGGGGATGGGGTGGGGACTGTCCAGCCCCTGAGTACTCAGCCTCGGCCTGGCATCCGGTGCCTGTGCACGAGGGACCAGAGATCTCTGTTCAGGCAGGGCTTGCTGGCTCTCTCCCACGCCCAGGGCTCACGTCAAGAACAGCCAAACTGAACTGTCACCCCACAGCCCACTCCCATCCTGGGTGAGCCCCAGGATGCTCACAGAAGATAGTATTATCTCCATTTTACAGGGGGTGGGGGCACTGAAGCCAGAGAGCGCCGCCTGTTTGGGGCCACACCGCCCGCTAGATCAGAGCTGGACCCTGAGGCCAGTCTGCCCTCTCCTCAGCTCAGAGGGGTCAGAGGGGTCAGTCCTGGGGCGAGCGAGGCCGCTGAGGCTGCTGTGTCAGAGCCACCTCCTAGTCCCCGGCGAGCTTTCCTTTCTCCCACTTACCCGAGCCTTCATGCTGTGCTGTCGCTGCCGCTCAGCAGCAGGGTGGCTGCTGTCTCCGGGGCTGGGAAGGGGTGGGAGCCAGGCACCTGTCAAGACCCAGAGACTCAGAGCTGGGTCCCAGGCCTCAGAGGAAGCTCCTTCCCAGGGAAACTGAGGCAGGGGAGGGTACAGGCCGGAGTCAAGGCAAAGATCTTGCGAAAATCGAAGTCCCCAAACACCAGGCAGCGCTGTCCCGGTCCTTTGAACACGTCCACCAACCCAAATCCCATTGTGCAAATGAGGAAGGAGAGGCAGAGAGAAGGGGAACCCTGGGCTCAAGGTCACCCGTCGGATCTGGGTCAGATGGAACCAGGAGCCCGGCGCTCCGACCCCCCACCCACCCTCCCACCTCACTACCCGCGGGGCATGAAGAGGCCTGGGGAGAGGCAGGAGGATTTCCGCTCCTCTACCCGCTTCCACCGCTCCCTCCCCCCGCCGAGCGCTAACCGAGAGGGCAGGTTGGGACCTGCCGGCTGCTCTGGATCCGCTGCTCGGAGCTCCATGGCCCGCGGGCCGGGTGAGCCGGGCTGGAGCCCCGGGCCTCCGGGCACAGGGAGCGCCCCAGCCGCAGCTTCGACAGCTGGAAGGCGAAAGTGCGCTGCCCGCGGCGGGGGCGGGGCCAGCGCATCCAGGGCGGAGACTGGGGAGGGGCGGGGCCGGAGTGGCGAGGGCGGGGCCAGCGAATCCAGGGCGGAGACTGGGGAGGGGCGGGTCCAGAGCGGCGGGGGCGGGGCCAGCGAATCCAGGGCGGAGACTGGGGCTAGATGGGCGGGGCCTTGTGGGATGGGCGGGGCTACGAGTCCGGCCTGCCGCTGGTTGCCAGGCCTTTGGCGAGTCGAGGGCGGGGCCTGCGGGCGGGAGGTGGCCTCAGCACCGGGGTGGTGTCGGAGCTCAGCATCCTCCCCCCCCCCTCCCCCCCCCCCACCCCCCGCTTTTCCGTCCCGCCACATGGGTCTCCGCTCCTGCCCAGCTCGGGCTGAGCGGCCCACAGAGGAAAGCCTTTCAGAACCGCTCCATCGTGGCTGCCTGGCCGTCTGGACCAGAGTTCCTCCATGTCTGAAATGGGGGAGTCTGTAGGAAAATTAAACAGGGGCTTAGGGCCAGGCAGCCCTGAGTCTCAAGTTGGTAGGCTTGTCAGTGAAGAATTCCATAGGAACAACGAATCATTAAAAATCTGAAGTTCCGGTGGAACTGGGTGTCCTGCATTTTCTGTGGCAGCCCTACTGGGATGTCTCTGATGGTGTAACCTTCACGGGAGCCTCAGCACTTCTCTGAGAAGCGGGGTAACAGCACTTGCCTCCCTCCTCGTGAGCGGGTGCAGGACAGCTTGTGGCAGTCAGATCCACCCTCTGGGCAGACCCACTCCAGATCCAGGGCTCAGACCACCATCTTCACTTTCCAAAGCGCCCTCCGCACCCAACACAACTCAGTGCAGGCCCCGGCGGGTGCTGAAACATGTCCCATCTGAAGGCTCAGGTGGGGTCCCTTAGAGATTTCAAACTCAAGTGCCTTCAGGGGTCAGACATGGGACAATGGGGAGGGGTAGGCCCGTGGTGACGTGAAAAGCATACTTTCCATTTAAAGTGTTGTTTTTACAAAATACTTCATGGTCCAGAGAGCTCACCTTACCACCCCACCACACCCACCGCCCTCTGCAGGGCTTGGCCTGGGCGCCAGCCTGTGCTCTGGCTCTGGCTCCGTTCCAAAGTCCAGGTTCCTGTTTCTCAGAGGCTCTGGTGTGGGCACAACCTCAGGGCATTCACGCTGGGTATCTGCACTCAGCTCAGTAACCTCTCCAGGCTCCCCTGCTCGGGGTGCCAAGCCAAGTCGCTCAAGCTGGGGTTCCAGGCCTCTGGGTCTCTGCCCATCCCGCTGAAGCAGCTCTGCCTCCTGCCTCCCCCGCCCTGGGCACCCTTCTAGGGTAGCGGTCCAGGCTCAGCCTCTCTCTGGGGCCTGTCATTCACACAAGGCAAGGCTCACAGTGAGTGCCCAAACCAGAACCCGTCAGCTTCCCCCGGGTCCCCATCGGTCCAGTTTCTGTTTTCATAGACCCAGCCCCTCGGGGGCAATGGTGAGAAGTTCGCTCCTCACCCGCTCTGGCTGGTGAAGTGACCTCTCCTCCCGGAAAGAGGCAGCTCCCTCCTCGCGAGGGCTGCGCGGAGCCGGGGACATGCCCAGATGGCCGGGCTCCCGGAGCAGGTGAGGATCCTGCACCTACAGACGGACCCTGGCAGTCCCACCCCCGTTTCAGACACAGCTCTTCAATTGGGTTTTGACAAAAGCCTACCCTCCTTCAAAGGCTCTGCAGTTTGAACTCCTGCCTCCCACAAGCACCCACCTCGGTCACCTTTCCAACCCCCAATCACACTGAGCTCAGGGACTTTGCATTTGCTTCATCCTCTCCCGGGACGGCTCTGTTCACGGGGCCAGCTCCTTGTCATTCAGTTCTAATGTCACCTCCTTGGCAACCACTCTGTCCAACACTGCACCCCATCCCTCCTGACCCACCTCGGTTCATCTTTTCCAAGAACTTGCCACCCTCTGAAATCATCCTGTGTATTAACTGGTTTTCTTGCTTATGGTCTACCCCAGTGGTCAGCCAACTCATTAGTCAACAGAGCCAAATATCAACAGGACAATTGAAATTTCTTTGGAGAGCCACATTTTTTTTAACTTACACTTCTTCTAACGCTGCTTCTTCAAAATAGACTCGCCCAGGCTGCGGTATTTTGTGGAAGAGCCACACTCAAGGGGCCAAAGAGCCGCAGTTTGCCGACCACGGGTCTATCCACCTATTATACTACTCTAAGCTCTGTGTGGGCACTCAGGTCTGCCATGTCCTCAAGGCATTTCTAGCACCTGCATAGAGCCCAGCACATACGATGTCTGTGGAATGAGCAACTTAGGGGAGTCAAGAGTCTGGGCCCGGAGAGATCTTGGGCAAGTCATTTCCCTGCCCAGCGCCAGACCCTGCCTCAGCTCACTGCCAGAGACCCAGAGGGAGTGGGGGCTGAACCATCCTTACCTAGGAGCGCAGGACTCCAGGGCTCAGACTCAGCCGTCTGGATACAACCCCCTGGGACATGTGGGGCCAAACCCGTTTCCTGCTGTGCTGCCTCACCACCAGGCGTTTCCACAGCCCGCCCACCTCTGGGGGGGGGGGGGGGCAATGAGCCGCACACCCGCTGTCTCAACTTCCTATGAGTCAGAACCAGAAGTTCTCATGGCTTTGCTAGCTCAGACAGATTGTCACCCAAGGCCACCCAGGGATCTAGGGGATGTCAATTACATACCGAGATCTACATTTGTACCTGTGTCTGTTTCTAGATCTGTACCTCCAGGAACCACACTCCAGGTTGCAACATAAGTTTTCCCTCTCCTCGTCCTCCCCCATCAGCCATTCTTCTTCCTTTTCTCGGAAGGCCAGTGGAATGGAGTGTTTGAGAGGCTTTCCCGAAATCCAGAGTCATCCAGTCCTGGCAACCAGCTCTTGGCCCACACAGCTCCCCACCCACCACACTGTCCCCACCCACTCTCAGGACCAACCACTGGGAAATGTTTCTTTATTTCAAACTAGAGGCCCGGTGCATGAAAATCTGTGCACTCAGGGGGCGTGCATCCCCCTCAGCCCGGCCTGCGCCCTCTCGCAGTCCAGGACTCCTTGGGGGATGTCTACCTGCCAGGTCTCCAGGGGATCAGGCCTACGCTGGCAGTCAGACACCCCTCTGGCAGCCCTGGAGCGCTCAGGAAATGTCAGACTCGCTCCCCACGGACATCCCAGTTGGACGTCCCAGCTTCTGGCTAAGCGGTGAGAGCGCACTGACCACAGCTCCTGCATTGAGTGTCTGCCCCCTAGTGGTCAGTGAGCTTCATAGTGGCTGGTCGCTCCAGGTGGGTCCCCCATCAGGGTCAATTTGCATATCACCCTTTTATTATAGAGGATGTCAACGTGCTCTCACCCTAGCCCTTTGCTGTGCCCTTAGCTGTGCCCAGCGCCTGACATTGGACTCTTGTGATCTCAGTTTATAGGTTAGAAACAACCCCACCCATCAGCTACTGAGGTTCCCCTTCCCTGACCTCTGTGGCCCCATGGTCCTTCACAAGGCTGTCACACCCGGCCGCCTCTGTCACCGGCTCCCCCGCCCCCACCCCAGCCGGTGAGCTCTGTGAAGGTGGGGTCTGTGCTCCACTCCCAGGCCCCCCGAGCCCAGCCCGTCACACAGCAGGAGCTCAATAAATATTTAATGAGTGAATAAGGTCCATCTTCATCCTCCCACTTTACAGATTAGGCTGCCGAGGCACAGAGAAGGTTAACATCGTGTCCCGGTCGCACAGCCAGGCCCCGGAGCAGCACTAGAGGAGAGGCCTGCATGGGCATGGCCAGATTGGGCTGAGGTCAGAGGCCGGGCTGGAGTCTCCTGGAGGAGGGAGAAGGAATGGTCAGGGGCTCTGCAGACACTTTGCTTCTCTGCTCCTGGGGATGTCTGCTTGGCCAGGGCCCTCGGTCTGCCCACCGCCCCTGTCCCCATTTCTCCGATGAGAAAAGTGACTATCAGGGCAGCGCTTCCCGGAGCTGCAGGCCCCGCCCTGCCCCACCTTCTCCTACCTGAACCCTCAAAGGGGCCTCCTTGAGCTGGGGGCAGGGGGAAGGGAGGCCTGGAGTTCTGGGGCTAGCCTTGTCACTTACCCGTGCATAAGCCCCTGGACATCTCTGGGCCTCGGTTTCCCCATCTGTAGGACAAAGGGCCTGGGCTGGGCCTCAGCCTCCCCGCTGTCTGAGAGCCTGAGGACAGGGCTGTGGGGGCTGGTACGAATACAGGCTCCTGAGTCCCAGAGGCACAGCCGAGTCCTGGCTCCAGCATTTATTGCTGAGTGATCCTGCTCAGTCCCTTCACCCCATGAGCCTCCATCTCATGGTCTGTAAAAAGAGGATAATAGCTTTTTTTTTTAGGATAAAATGAGCTAATATGGGGAGTCCCTGGCAAAATACCAGCCAGGCACAGCATCGCCATTCAATAAGGTGGTGATATTATTATAGTTGGAGAATGCTGCCCTCTGGAGGCCGGCTGGGGGAACAGCAGGCTGGGGGAGCCCGGCCCAGCTGGCACCTGCAGCCTGGCCTGAGCCCATTGTCCAGGCGGGGAGGGCGGGCCCCGCGCCGGCCGGGCCGGCCGGTCACTCGGTGTGTGCCTCCACCCACTGGCAGAGGCGCCGGGCGTAGAGCGCCGGGCTGACGGTGGAGAAGGCCCGGTTGGGGTAGCGCAGCGCCTTCCACAGGTGCTCCAGCCGCTTGCGGAGCCCGTAGACGGTGGCCAGGTCCACCAGGCCCAGGAAGTAGCGCTGCTCTGGACCGTCCACGATGTGAAGCGCGTTGGGGCCCTCGGGCAGCAGACGGAGGTTCTGCGCTCCCGGCTCCGTCAGGCTCTGCAGGCCTTGCACAGACCTAGGGGCCGACAGGGGGGCGAGGCTACCACCTCCCTCCCAGGCTCCAGCCAACTGGCCCCGGAGGCGCGGCCAGGCCGCCCTGGGCTGCACTCTGCCCTCACCCTGTGCTTTCCTTGCTGATTCTCCCGCCTCTGAGTGCCGGGCCTGTGAAGTCAGGTACACTGAGCAAAGTGTAGCTATTGGCCTAGAGTGGCACTGGCCCCTATGTAGCCACCAGCCAGACACGTGTGGCCTTAAACGTGGCCGGTCCCAACTGAGATACCCTGTAAGTGTAAAATGCATTCCCAATTTCTGGGACAGGGGGAGCAAAAGAATGTGAAAAAATCTCATAGATGTTTGTATTGACTAGATGATGAAATGCTACAAATGTGAAAGTATGGAGTAAATGTATTTACGTTCTTCTCTACCCCTTTCTCTGTCTTTTAAGGAGGCTGCTAGAACGTGTAAAACTCCTGGGTGGCCCTCTTTATGCTTCCAATGGGTCGCACTGGTCCAGAGCAGCGGGGCCACACAGACCCTGGCTCTGCACACGGTGCCACAGCACTCCGGGAAGGCCCGGGATTTGGGTATTTCCTAAACTTCCGTTCGGGGCCGTCCAACCCTGAAGTTTCAGTGTGGCAAAGCGGAAGCCTTGGGAACAAAGTCCAACCCCAGTTTGCAGATGGCATGTCTCCCCCACCCCCAAATCAGAAGATGCCTGGGACCGGCCGCCAGCCCCAGCCAGAAGCAGGCTCAGTCCCCTGGCTCTGCACTCCTAGGGGCGGGGAGAGGTGAAAACGGGGAGCCGCTGAGGCGTTCTATTCCTGCCTCGCGCAAACGCACACCCACCTTCCCGTCTTCAAGTCCTGGCCTGTTCCGTCCCCTCCTCACCCACCGCCTGCCTGTCCCTCCTGCTCCCATCGCCGCATTCTCGCCGTGCCCAGGGCCCACCTGGCCGAGCGGAAGACCAGGCTGCCGCCCGGGCCCCGCTCGTCCTCCTGCAGCTGCTGGGAGGCCATCAGCAGGCTGTAGTCCAGCAGGTTGAGGTCCCGGAGGAAGGCGGTGTCCAGCTCCATCTGCCGGAGAAGCCAGCTCCGCTGGGGCCCTGAGGGAGCACGGGCACCCGCCTGAGTGCCCGCCGTGTGCCGGGCGGTGCTCCACCCGCGCGCCTGCCCCCAAAGCTAGGCGTCAGGACGCCCCCCTTCACAGACTCGGAAACTCATCTGTCCCTGGCCGTGGCCAACCAGCTGGTCAATTGTGAGGCCGGGTTTGAACCAGAACCTGGGATCTTATCAGCGTGGTCAGAGGGCAGTGCCAAGGACACCCGCTAACGTCACCCCGAGGGGAAAGACAGGCGTGTGGCCCCGGGGCTCACCCAGGTCGATGGTCTTGCCCAGGAAGTTGAGGTCCTTCAGCACCAAGACCACGGGGCTGCCCTCCGGGGCCGGCTCCACCCAGCGGCTCACCTCGCAGCCCTTGATGTCATACCTGGAGGAGGGATGTGGGGGACACGACAGAAGTCAGCTTTCCACGGGCGTGAGACACGGGGACTCTCCCGGGCAATAACAAGACAGGGGCTTCCACTGGTGAGGGTCCAAACCCCAGCACACCCCCATCCCCTCGCCCCGCCCTCCGTCCCAGCATCTCTGTGAGAGTGGGCCTTCGGGGCACATTCCCAGCGGCCAGCTCACCTCTGGGCAATGCGGCCGGGGGGGTAGAAGATGCTCTGCATGATGATGAAGTATTTCTGGGGACAGGCAGGGAGTGAGGAAGGCCAGACCTCCCCCTGCAGCCACCCCTCCGGCCGCCCGCCTCGCCTCACCCACCTTCTTGCCCCGGGCCACCCGCAGACTGTGCACTCCTGGAAGGGGACAGGGAGCCGGGTGAGGGGCCCCAAACTCTGCAGTCCGGGGTGCAAGGGGCCTGGTCCCAGCTCCAGGCCGCGCCCCCTCAGTGCTGTCACATCCTGAGCCCATCCCTCCAGCTGAGCCCCCAAGCCCCATCCTCAGCGTGGGCAGTGGTGTCCACTTGATCCAGCCCCAGAGATGCCGGGTCTGGCATGGCCTCGCCCACATGCCCAGCCCGGACTGTCCAATCCCAACCCCTTTGGGCCCCACCCGCCACCCCACCTGCCCACCCCTGTCCCACTTAGGACCTGCCCTGCAATGAACTCTGAGAGCAGCCGGATCTGCCTCTAGTCCATTCCCAGCCACCTGGCCGGGCTCGGTACCCCACACCCGCATCCTGGAACATCCCCACTCCCTTTCCCCCCTCCCCTCCTCCCTTCCCCCTCCCCCCTTTCCCCCCCCAGTGCCGGTCCCTGGCCACCGTACCCAGCAGCCGCGCCAGCAGGGAGTGCGGGTGCTGCTGCAGGTGCTGCAGGTAGCGGGGCAGGTGGGCCAGCAGCGCCCGCACCTCCCGGCGCCGCTGGGTCTTCAGGAAGAAGCGCTGGTCATGGCTGGTGTGGGGCAGGGGGGGTCACTGCCTGGGCCCCGGGCCGGGCTGGGGGGCTCCCCCAGGCTCCCTGACCCCTCTGTCCGTGCGTGGCTCTGTCTCCCCAGGGCCAGGCCCTGCCCTGTCTCTCCTCTGCCCAGACGCCACCCTCCACCCCGGGACACCACGTCCACCCTGCCCCCCGCTGCCCGCTCACGACAGGAAGAAGCTGGCGCTGCTCTTGGAGGTGCTGAGGAACTGCAGGTAGGGCCCGCCGGGCCCCAGGGCGGCCTGGTAGTCCTCCTCGGCCAGGCCCAGCGAGTGGCGCAGCCAGGCGAAGGCAGGGCCAGCCAGCGTGCCCAGCTCGAAGCCCTGCGGACGAGGAGGAGCCCCAGGAGTGCCCGCCGGCGTCCTGGGGTGGGCACTGGCCCCAGTGGGGGCCGGTCAGGGGAGCCACACCCTCTGGAAGGCCTTGAGGCTCCGGACCCGTGGGGGAACCGAGGAGGGAGAACAAAGATGGCGTCACAGGCTGAGGCTTCCTACCTTGTGCACCTGGGTCAGGACCTCGGAGAAGTCCGCCTGCGTGGGCAGCCCCTGCGGGGAGGGCAGAGGGCTCAGGGCAAGTCTCAGCCGCCACTGCCAGCCCCAGCCCCACCCCCTTCCCCCAGTGTGACTCCTGAGCTGGGCAGATGGGGCTGCAGACCCTCTCAGGCTGGGGGAGGAGGAGGGGGACCTGAGGCAGGTCCTGGGTGTGACTGCTCCACAGCTGGGTCCCCAGCACCTGGCACGCTCGCCCAGACACACACATTGGCTAAGGGCAGCTGGATGCCACTGAATAAAAGACGATGGCCTTGCCAACACCGGTGTGGCCCAGTGGATAGAACTTCGGCCTGTGGACTGAAGGGTCCCAGGTTCGATTCCGGTCAAGGGCATGCACCTTGGTTGTGGGCATATCCCTAGTAAGGGGGGGTTGGGGTGGGGGTGTGTGCAGGAGGCAGCTGATGGATATTTCTCTCTCATTGATGTTTCTGACTCTCTGTCCCTCTCCCTTCCTCTCTGAAAAAAAAAATCAATAAAATATATATATTTTTTAAAAGAGGATGATGGCCTTGAAGCCTGGGAGGGGCAGGATCGGAGAAGGCTCCGTGGGGGAGGTGACCTGTTAGCTGAAACCTGCAGGGCAGGGGAGAGGAGGAGGAGGGTGCTCATGGCAGTGGGGCTGCATGGTGGCCACCCTGAGGGGAAGGAGGGCCTGAGTGGCCCAGCTGAGTAAGGGGGAGATGGAGAGTGAGTGAGGCTGGACAGTTGGTCCTTGGGCTTGAACAGCAGGACCCCGAGGCCATGATGAGTCCTGGGGAGCATGGGAGGTTGTCAGCAGGTGCTGAGGTCAGACTGTGACTTCCAGCAGAGGATGAGGCTTAGAACATGCCCTGTGGCTCCTCTATTCTCCCTGGGCCTCTGGGGCCCTGTGCCTCTGGGATGTGGTCACACTGTGCACACACATACACACACACACACACACACAACACCCCCGGCCCGGCCAGCTGCTGAGCCTGCAGTCGGGCAGCACTTTCTGCTGAGCCAGCCTGGCCCCTGCCCGAGCTCTGGGGAGGATGGGCCGTGCTGGCAGTGGAATATCCCCTGGCAGAGCTGGGGGGCTCAGACTAAGGCATGCAACCCCCTCCCCCAAAGTCACATTACACAGATGGGGACCCTGATGCCCAGAGAGGCAGAGGCCCATCCAGAGCCACACAGCCACCCCCGGGGGAGGGTGTTCTCACATCCCCAGCACCCCCTGCACTTCCTGGCTCCTGGCCTCAGCCCCAAGCTTACTCTGTCCCCTCCCTCCCTGCCCCCAACCCCCGGTTTTCTCCCCTGATTGCCTTCCGATCCCCAACTCTGCAGTCCAGAAACAGGCACCAGCCTGCCCTTGCCATCGGCCACTCACCCTGGGCGGGTGGTCCATGGAGACCTGGGTGGCAGCCCAGAGCCCTGCCTGCATCATACACGTCAGCCGGTGCAGCTCGTGGCCCGGGCTGATCTCAAACAGGCCGAGGCGCAGCTGCTTGTCTCGGAGACGCCAGAGCAGGCCCCGGCGGCCAGAACGTGAGGCGACTGCTTTGCATCCAGCCTCCGGGGAGGGGGCCAGGACCTGGTGGCAGAAGGCACAAGAAGCACCGAGCATGTGGCAGCGTCGCAGAGGGGAAAGGTGTGGGCGTGAGCCCCGTCCCCACTACTCTGAGCTCTCTCTGCCTCAGTTTCCCCAGCCGTAAAACACGGCTGATGCTGGTGCCCAGCTCACAGGGTGTTAGGAGGGACCACACAGCCTCTGACACGCAGCAGGTCAGAGCACGCAGCTCCGCAGCCAGCCAGCCCCGGCCCAGACCTCCTCTCACCAGCTGTGTGGCCCTGGGTAAGTTGCCTAACCTTCCGGGCCTGGTTTTCTCATCTGCAAAACGAGAGCTATACATCTCGCGGATATTAGCTGCCGTTACTGTTGAGTCTGAGCTCTGGGCACAGGGACCCTTGATAGGAGCTGTGATGCCAAGGGATTCAGCCAAGCACCAAGCACTCCTCTATGCCGAGTCCCTCCCGGCCAGCTCGGAGGAAGCTGAGGTCAGCCGCTCACCCGTCCGCAGTGGGCACCCACTATGTGCCCAGCCCTGGCTGAGAGCTTGGCCTCCGAGCAGCCCTGTGAAGGAGAAGCTTCTAGTATCGTCTCCGTTTTCCCTGCCAGACTTTGCCTTCGAACCTGCGGTTCCCGCGTGGGGCGTGTCCTGGTCCCCGCCCAGGGCAGGACCCCTCCTGAGCTTGGATGGGGGTGTGTCCACCCCGCCCGGAGCGGGGAGGCCCGGCTCCTACCCACGAACCCTTCCTTCTCCTGTCCTCTCTGGGGTCCGCACCTACCTCGCGGGGCCCCGGGCTCGGGGCGGCCATGGCCCCCGCAGCAGCTCCCCGGGCTCCGGCCGCATCCCCCGCCGCCGCCCCGCCGCCGGAGCCGGGCCCCGCCCCTGCTCCGCGCCGACCAATCGCGTGCTGCGGCTCATGGCGGCACCCAATCGGAGCTGGAGTCTCCGGCAGCTGGTCCGCCCCCGGAGCTGCAGCATCCTTCGGCCAGCGGCGCAGGGCGGGAGGGGCCGCGACGCGGTGGTCAGGGTCCCAGGGAGGGAGGACCCCCCCCCCCCCCCCGCCATTCTCCCCAGGGGTGGTGGCTCGGGCGCCGCTTGGGGAGGTGGTAAGCTAAATGCAGTCCCGCCTACCCGCTCTGGCGTGAAATTCCTATCCGCCCGTCTTTCGTCTTTCAGGTGAGGAAATCAAGGTCTAGAGAGAGAATGACTGCCAGCACTCCGGGTCACACCTTAAGTCTGGGGCATGCATTTAATCAACACGAGTATTTTAACACACATTATGGGCAGGAGCAGTGCTAGGCCCCGGGATTTAGTGGTGAATGAGAGGAACACAGCTGCCAGCCAGAGCTTTTGAAAGCATAACATTGGGTGATGTCACTCTCTGCTTAAAGCCTTCACCCCTCCCCCTGGTCCCAGGCCTTCTGCCCACGCCCCAGCCCCATCCCAACGTACTGTCCCTTCCCCACCGCACAGCCACAGGGACTCCCCCCTCTTCCTCAGCCCCCCAAAGCTTCCACACCTCCGGCTGTTGCAAGTGCTGTTCCCTCTGCTTGAAACCCTTTTCCTCAGACTTCCATTTCCTTATTCCTTCCTGTCACCAGGGTTGAGATTTATTTCATTTTTAAATTTAAAAAATATATTTTATTGATTTTTTAAAATATATATTTTATTGATTTTTTACAGAGAGGAAGGGAGAGGGATAGAGAGCCAGAAACATTGATGAGAGAGAAACATTGATCAGCTGCCTCCTGCACGCCCCCTACCGGGGATGTGCCCGCAACCAAGGTACATGCCCTTGACCAGAATCGAACCTGGGACCTTCCAGTCCGCAGGCCGACGCTCTATCCACTGAGCCAAACCGGTTTCGGCTTGGTTGGAATTTTATATAATTGATTTCAGAGAGGGAGAGGGAGAGACAGAAACATCAATGATGACAATCATTGGCCGCCTCCTGTATGCCCCCTACTGGGAATTGAGCTCACAACCCGGGCATGTGCCCTGACCAGGAGTTGAACATTGACCTCCTGGTTCATAGGTTGGCCCTCAACCAATGAGCCACACTGGCTGAGCCTCTCTCATTCTTGATCACATGACCTTGTTTTATTTTCTGTCAGAGATTGTCTTGTCCATTTGTTTACTAAACCTCCTCCTGGAATGAGGTACCAGCGCCAGGCATGAATTGGTGTCTGCTAAGAATAGGTTGAACCACTGCAGTATGATGTGTACAGGACCTTGGCGAGGCCCAGGAAATGAAAGGCCAGCACGGTAGTGGGTGAAGTGACTGAGCAAGCAATGCAGATCCTTGTCGGCCATGTAGGGAGAGGGCTGGGGGCCTGGAGAAGCATTGAGTGAGAGAGATGCTCAAATGTCTTTAGGGTGTTTTTTTCTAAGAACTGTTTTTATTTTTATTTTATTTTTTAAAATATATTTTATTGATTTTTTACAGAGAGGAAGGGAGAGAGCTAAAAACATCGATGAGAGTGAAACATCGACCAGCTGCCTCTTGCACACCCCCTACCGGGGATGTGCCCGCAACCAATGTACATGCCCTTGACCAGAATCGAACCTGGGACCTTTCAGTCCCCAGTCCGTTGTTCTATCCACTGAGCCAAACCGGTTCTGGCCAGTTTTTATTTTTAGAGAGGGAGAGAAACATCAATGTGAGAGAGCAACATCAATTGGCTGCTTCCTGCATACCCACCAGAAATTAAGCCCACAACCTGGGCATGTGGCCTGACTGGGAATCAAACTGGCGACCTTCTGGTGATGGGATGATGCCCGAATGAACCACACTGCCCAGGGCGGCTGAGCTTTTGAAAAGGTCACTGGTTGTCAGCCAGCCAATTTGGAGGGAGCGGGCGGAGGGGCAGAGAGGACAGGAAGCCCCCTGTGATTTTGGGCAGTGGTGGCTTTGCACCCAGGTGTCTGGGTGTGTGTTAGGATTGACAGGATTTGGGGTCTTGTGGATGGAGGTGGGGAGGAAAGCCAATGGTTCTGGCTGGGGGCAGGGGCACAGGATAATGCGTCATGAGAGGGAGCTGGGCATGGGGAGAGCCAGATTGGGGGTGGGGTGTCAGAATTCAGATGACAGGATGAGTCTGAGGGGCCACTACATTTGATGGTAATTTATGTGGGTGGCTGGGGCCAGGTGAGCAGCTCTTCCTGGTCTGGAAGGTGAGAGGGCAAGACAGGTGAGCCTGCAGTTGGCCTTTGTCCTGCAAATGACACCACCACTAACTGGAGGAAGAGGGGACGTCCAAGGTGTGATGGCGCAGAGGCTGACGGAGGCACTGTGACGGGAGAGCTGGGAGAGCTGGCTGCCGAGGGCTCGCTGGGAGCAAGGGCGGGCCTGTGCAGACTGATCACCCTGAACACCGCGGAGCCAGCTCTACTGCAGCTCAGCGCTGCACCAAGCTGGGCTGCTGGTACAAGAGCTGGACAACAGGTCTGGGCTCTTAGGGGCCTGGGCTGAGGGCCCCTAAAACACGAGTGCATGCTGGCCGGGCTGACACAGGGAGGTGTGCTGAGGCTGCTGTGGGGTCTGGCAGGTTGCCAGGCTTCCAGGACACCCCAGCCGCGAGCTGCAGAGGTTGGAACCACACCTGTCCCAGCTCCAGCTTTGCCGTGTGTCCAGCACAGGGGTGACCCAGGAGGCACTGAGGTGCTTCACTGCACAAACCAGCGTTTCCTGCCCTGAGACCAATGCAGGGACCAGCTCCCAGCCCCTCTCCTGCCCAGAGCCCAGCTCCCCTGGTCAGGGATGGCACAGAGGAAAACACACCAACATTTATTGATCAGTTCTCCCCAGGAGGCCAGTGCCAGGGCCGAGGGGCTGGGACTCTATGAGAAGATCTGAGGGCCCAGTGTGCCCCGTGGTCCCAAGGCCTGTTGGCCCTCCCGTTAAGCTTTCCAGGTCAAGTCCTGCGGAGTCCCTGGCTGTGTCAGACCGGAAAGCTGCCTTCGCGGAGAAAAAGGACATGTGGGGAGAGGCCACGTGATGCCTTAAAATGTGCCCATTCCAACATGAGCATGGGAGGCAGGAGGGAAACTGAGGCAGGAGGGTAGAACCCACAGGAAAAAGTGACAGGGAGTCTGACAGTGAGGTAGGGAGGACCAGTATCTTTCAGGCCCCGAGACAGAATGGGGAGAGAGGGAGATTTCCAGGTCCTTCCTCCTGGCTCTGGAAGAGTGAGCAGAAGAGAAGTGGGGGTTCTGGTCAGTCAGGGGTGAGTCCTGAACAGCTCCATCCCCAGGGGTGTCTGGGGGCGGCCATGCTTGAGGGGCCGCAGTGCCTGCCCCGGTCCTGTGTGCCCCCGCCTGTGGCGTGCACCAGAGGGGAGGCGGCTGCATCCTGGCTGGGCCCTCACTGAGCCTTTTTGGTCACTTTCTGGTTCTTCAGCATCACATAGGTGATGAACAGCCCTGGAATACACAGAAAGACCAGGTAAGAGCCAGGGCACAGCATGGCAGAGTGATCCATACAGGGGAACAAGGACCTCCCCAACCACCGTCCAGGCCACTTGGCCATCTCCCTAGTCAGCCATCAAACCGCACATCCGCCCACATTCATTCAACAAACATCACTGAGTGCTTACCACGGGCCATTTGCTGCGTTTAGTGTTTCAGATTCTACAGGATACAGGATCCACCCAACTATCCATCTCACCAGCAACCACCTGTCCCCCACCTACCTGTTTCCCACCTGCCCACTCAACATCCAGCATCCACTCACCCACCTCCTCCATCATCCAGTCCTCTGATTGCTGACTCATTTAAACCACTTTCTTAAGCACCAGCTTAGTGCCTCGGCCTGTGTGGGAGCCGAGGACACAGTAATAACGAAGACACAGTCCGAGCACACCCACACACTAAGCCAGCGAGGTAAGAGAGGTGCAGGAATTATGCATCAGGCTGACAAGGGGGTGAGAAGTGGTTAAGGTGTGAGCAGTACAATGATGGTGGTGGTGGAGGGAGCAGGAAAAAGGGAGACATCTGGCATCTGGAAGGCTGACTGTGGCCCTGAGGGATGGACAGGAAGACCCCCAGGGTGAAGTGAAGGCAAAGAGCCCTAAGTAGATGTCCAGCAGGTTCAGAGGTGGGAGAGGATCATGGTTCCCTCCCCAAATGCCCTTTCACGGGAATGATGACTTACCCACAAACAGGAGCAGCAGCAGGCCAGCGGCTAGCGGGATGGCAACAGCATAGGCTCTGGGCAGGAAATACTTGTGGATGACATGCTGGCTGTCGATGAATGGCTGGCATCCAGGGCAGAGGGCTGTGAGCATTCCCCAAGTCCAGCCGCCCCCCCCTCCCCCAACTCAGGGGCTGACCCCACCCAAACCACTGGGACACCATTTGCTTTTCTTTAAGGTGATGGCCATTGGGTGCTTGGTTTGTTTGCTTCCTGCATTTATTTAATAGATGTTAACTGGGCACTTGCCCTAAGTTAGTGTGGGAACCTGGCAGGGAACAGGATAAAGGACTTGCTCTCAGGTCCTCAAGCCTATCAGGGGAAAAGCCTGGAGTGATTCCCAACCTGGGCTCCAAGCTCTTCTTTACTAACATTTTTCTCCAAAGGATACCAAGTTCTGCGAGCCTTTGCCTTCCAAACACGCTGCCCTTCTTAAGCAGTAACAACCGACCACTGCCACCCCAATCCTAGCGGCCCTCACAGAATCCATCGGGTCCCATCATGCCCAGGCGCCAGCAGGATGACCAGAAGGACTAGACCTCCCATCAAAGGCAGAGCAAATCAGGATCAGCGTAGCAGTTAAGGACATGGCCTTGGCCTCAGCCCTTCTTCCCGAGCCTCAGCTTCCTCATCTATAAGATGGGGACGGCACTAGCATCTTCCTTATAGGGCTATTCTGGAGATTTCATGAGATATTCGGGTAAGGCACCTCGCACAGTTCCTGACACGTAATAGCTGCTTAGATGGCGTCAGGGGTCGGCTGCAAGACGCACGCGTGGAGGCGAGAGGGGGCGGTGAGTCACATACCAAGAGGATCACCCAGGCGGTGTAGTAGGTGAAGATGATGAGGCTAACGGCGACGAGGCCCAGTCCCACCACCTGGTCGGTCCCCGTGGCCTGGAGAAAAGGGAGGGCTCAATTGAAGCGACTCCGCTTAGGTGTCATGGAGGGGGCGTCGCAGCCTGATTACGCTGGCACCGAGCGTGCCGGGCCTCGGCGTTTTCATCCGTACAATGGGCCGGCGGGAGAGCAATCCGGCTTCCGATTGCCCAAGCCCCGTCTCCAGAACAGACCTGGGGTCCCCAACCCCAACATCCCACCACAAGCTCACCATTGCCCCACGCTCCTCTCCGGAGCACCAAGCCACATCCGGTTCCGGATCCGGGCCCTTCAGGCCTTCGGCCGCGTAGCACGCCGGGAATCGTAGTCCTTCCGCCGGCCTGCCCAGGCCCACAATGTCCAAGAAAGGTAGGCACCGCCTCCCCGCTTTGCATGTCGGGAAATGTAGTTTCTCAAGAGCGTTGTGGGACGGTTGTTCCTGAATCTTCCTAGGTAAGGGGCGGAATTGAGAATCCAGACTGACTGGTACTCGTGGCCTCAGCCCTGTCGAACCCGCCCAGAAGAAAAGTCCATTTCTAAAGATCCCAAAGTCCCAAGGCCGGAGCGGGAGAGGGTTGGGGAGGGGTCAGAAGTCTCATTTTCCTTTCAGATGGGGAGAATGAGGCTCAGAGATGGCCGAGATCTTGCAGGAGATCACATTTCGAGTCGGTGGCGAAGCCAACACCAGAACCTAGGGCCCTACGTGCTGGTCCCGGGACCCCAACTCGGTGGAAGGGAGGATGCAGAGAAGGTCACACCCCGGCAGGTCACACGCTGGCCCGCCCCGCGAGATGGGGAGGGTTTTGATCAGCTGTCAGGAGGAAGTGCTCAGAGGAGAGGCTTAGTGGGGGGCAGGGGCAGGAGCAGAGCCAGACAGCTCCCGGCCAGGAAGGACCCCTGGCGTCCCTATCCTCCTTCCCTGCAGGGATGAGGCCAGGGTGACCCTCCCTCGCCTCACCGCAGCCTCTCCTGGTTGTCCAGACCAACCCAGGCAGCAGCCGACAGGTTTTTGGCAGCGTCTGCAGGCACCCCCCCTACTCCGGTCCCAGACTTGGAGGCCCTTTCCTCGGAGAGGAAGGGGAGGTGGGGCCTCATCATTGATCTTGGCCGGGCCCTCCAGTTGTGGGGTCTGGAACTCTGCCTTCCCACACCCCGGGGGCTAGCTGCTCCTCACTCAGTATGTCTCACTGGGATGCCGCACATCACAGGGACAACACCTTCACATCTGGACAGGGTTCCTTCCCTCCTCTGTGCTCCGCAGCCCATGTATCTCCATGGGATTGTCACCGCATTTTATTTAAATGTTGTTGTTTTTTTAATTGATTTTAGAGAGAAAGGGAGATGGAAACATTAATGATGAGAATTATTGATCAGCTGCCTCCTGCACGCCCCCTACTGGGAATTGAGCCCCCAACCTAGGCATGTACCCTTGGCTGGAATCGAACCTGGGACCCTTACCCTTCAGTCTGCAGGCCGACACTCTATCCACTGAACCTAACCAGCTAGGGTGTCTCTGCATTTTAATTAGCTGATTGACTTGATCTGGCTCACCTGACTACGGGCTCCCTGAGGATAGTGTGTGGTCACTGCTGTATCCCCAGTGCCTAGAATGGGGCTTTGCACATAGCTTTGAATCAACCCATCGGCTTTAAGATTCCGTGGCTGTTTGGACCTTGGAATATAGCATCGGGGAGTGGGGGTGAGGCACCTAGATATGACCTGAACCTGGCATGTTCCTTCCAGCTGCACCTGTCTCTGGGCTGTCTGAGTCCATCTCTGACCGTGGGGACTGCCCTCCCAAAGCTGATAGAGCAATCTGATTTTTCACTTGGCTATACCCAGTTCCAATGGAGCAACCCTTTTTGGCCAATAGCCCAGTTTCTTCCCTTGCTGTCTCAGGACAGACTCTGGGCTCAGCTGAGAGCCAACGTTTCCTTCCCCAGGCGAGCACTGAGCAGGGGAAGGGACCAAGAATCAGCCTCGAGGCTTCCAGGGGCTATGCCTGGGCACCAGCCATGAGGGCCGGGGATAATGCAGTGGCAGCGACGAGGCCTGGTAGTCTGGTTCCTTCTGGCCTGTCCAAAGCCAGTGAGGTTTCCTGCCACTTCTGAGCTCCTTAAAGGTCCAGGGTGCCTTGTCTAAGAGCTTGGTGCAGACTTCTCTGTAACTTTAAATGGGGCAGGGAGCGAGGGGCCCAGGCCTGGAAATTTAGACAGGGTGGGGACGTGCTTGGGACCCCCCCGTAGGTCAAGCTGTACGCCCACTTTCTCATTTGCAGCGGAGAGAGACTCCAGCTTTCTGTCTTCGGGCACACTTGCTGGAGGACACCTGCTGGCTGGTTAGAACTGGGCTCTGAGGTCAGAGCGGCACTTCCTAGACCTGAGGCTGGCAGGAAACCACACCTGTGGGCTTCACTCCCTCCCCAGCTGCTGGTGTGATAAAGCTGGTAATAACCGTGACTTCAGCCAGGACTTGGAAAAGTCCGGCCACTTACTTTGTCTCCAGCCCCGGAAGCATCACACTTGGCTTCCATCTGATGCTGTCTTTTGACCCCAAAGTCAAGTGGACAAAACAAACAAACAAGAACCAATATGCCATAACAAACAAAAATTGCAACGTTTAATTATTCCCCCAAACCAAGACACTGACACTAGGCTGATTCCCCTTTACAATGTTATTTTCTACGGCAGAAGCTGGGACAGAGACACAAACACAGCCCACTGAATCAGGGTGTGGTGGTGGCAACATTCTGTTAGAAAAGAGGGGAATTAAAAAAAAAAAAAAAAAAAAAGACTCCCCCCACCCCCACCCCCCCATTTCCCTGCTCTCCCCCCTCAAGAGGATGCGGACATTCTCCACCCGGCAGATCGTGCCATGTGGTCAGTTTGTGGGGTGACCAAAAATAATGACCTAAAAATATTGTAGATTTTTATTTTCTTTAAATCTCCTAGTAAAAACGTTAAACTGTCTTCCAAGATTCCAAACTGACATTGCATAGACCAATTCCTTTCCAAAAATATCTCTAATATATTCCTCTCTCTCTCTCTATAGCATTTTAAGCCTAGGAGCCGTGGGCGCCTAGTGGGAAGTCACTGAGTTTGAGGGGGCCGGAGGGCTCCCACGTGAGGACGGGGCCAGGGCTCAGGGCCTCCAGCTCCAGCCAGCAGGAATTTGGTTACGGCCGAATGTGCAGTCCAATCACCCTGGCCCAGGGCCCGGCATGGGAGGATGTGGCAGGCTCTGTCTCCTGGGGTCACTGTCAAGTTCAGACCTCATCTGGAGGGAGGCTGGGGTTCCTAGCTTGGGGAGTCTCCCACCAGCACCAAAACCAGCTGTTTTATGCCCCAAAGCCCCAGAACTGAATCAGACTTCCCGCTGGGCAGAAGTCCTGCAGACACAGGGGGGGAGGGCGGAACCCCATCTTCTGGGGGGTCACTACCTGTGGAGACAGTGCACCCAATCCCCTTTTAAAGTGCCAGGTGTCCATGGGACAGAAGGGACCCACAGAGCTGAGCAGAGCCTTCTCCAGCTAGAGCAAATGCTCCATCCTGCCTCGGCAGGCACCTTCTAACATTCATTTTTTGAAAGGGTTAGGTGATTAATAACAAAAAATCCTAGAAATGTTCTGGCCCAGTGCTGGGAGGTCCTAAGACCAAGGCTCCAACTCGTGCCAGCTGGGGCAGAAAGACAGGGACCCTCCCAGCCTGGGGAGGACCCCTCACTCCCACCCCTACCAGAAGGAGCAGCAGTATCCCACCCTGGCCAGATCACCAGCGCTGCTGGGACCAGTCAGTGGGCGGGGCAGAGAACAGAACCACCTCCCTCACCTGGAGGAGGAAAAATACCTAACTTCAAACCCAAGAAAGGGGGAGAAAAAGAAAAAAAAAGGAAGTGTAGGGGAAAGTAAACACCAGCCTGCTGGGTTTATACAAAAATGGGTAAAATTGAGAGCGGCAGGGGATCTGTCCAGGGCCTGGCTGGCAGCCAGCACCACCTTCAAGCAAGTACTGAGGACAGGGAGGAAAGTGCTCGGAGCAGAGGCTCAGTGAGGGGCAGGGCGGGGGCAGGGCCGGACTGCTCCCCACCAGAACCCCATAAGGACCCCGTGCCCAGAGAGGGGAAGCTTCCAGAGGAGGGCTCAGGCTTTCTGGGCCAGGCAGCCAGCTCCAGCTGGTCTAAACCCAGCCCACCTGCCCCTCCAGCAGTGGCCTCAGCCTGGGCCAGCTGACCCTGAGGGGAGGAAAGGGGTGGTGCTCGCCCAGACCTCCAAGGGCTTGGGAGGCACCTTCCTGGCTTTCTACAAGAAACCAGCTGCTCAGGGCCCAGCCCCGGGCAGAGAGGAACCGTCTTCGAAGCTCAGACCTTTCTCAGCGTGGGTCTCGGGCCTGAGCAGCAGCTAACTAGAGGGAGGAGAGGTGGCGCCACGTGCCAGCCGGGCTGTGAGGGCCGGGCCGCTGGCTGCACAGCAGGCAGGGCCCAGGAATCCTTGGGAAGGGACCAGAGGAAGGGCGGGCGAGGGCCGGTGGGGCTGTGCTGGACACAAGCATGTGCAAAGTGCAGGCTGCCGGGCAGCAGGAGAACATTCGCCGGGGGAGGGAGTCTCAAACTGGAGTGTGGGTGGGGTCTGAGGTCTTGGCCCCCAGGAGGAGGCCGCCAGCAGGTCTCCCGGGGCACAGGGGAGGGGTAGCTGAAGCACTAAGCAGTCAGAGGGCCACGGTGGCAGGGTTCTGGGGGTGAACTGGCCCCCAAGGGCAAGGGGGCAATGGGACAGAGCCTGCCAGGGCATGGTTGAGCTGGTGCTCCTAGAGTGAGCGGGGACACAGGGCAAGAGGCCCCTCGGCCACAAGCAGCTCCGCATGTGTAGGAGCCGCTGCATGTCCTCATCAAGGGGCCAGGTGGGTCTCCAGCAGGGTGTCCTGGCCATCTCTGCCGTGCCCACCTACTTCATGGGCCTGCCCTCTAGTGGTTCAGAGAAGAATATTCACAGTGGTGCCCAGGCCCGAGGCCAGGAAGGTCCCAGCGCGGACAGGACAATGGAATGATGCACTGGGGCAGCAGTGGGGCTGGAGTGCATGGAGGAGGCACAGATGAGATGCAGAGTGGATGGTGACCCAAAGGGGAAGGACCCTCGTGGAATGATGCGGATCTGGACGCCCGCGAAGGCAGGGCCTTTCTCCAGCTGGACACCGGCTCCTCAATGGCTTTCAATCACGACTGGCTCGTACACCCCAGAGGAGACCCTGTGAGGAGAGACAGATCAGCTCACCCAGGAGGCCATGGGGAGATGGCAGATGCAATTCTGAGCCTTGGCAGCAGGGGTCAGCAGAGCAATACCAGGGGGCAGGTCTGGGGCCCTGGGCAGCCCAGCCAAGTTCTCCTCCAGCTCTGGCCCTGGATGTGAAATGGGCACTTTCCCACCCTGCCCACAGGAACCCTGCCTGTGGGCATCTCCTCCACCCATCCGCTCCTTCAGCGAGTCGGGCACACTACGCACTGGCATTCTATAAACTAGAGTTCAAGCCCAAGTTTGACCCTACCACCCTTCCTCCTCATCTGGGACTATCATGAGGGCAAAAAAACTGCTCACCGTCATATACCCAGCACCTCACTCAGTGCCTGGTGCTCAGGGAACACCTGTCCCATACATCATCACGGTTAAGGGGTTCCCAGACCAGGAGGAAGGGAAAGCAGGGTCCAAAATACAGACTAAAGCTGCCGCCCTGTGCCAGGCACTTTCCAAGGCTGCCTCTGACGCCCTGGGCGCCAACCCCGGAGCACTGTCCCAGGTCACACCATTGGAGATGGAGAAACCAAGGCTCAGAGGGAGGTGACTGGCCCCAGGCCACTCTGTGGTGACAAGACCGGGCATTCGAAGCCAGGTCAGCAGGCATCAGAGACCTTGTTCTGGGCACCACGCTCCCATGGCCATCCTGACCACCCCCCGAGCCTTCACCTACCTGTTGGCCAGCTGGATGCCGCTCAGCGTGGTGGAGCCATCGCGGCTCACGAACAGCCGGAGGTTGCTGTCTGCGGGAACAGGGAGAGGCGGAGGCTGAGCAGGGCGGGAGCCCCGGAGCAGGCGGCCTGGCCCCCCGCCCTCCCGCCCGGCGCAGGCCGCTCACCCTCCGTGTTGCTGCCGTCGGTGAAGTCCTGGCTCTGCATGATCTTTTCCACGATGTCGTCGGCGTCGATCCGCGTGTCATCCACCCAGGTCGGGTGGCTCTCCACCGAGTCCTTCTTCCGCCTGGAGCGGGGCGGCAGAGGCACACGGTCAGGGTGGTAACAGCACAGGGACGGCAGCAGTGACCACCTACATCGCTCGGGATGCTCCCCGTGCACAGGAGAGTGGTTCACGTGGTTGTCACGTGACGCATGCCGCCCTGCTGTGCAGGTGCCACCATCACGGTCTCTCAGAGGAGGACGCAGAGGCTGAGAGGCCTGGCAGGGACCTCTGGCACACTAAGTCATACACAGCAACCGCGGACGGAGCACGTGCACGCCAGTTAGGTCAGGGCCGACTCATGAACATCAACTGTCTGAGTCATCAGCACCCAGCCCTGAGGCGGGGACTCTGGTGTCCCGTGTCACAGGCAAAGGAGCAAAGGTTCAAGGAGCCCCCGGGAGGGGTCTGTTCTCCAGAAGGCTGAGCAGAGACTCACCGGAACGAGCGGTCTGACAGATGCGCAGGCCGGGGCGGCCGGGGCGGCTTCTCGGGGGGCCGGTGCTCACGCTCGCCCCCCTCGGGGCCCTCCACCGTCATGCTGAGGCCACCGGAGGCGCTGCTGCTGGTGGACGTGTTGCGACGGTGCGTCAGGTCGGAGAGGCTGGAGGAGCGGGAGTGCTCCGTGCTGTAGCCTGGGGGGCAGGGCGTGCGTTACGAGGCAGCAGGCACTATGGGAGGCCGAGGGCACAGCCAGGCGGGCACTCACCAGAGATCTTGGACTGCTGGCTGGCGTAGCTGGAGTTGCGGGAGTGGCCAGAGTGGAACACCTCCTCGGGGCTGGACAGGTTCTGGTCTGTCTCCTCCGGAAGCCCTGGAAGGCGGGAGAGGGCAGGGTTACCAGGTGTCCGTCCTCTCCCTGAGCCTGGCGGGTTGTCAGGGGGAGGAACACTGTGTAAACTGACGTTAGCAGGAGCTGCAATCTGCTCCCAGCCACAGTACACCATCTGGACCCAGGGCCATTCATTCTACAAATACCTGCCAGGCCCCGCCTCCATGCAGGTGCTCTACTGGGTGCTGTGAGCAGGAGACAGGGTGTCACAGGCCACGGGGGAGAAAGAATATTTAACAAACACGACCCACAATTTCGGTGAGCGGTGCAGAGCAGTGTGTGAGAGTCTGACCCAGTCTGAGATCAGGGAGGGCCTCTCTGAGGCAGCGGCCTTAACGTGAGACCATCAGGAGGCGTGGCAGGAAGCAAGGCAGATAAGGCATCAAAGGGCCTTCCGGACGGAACTAAGGCCGAGGCCCTGAAGCTTGTGAGCTTCGGTCAATGCAGTTAAAAGAAAGCAAACCGGGGTGAGGGGAACTGGCTGACAGCCATGTCCAAGGTCACCCATAAGCCCAACTACAGAACTAACATCCCAGCACTCCCAGCAGGAGGTGCAGGGGAACCAGGGGATCCCCCCAGGGCCGTGGGCACCACCCACCAGGCCTCCCGTGGTAAACACAGGAAGCGAGGCTTGCCCAGCCCCTTTGGAGATGAGCACAGCCAGGCCACCAGCCGGACCCCAGGCCTGACTGTGTCCCCACCCAAAGTCAAGTGGCTTTCTAAGCCAACAGGTTCTGTGCAGAGGGGGACAGGGGTAGAGAAAACCAGCCACAGAGGCATTTGGGGCTCACGCCCCACGCTGCTTGGGAGAGGCATCTCTGCTAGTCTGCACAAAGGCTTAGCTATATTGGGGTGGCCTGCTCCCCAGATCTCCGCTCTGGGGACCCACACCCAGAAGCTGCAGACAGTAATAATGCTGCATCCCCCGTGCAAGCCCAGGCTGATGCAGCAAGCACCCCCGCTCTCCGCTATGGGCTCACTGGCCGGGTCTCCAGGAAAGGTGGAAGGGAGTTGGCCCTTGAGGTCAGGGGTCCCTCCCTGCTGCCAGCCCCCGAGGGCAGAAACCAGCAAACATCTGCTGAGCCACCGGCTCTGTGCCCTAATTGCTCTTGCGACACAAATTAGGGCCAGCACGTGCTGTGCCGCCTTGCCAGAGCCTCCGCTCCTGGTGGCGCCTCCTCTCCCGCTGGCACCCCCTCTCCTAATCGCCAAGCAGCGCTTCTGGGGATGCAGGTTGGTCTGAAGTTTGTATAACATTAGTAATAGTGATAACTTAGTAGAAATACACAGAGTACATACTCTGTTAAGGCAAGGCGCACCCATTTGCTCAGTTCATCCCCCAAGCAACCCAAGATGTGGTTACTACTGCTGACCCCATTTTACAGGAGGACACTGAGGCCCAAAGAGGCAAAATGGCCAGCCAAGGTCATGCAGCACATGGGGGAGAACAAACGCTCACAGCACACGTCCCTCTGCCAGGACACTATGCCCCGTGCCTAAGATTCAGCTCCAAGGCCATCACTTCAGGGAGACTTCCCTGACCCAGAGCTGCCTTCCGTGTCTCTCACGGCTCTCTCTCCATAGGTAGACATGCCCGTGACTTAGTTATCGTCTGACTGACGCTGTCTCTCCTGCTAGATGGGGAGGGCCACGGAGTCAGGGACACCACGTCAGACTCTGTCCAGGGCCCCGCACGGCGCTGGCACATGGCAGGGGGTTCCACAATGCCCGCCTGATGGAAGCATGGACACCTCGGAGGCAAAGGGATGGCAGGTAAGGCGGGCAGGCAGGCAGGGAACCGTACCTGAGCTGAGAATGGTGGGCCGGGCCTTATGGGGCCGGGACCCTGTCAGGGAGTTGGTGCTGCTGCTGCAACTGCTGCTGGTCCCGCCTCCCTTACACGTCAGCTGCAAGGAGGAATCCTGGCCTGGGATGGAGATGGACTTGGCAGTGGACGGCGGCCTTGGAGGACAGAGAGGGGTGTGACTGTGTGCCCCAGGCTTGGGGTCAGCTGAGCCCCACCCCTCAGCCTGTACCCATACTCACGTCTTGAAGCAGGGGTCTCCAGAGAGCAGGAACATCCCGATGGTGACCTGGGAGACAAGGAGAAGTCAGCCATACCACGTCCACTCACAGCCCAGGCGCCTGCACTCCTGCGGTCTCCCTGCTCTGGCTTCAGACAGGGCTCGGAGTCTGATCCTATCTCTGCCCCCTGATGACCCCGGGGAAGCCATGCAGAAGGCAGACCTGAGCCTGACATCTGCTTCATGGGACAGTGGAGAGGATGCAGCGAGATGAGGGTCACTAGGCTTAGCACCTGGCTGGGAGTGACCGAGCAGCAGAAGCCAGCTACCACTACCTCCAACCACAGCCAGCCCCCGAGGGCAGAAACCAGCAAACATCTGCTGAGCCACCCTCAGTACCCAGTGGGCGTGGGGAGGGAAGGAGGCTGGAGAAGCTGGCCCAGTGAGTAGGGGGTTTGTAGTCCACACAGAGGGCAGGGGCTTAGTGAAAGTTTCTTGAGTAAAGCACAAACCCATTAGAAACTTAAGAATTTAATGTCCACCTGGACAAAGATTTTGGCAATGGCCCACACAAGGCAATGCTTGGGTTCCCAAATCTGGGAACGACGGGTGGGCATGAGGCTCAGATCCAAGGCACCATCAACAAAAAGAAGACCACTGGGTTAGGAGCTTTTTAAAAAAAATATGGATTATTTTTTTGGCCACGATAGCAGCCTACAAAGGAGGTGACGGTGCCAGGTTGTAGAGGAGGGACGAGACCCAGACTGGGAGGAAGTGACTGCTCAAGACAGGCTGAAGCCTTGAAGCCAAGGCCATCTCTCTCCGGTGCCCGTGCCCCTGCCCCGGCCTGAAGTGTATGGGCCACTGGGATGAGGCTGAAAGCTCCCAGCTCCCACCACAATCAGCCTATGCTTTTTCGGTGCCTCCGACTCCCTCTGCACAGGGTCGGGGAGACCCCAAAGCCTCTGCCCATCACTTCGGGCCCAGCTCTGCCTGGCACAGCGTGCTCCCACTGGGTCAGCCGGCAGAGGTGCAGCTAGGGCAAGATGTTTGCTCAGCCAGGTGGGAGGGTGTGGAGACAAGGAAGAGAGGTGTGCGGGTGGCAGATGCCCAGATTATCTCTGTCCCAGGAGGCCAAGGAGGCAGCTGCCCAGCCACAGGAAACCAGCACGTGGGTCCCTGGATCAGCCTTCTCAGCCTGCCAGGTGGAGGGACGCGAGGTGCGGTCACATGCTTCACCGGGACCTCAGGCTGCCTCGTGTCAGATGGGGCAATGGGAGGGCCTGAATGTGGTCTCAGTGCCAGCTTCGCCGTGACCCAGGCTAATGATCTAACCTCCGTGCCTCAACTCCTTCCTGTGCAAAACGGGGACTAATAACACACCCCAAACCCCACGGGGCTGTTGTCAGACATCACAAGACAAGAGGTGGCCACCCTCAGCAGTGCTGATCTCACCAAACCCTTAAAGAGACTGTTGGGGTTCAACCCCTGACTATGGATGGGGAAACTGAGGCCAGTGGCCGAGCCAGGCCTTTGGTGGTGGTTTCCTGACCCAGGACCCACATCCTCCCAGCACCCTTCACTGCTGTCTACAACCCTCAGGGAAGCTGGTGAGGAGCAGGCTGCCCGGTCCCCTAGTGAGGGCACAGAGGCGGCGGCAGGGCCAGTACCTTGAGGATCGAGTTGTCCTGGCGGGTGTTCTTCGTGTCATACCCCTCCAGCAGGCAGCAGCGCACGGTGGAGCCCGAGCCTGCAAACTCGGCCAGGTTCAAGTCGGCAAAGCCCAGCTGGAGGGAGAGAGGGGAGGAGACTGTGGGCTGCGGGGAGTGTGGGTGCCGGGCTGGCAGCACAAGGGTTAACTTGGCGGAGGGGGAGGGGGAGGGACAGGCAAAGCCCCTGAGACACACGGCACCACAGCCCAGACTAGCCTGTTGCATAACCTGCACCCAAGGACAGAGGCCGGGCTGGTGGCTGAGGTTGGCGGCTCCGACGTGGCAGAGCCAGGAGCTCACATCCCTGAGCCACACAAAGCGCCCTTTGTGCCGTGTCCCAGAGTGCACCGGGGCAGCGCCCGAGATGAAAGGACATTGTTGTCTGTGACACAGACACATTGTTCCCCGGGAAACAAGGCTGTGCTGTGGGAGCCGCCGGGCCAGCGGGCAGGGGGAGGAAGTCCCGTGGGAACTTGGCGTTGGGCTGGTGGGCGGGGGGCACTCTGCGGGGTGCGAGGAGCCCTCCTGGAGGCTGGAGTGAGGGTCCTCAGACACAGAGAGAGCAGCAGGGACGGGGAAGGAGGTGGAGAGAGTACCAGAGCAGCGTCTGAGTTAAGGCCTTCTAGGTGGAAGCCGATTCTGACAGGCCCGAGGGGCAGCAGAGGCCCAGGTGAGGGAGGCTGGGATTGGAACAGGGTGACCAAACCCACGCAGGACGTTTACCGAGCACCTGCTGCTGCAAGTCTCTACCGCGGACTTCGGGGCGTGGGAGCCAGAATCAAGGACTAAGGCCACACTCCAGCCCCGCCATCAGCTCAGTGACCCCCTCTTACAGACAAGGAGGCCGGCTCAGAGAGGAGGCCACAGGCGCAGGCCCCGGAGGGCGTGACCAGGACAATCAGCCTGGACTCAGCCTGACCAGCCCCACGTCTGGCCACCTCTTTGGGCCTCAGTTTCCCCCTCTGTGTGAAGGAGTTGAGCCAGTGTGGACGTCGGATTGGAGATCAGGGAGGGAAGGGCCTGGCGGGTCTGACCCGTGACCATCACTGCCGGGTGCACGGAGGATGCTCCAGCTGTTTGCTGGTAGTGTCTTCCCTGGCTGGGCAGCTGTCCGCACCCACGTGAGCCAGCGGGAGGGGAAATTTCCACTCCGAGCACCTTCCGCAGGCCGGCCCTGGCCACCCTGCCCTCTGCCCCTGCAGGCACGTGAGCAGCAGCCGGGGCAGCGCACAGGGCCGAGCTTCCTGCCCTCCGGTGGGTGGGAAGGACACGTCCTGCGCTCAGGGTGAGGTGAGGCAGAGGCATTTCCCCTTGGACCTAAGCCCCCCTTCCCCAGCATGCTACCCCCAGGGGAGCCCCCAGGGTGGGCTGAGTCCCCACGGAGTAGGGCCTTTAAGGGCTTCTTGACAGCCAGAGGTAACCCACTTCTCCTGCCTTCCCCAGTGTAACGTGGGGCTGAGATGTGGGGGCTGAACCCTCTGTGGGCGCAGCGAGAACCTAGCAACGACACACATGCAGCAGCGGGACTGGCTGAGTCACCGTCCCCCAGCCGCACAAAGGGACACTGCTGCTCTGAAAGCAACAGGGCATTGGTGATGCCATGAAAACACGCCCGTGACGTATTGGCAGGAACAGCAGCAGGCTGCAGAATCCACTCAGTGTGGTGAGAACAAGCCCCTTTTGTGTAGTGAAAAGTCACACACACAGGACTGCACACACCACAGGACTACACACACACACAGGACTGCACATATCAGGACTCATGTAAGATGCTCATTCTGCCGAAACCGGTTTGGCTCAGTGGATAGAGCATCGGCTTGGGGACTGAAGGGACCCGGGTTCGATTCCGGTCAAGGGCATGTACCTTGGTTGCAGGCATATCCCCAGTGTGGGGTGTGCAAGAGGCGGCTGATCGATGACTCTCTCTCATCGATGTTTCTAACTCTCTCTCTCTCCCTTCCTCTCTGTACAAAATCAATAAAATATATAACAAAAAAAAAAAAAAAAAAAGATGCTCATTCTACGGTACTCTACACTATATCGAACATTTTACTCACTGCTCTGTATGTATGATATATTTCATAATATTTTTTTCTTAAAAGGTCTGGAACAATCCTAATGAATCCCAATGCTGGGATGGGGGCAGGGGGCCTGGAAAGGAAGGGGGCATAAACCACCCTTCGCAGTCTATGGACGTCCACAAACATACGCTGTGTCTGTGAAGTGTAAAGACAGTCAATAGAAATATTTCCAAAAAGCGATGTGTCTCCTGTAGGGCTGAGTGTCTCCTGTTTGGGGCAGAAATGGGGCTGGAGGTTCTTCTGGAAGCTTCTTTTATGCCTGTGCCCCCCATCCCATCCCACCGCCCTTCACACCGGTCCACTCACCTTGGAATAAGTCTTCCCACCTTTCAGCTCCTGCATAGGGAGACAGACATAGCAGGTGACTAGGAAATCCAAGGGACCTCATATGTCTCCCCATTTCCCCAACCCCCAGCCCTCCAAAAGTGACTACAAGTGGAGCGACTCACCCCATTATCCCTGAGGGGGAGAGGCCAGGGGATGGGCCTAAGGCCACCGGAGCAGTAGCCCACGCCCATCCCAGCCCGGCCCAAAGCCCGGCCTCACCTTGCGAACCGACACCCGGAAGATGCAGGGGTCCAGCAGGCCGGTGGCCGGGTTGGCGCTCATCTTACACACGAAGGTGAACCGCTTCCGCCAGCGCACGCAGTTCTCCTGCACCTCCTCCCTGCGGGCCGGACAGATAGGTGAGCAGGGGTGCAGGTCATCGCCTGGGGACTAGGAGGGACGGCTCACCTCCAGGGAGGCAATGACGGAGGGGGAGAAGAAGGAAGGCAGCGCTCGCTTTTCACTTTGTATCACAAAGTGACTGCAGTTTCATAAGGAGAATGTGCCTGTGTGTGTTGTAAACACAAAATATGCAACAAAAAATAAAAAACAGGGCGGGTGAGGTCGGGGGGGGGGGGGGCAGCTGCCCCTCCCTCTGCTCCCAGTGCTGTGCACCCACCCCCTTGTCCAGGGGCCTTTGCTGACTCCGCCGCTGCCATTACCTCCCGCTGGCCATGCCAGGTGACCCTCCCAGCAGTGTTCCCAGCTGGACTACTTGCCCATTTCACTGGAGAAGAGACTGAGGCAGGCAAACTGCCCGGTCCCACCCAGTCAAGAAACAGCAGTCCTAAGCCCAGTGCCCCCGGCTCCAGAGCCCCTTCTGCACCACCAGTAACAGCAATAACAGCTAATGCTCACACAGCCCTCTTGTGTGCTTTACAAACCAGGGCCGGCCGGCCATGGTCACGCCGACCCTTCAGTTGGGGACTCACTAATCCAATCCTACGTTCAAAGAAACCAGAGCTCCCCGGGGCGGAGACCCGAGGCCCGCAGATGGCAGAGCAGACCAGGGTCTGGAGCCCAAGCAGCCTGGCTCAGGTGCCACACGTGCAGCCCTCACCACCCCGGGCCTAAGATGCTACTCGGGGCCCTCCGCTCTCCCGACAGGAGATGGGGAAGAACTTGCAGCCCCCTGAGTGCTTCCTGGGTGTGGGGGGGGGGGGGGCATGACCAAGCCCCAAGTTCAGAATCCACTTAAGAGGGACGTGCTTTGTGCCCAGGAGTGGGTGGGATTGGGGGAGCAACTCAGCTGAGCCTTTCCCAGCTGCTGCGGGGGCCTGGCAGGAGCTGGGGCGGCGGAGGCACATGTCACAAGATGAGCTCTGCATCCCTGTGCTCATCTCCTCCCACCCACCCAACCCGCCCCCCACAGCCTGGCTGGCAGAACCAGTGCGCAGGAAGGGAGGGGCCGGCAGGAGAGACGTTATCTCCAGCCGCATCCCACCTAACAGGAGTGGCCGATGGGACAGTGAGGAAGTGACCGTGCCACGCCCGGGTCCTGAGAAGTGCGGGTCACTGCCAGGCTGGGGCCCGGGGGTGGAGGCTGGGTGCAGGATGCTGCAACCTTGGAAGGCAGGCTCTATGCCACCCCCCACCCTGCAGCTGAGGGCACTGAGGCAACAGACCGTCCAGGTCACACCCCCAGGGACTGATGAAGCAGGACTCAAACCCAGGACGGTCCGACTGCAGAGCCATGGGCCACACCGTGGTCCATGGGCCACGGAGCCGCAAAGCCTGGCAGGGACTAGCCCCGCAGTGGACTTACAGACAGACACCTGCCAGTGATGACTCAGTGTCACCGGAGAGGGGGAGGGTGGTTAGGGAAGGTGACTGGCTGCAGGGAGGTGACATTCAAGCTCACACCCAGCTGCAGAATGAGGCGCAGCCAGTGGGGAGACAGTTCCAGGCTGCGGGGACAGACTGCATGAGAAGCAGACATACTCAGGACTCCAGGCTGATGCAGGCCTGAGCAGAGCTTCTGTGCGGGGCTCCCTGCTCTGAGGACAGGCCAAGGCTTGTCCCACATCCCGCCAGGTCTGTGACCGGGCAACAGGACTCAGGGCAAGCAGTCTTGGGGCACAGCCCTCACTCTCTGAGCAACTCGGCTGGGACTCGACCTCTCCACCCTCATTAGTAAACAGGTGTACCAGCCGCTCACTCACGGGCACCTGGGAACATTCAGTGATGTGAGCCGGGTGTGTGTGTGTGTGTGTGTGTGTGTGTCCATGAGATGTGTGTTATCTGATGAAGACACTCGGGATCTAGAGAGACTCAGTCACCAGAATGCTCCAGCCCAGTACAAAAATTAATTCAAAATGAAACAAAGACCTAAATATAAGATCTGTAACAATAAATTACATAGAACAAAACTATGGACTTTGGTTGTAGAGAACATTTTATGAATTTGACCCTATGACCCCAAACACAGGGGAAGTAAAGGCAAAAATAAGTGAGTGGGACCATATCAAACGAAAAAGCTTTTGCACAGTGAAGAAACAGACAACAAAACAAAAAGGCTACCAACCAAATGGGACATATTTGCAAACAGTAGCTCATCGATGTTTTTAACTCTCTATCCCTCTCTGTAAAATATCAATAAAATATATATTTTTTAAATGTTTGTGATTCAAAGAACAGCATCAAGAAAGTAAAAAGACAACCCACAGTATGAAGGAAAATATTTGCAAATCAAATGAATGATAAAGGACTTGTAACTAAAATATATAAAGAGGACTGACTTACAACTCAATAAAAAGACAAAAGCCCAATTAGAAAATGGGCAAAGGATCGGAATAGACCTTTCTCCAGAGACGATATACAAATGGCCAATAAATAAGCACATGAGAAGGTGCCCAGTATCATTACTCATCCAGGAAACACAAGTCAAAACTATGATGAGCTACCACTTCACACCCACTAGGATGGCTATCACCAGCAGATAATAACAAGTGAAGTGCCAGCAAGAGTGTTAACAACTGGAACCCTCGTATATATACGCTGGTAGGAATGTAAAGTGGTGTAACCACTTTGGAAAAACAGTTCGGCAGATCCTCAAAAGGTTAAATATGGAGTTACCATGTGACCCAGCAATTTTACTCCTAGGTATCTACCCAAGAGAAATGAAAACCTACATCCACATAAAAACTTGTACATGGCCGACAGGCCCGGGGGAGCAGGCGGGGCTGGTGCGGCCAGGCCCGGAGCAGCGGCTGCCAGGCTGGGAGCGGCCAGGCCCGGTGGAGCAGGCGGGGCTGGTGCGGCCAGGCCCGGAGCAGCGGCTGCCAGGCTGGGAGCGGCCAGGCCCGGGGGAGCAGCCGGGTCGGGTGCGGCCAGGCCCGGAGCAGCGGCTGCCAGGCTGGGAGCGGCCAGGCCCGGGGGAGCAGGCGGGGCTGGTGCGGCCAGGCCCGGAGCAGCGGCTGCCAGGCTGGGAGCGGCCAGGCCCGGGGGAGCAGCCGGGTCGGGTGCGGCCAGGCCCGGAGCAGCGGCTGCCAGGCTGGGAGCGGCCAGGCCCGGGGGAGCAGCCGGGTCGGGTGCGGCCAGGCCCGGAGCAGCAGCAGCCAGGCTGGGAGCGGCCAGGCCCGGAGCAGTAGCAGCCAAGTCCAGAGCAACTAGGTTGGGAGCGGCAGTGACCAGACCCGGAGCAGCTGGTTGTGGAACGAACCAGAGCAACAGAGGCCAGGCCCTGAGCAGCCAGGCCCGGAACAGCTCACTCCTCGCCTGCCCCTGCCCCATGGCTGCCTCTCAGACATGGCTGGAAACTTTCGTGGGAACTTGAGGGTCTGCTGAATCAAGTGATGAAGGCTTAGATCTGGATGTGTTGAGTTAGTATAGGGCTGGGGTGTTGATCAGTGAGTGCCTTGGGTGGGGCCTAGATGAGGCTGGTGGACCTATTGGGAAATGTCTTTTGTGTGAAGTGTATCATTGGGCATGTGGAGGTATTATTGATATGAGAAAATGCTAAGTAACTGATTTACTATCTGAAAAGGGATTTACTATCGGGGAAATTGAGGGAAGAAGAGACTGAACATAAACTGCACCTATGGATGAGGACAATGGGGGATGGGGAGGGGGCAGAGGGTGGGGTGGGAACCTGGTGGAGGGGGGAAGAAATGAGGAACCTTTGTAATAATATGAACAATAAAGATTGATAAAAAAAAAAAAAAAAAAAAAAAAAAAAAAAAAAAAAAAAAAAAACTTGTACATGGCCGAAACCAGTTTGGCTCAGTGGTAGAGCATCAGTCTGCGGACTGAAAGGTCCCGGGTTCGATTCGGGTCAAGGGCATGTACATTGGTTGCAGGCACATCCCTGGTTGGGGGTGTGTGTAAGAGGCAGCTGGTCGATGTTTCTCTCTTGTCGTCATTTCTAGCTCTCTATCTCTCTCCCCTCCTCTCTGTAAAAAGTCAATAAATATACTTAAAAAAAAACAAAAAAAAACTTGTACATGAATGTTCACAGCAACATTATTCATAATAGCCAAAAAATTAAAAGCAACCCAAATGTCCATCAACTGAGGAATGGATATATATATATATTGGAATCTTGTTCCGTAATAAAATCGCTTTACATGCTACAATGTAAATTAGCCTTGTAAACATTATACTCAGTGAAAGAAGCCAGTCATAATGAACTGTGTATTGTATGACTCCATTTACATGAAATGTCCAGAATAGGCAAATCCATAAGAGATAGAAAGATTAGGAGATGGGACAATAGGGAGAAAATGGGGAATAACTGCTATGGGTATGGGGTTTCTTTTGGGGTGATGAAATGTTCTAAAATTGACTGTGCTGATGGTCACACTCCTCTGAATATACAAAAATCACTAAACTGCCCACTTTAAATGGGGGGATTATATGGCATGTGAATTACCTCTTAAAAAAATACTGATACAAACACACACACACACACACACACACACACACACCCCAAAAACCCACCCATAAGTCAGATAAAGAGAGAAATATAGAGGGGACAGATCAGGGAAGGGGTGTGGGTGGCGAGTGCTGGGTAGAAGTGAGAAGGTGGGGGCTGCTACGTCAGGTGCATAGTTAGGGAAAGCCCTTATGGCCGTGACTTCTAAGCAAGGCCTGGAGTGAAATGAGGCTGAGGGCTAAGCAAACACTGGGGAAGAGCTGTCCAGAAGCGTGAACTTCAAGTGCAAAGGCCCTGAGCAGACACATGCTTGGCACAGAGGCCAGCAGCTCAGTGGACGGGGGAGGAGAACAGAGGGGATGAGGCTGGCAAGGGAGCAGAGGTCAGGCCCCGGAGGGCCATGGTGAGGACTCTGGACCTTATTCTGACAGCGCTTCTGTCTTGCCACTACGGAGTCTGGCTTTCGG